ATACACAAGATAGTGGAATGTATGTCAATCCATGGAATGGACATGTTGGTGTTGAACGTGAGATCGACTTCACTCCACTAGATGCACTTCACTTTCAACCATACACTGGAGTTCCTGCATCCATTCGCCAACACTATATCAGTTAGAATATAAATTGTATATAATGAAATGTATTTTTTTATTTGTAATGAAATAAACTTAGAAACAAAGACGAAAACTAGTTCTTCTCTCTGTGATAAGTAGGCGAAATTGAAAATTTTATGAAATCCATTTTAATTCTACAGGCAGAATAGTTTGGTGAGTGACTGTTTTCATTCTCTTACATTAACAACAGTCTCTAATCTGATATTCATAGATGTTTTTCTTTCTGGTTTTTTCCTGAAACTGTTGTTGCGAGGAAGGAGGAAGTAGCTTTTCTGCGCAAAAGAAGCCGTAAAGCATGCAATAACATGTTGTGTTTAAAACTCAGTTCACTACAAGCATCAAACTCTTTTCTTTGCATTTTTTAAGTAAACGAAGGAAAATACAAACGCTGATGTTTGTTCAGCAGTGAACTAGGTAGGTATTATAGCTCAACTGAAACTGTTCTCACAATTACAAATTCTTCGTGAAAATATTTGCAAAGGTATAGGAAGTAATTCGTATGTTTACTTTCGGGCAGATATGCGTCCGCGAATTATGCGTTCGTTGCGATATACCAGCGCGTGAAGAGAAATTGAGGTAGCTACGGCTGTGTCGGAGTTGCCGATGAATTATTCCTGACAAACCTTCACACTGTTGAAAAACAGTAAATAAGAATAGGAAAAAATCATTCGCATCAAAAATAATTTGAGCAAGCAAGTATTGCGCAAACACTTTCCTATGTTGGAAAATTCCCGCTCTTCACATAACTCTGTAGTCATTTTTGTCGAAATCAGGACTCACAGTAAAATCATAGTGTCGTCATTGTTACAGGTTTTTATTGATAAAGTGGCTTCATCGATCTTTTTTAAAATGACGCTTATGCAAACAAAACGTGTTTTGTCGCAGAAATTTCCAATGCATCATTCCACTTGTATGGTGTTAGCAGTAAAATCAGAAGATAGGTATTCATACTTACTCTCGAGTATTTCTTTTTCAGATAAGAGTAACCTACTTGAAAATTATAGACAATTATTAGCTAAGCCTATGCCGATTTTGTACGATCAAAAAAGAAAAATGGTCGCGCACGTTGGGCACTCGAAATGCGATCACGTTGCGGACAAACTTGACGGCGTGAAACTGCATCAGAATCAACCGAAGAGTTTCATTAAAACACCTTGTTCGAATATCGATGTACAACAACATGCAGAACATTCTGTAAACATACAAGAAAGAGATCATGTTATGGTCGCAATCATCATGGACCCAGATATTACATTTCCGGCTGTTGACGCCAGTATCGCTCAGACAAAAGTGTATCAAGACGAAGAACAAATGCTATCTGACTTAAATCAGTCAAACGTTTGTGCTCCGCTCGTGGTTATATCTTCGACACCGCCTGAGAATATTTTATCGGAGGCTCGCTTACTGCACTTCTTCTGCATGTATGGATCGGAAAAATTGGTTACGCATCCGATTGTAATACCTTCCAAAATGATCTGCATTAATTCAGAAGATCATCTGCGCAACCAATTGTACCAAAAACTGGGACAGTACTATCGAGACATCGCCTATCACGCATTTGCAACGAATTCTAGAAGTCAAAGAGACATTGAGTGTTTACTCGATAAATCGACTCAATGCTACAAACTACTCGAAGATGATGCTCGTGCGGTGCTGAACCGTTATGCCAAACTGTTGGCCGCAGACTCCAAATTAAATCAGTCAAGTAAAAATCCAAGTCACACTTAAGTTGTGAACATTACATGGATATTTGACAGACTATTTTATTCTTGAATGTAACAGTGTTTTTAAATAGTGGATCATAAAATTAGCACCTCATAGAATGCACGTCTTCTGATAATGAAATATACTCATATGACCATTAGATATACCTTTTTTTAGAAGTTTTCTCCTCTGCATCGGTTGAAATTCTATCGGATCCACTCGACATCAAGATAACAACAGCATGGTAAGTTTACACAAAGTTAGAACAGCTCCTCTACATCAGGAAGAAAATTAGTTGAACAAAACTCTAGTACGATGCTGCTAGTACTAAATGTAGTGTTTCAGAACGTTCCTCTCTTTATTTTTAGGCAATGCAATTAGGGAATGCAACGCCACTTCCTGCGCCTTTCGATGATCAACCCACTACAATAGTATTCGATGAAAACAGACGCATTGCTGATCCTAATGCAGCTCTAGCACCGTTCAATGGTATTGTCAATTACGTTTTGCTGCATGCCAATTTCGTTGAACAACTAAGTACACCCCACAAATGGTTTAATGTTGTGATGATCTTTCCGCATATGAATGAACAAGAGGTTTACCAGTTTGTCCAAGGACATGTACTGACTCATCGTAGTGCAGAATTATTCCATATATTCTCCACTAATAATGATGCAAATCAATTACGAGCTCTCTGCCGTGCGAAACTTGCTTCCCATGATTCAGTTAGAAATATGAATACGATGCGAATACGTGAAATTTGTGCGCAAACAAATGACCTTAACATTGAATATTGCGAACAATATCGCCTCCAACACGAAAACGCTGGTGACATCGGCATAGCAAATCTCTTTGCTACTCAGAGGGATCAGCGCATTGGCTTACAACTCCAATACAATGCAATACTACGAAGAGAAATCCGACAACGGTCTTTCTCGTAATATCATACATTATTTCAAACTATTCAATATGCTACAATTGCTTTCTAACTCAGTTCTTTTGTTTATTAGTTATAGATTTCTCCTTTTAATTTTTCATATATGGAGTATATTGCGGTCGATACTTAATTTCCGTCGGACAGACATTGTAAGGTGTTCGTAGAACATAGAGAACACCTTCAGCAATGTCTTCTGACTGAATGCATTTGTCCAAATTTAATTTTTTCGCATCTTCACCTTGAATCATGGGTGTGTTGACGAAACCGGGCATGATTGAACATACTTTGATACCGTACTCACGAACATCTAAAAGACATGAAATTCGAAGTCAACGAAAAGCCTGATGTCGTACCGACACATTCTTACCTTCATAAATTGATCCAAGAAATCCATTCACGCCCCATTTACTTGCATGATATTGAACTACGCCACCACCAGTCATCTTGAATACAAAAATAAAATTCTCATAAAAATTACCTGCATTTCGAACTCACCGTTGCTGCTAATGATGAAATTGTGATTATAGCACCATGTTTCAATTCTTTCATCATTGGTAGACATCGTCCTGTTAGTCGCATTAAATTCACCAAATTCACCATCATAACCTCTTCCCACATGTCTACAAGATCTTTTCCGGATGGTGTTTTCTCTTCGGTGGACGGTACACGTTCACCAAAAGTACCAGCGTTATTGATCAAAACATGTAATTTGCTTTCGAACACTTGCTGAATTTGTTTACATGCATCCTCCACTGATTGTTTCGATGACATATCGCATACTATTACATGCGCTTGAACGCCGTGTGTCGAACATTCTGATGCTAATTTTTCTAAAGCATCACGTGAACGAGCCAGTAGAGCAACATTACATCTAAAAAATGACCTATTTATTGAAAAAAACGGAAATGTAAAATTAGTAGCTTATTATACCCTTGTTTGGCTAATGTTAGTGCCACTACGTTTCCAATACCACTGCTCGCGCCCGTGATCACAGCATTTTTATTGTGTAAATCGAATACGCCTCGATACTGTTCAGACATTTTTACCACTATTTATTTAACCTAATAAAAGCTTTATAAAAACTCATTCCACGTTCCCCTATGCCTCTATATTCTCATGTTGATATAGTCGTACGAATTCGCTGTATTCGTAACCACAAGTACCGACATCTATCCGCACATGAATATCTCACCTGATCGATATAGACCTTCCTTCTTTTTAAATTTTATTTTCAAAACGAAAAAGACAACATCGATGTTTTCAAAGTCCTGACGTCCTATAATACTGACGTTTGATTTTGTCCCACTGGATGCAGATATACAGGAACTACAACTCTTCGTCTAACACAACTGCGCATGATTTGACGAAGTTCTTTACGAAAAATCGTGCTCGACAGAATGTGCATATAGAAACTACTTGAATGCGCAAAATAAGTCAAACCACCCACGATTTGTAAAGCTAGATTTTCCTGTGCAAGCCGGTACGTGGTTTTGGTTAGGTTTGCTGTAAATGATGAATATAATCGATAAGCAGAAAATGGCACAGTGCAAATAATGATTACCATAACTTGAGCAGTCAACATGCGTAAAATCGCAGCGTCGCTTCGTTTGAACGTTTGAACATTTCGAATAGCTATGGGAGCGATCCGAGCGCGTTGACGGATATTTCTCACTGTTAGACAGCCAAAAATAACCATTATAAATGAAGGCAGCAGCGAATAGAAAAGCATATACCAAAAATTTAAAAATGATCGATAGAAGCCACTTTGACCATTACACAATGGTGTAATCGTACCGAATTTATTAGGTACATAACTGATCTCGTAATATACAATCATATGACAATAGAGAATGAACATGATCACACTAATTATTCTGATTGCCCATTTTGCTGACTCCGCTGAACTCATTTGACGCAGAAAAGCATGCGATGAGCTATGTAAATAACGATCTATTGTTGCTAGAGCAATTAACCAGCAAGATATCGAACGTATGGTGTAAATAAAAAATGTTTGTATTTTGCAATAGCCAAGATTATAATTGGCTGCTTCTAGATTGTAATTATTTGACAGAAGACGCATCGGTATGACAATGAGGACAATGAATAGATTGTACCATGATGCCGAGAAAAAGTAGAAAGAACATGGTTGACGACATAGCTTAGGTCGCGCGAGAATAAGCAAGTTGAACGCAAGACCAATGATACCCAAAACAAAATTGACAACTGACAAAATATAAAATGTTGTTGCTGCTGTTGTGTTGATTTCTGCAGTGGAACTGTCCATCGATGTTTTGACAATATTTTCTAGGAAGTCTTTCCAAGAATAATTTATTTCTTCCGGAAATAAAAAAAATGCTCTTAAAGTATTTCTGGTAGTGCAAAATCCTCGAACTAAAATTCCATTTAATGAGTCTTCTATGACATCTGTTGAAGTGTTCTCCTATTAACCATACAGTCGTGCTCTAGTACCTGCTTATGAGAACATTCATAAAAACTTATTTGTCTGCTCAATAATCTAACATTCAATTAGATATTATAATTATCACTAGGTGTATTTAGTATTTATCTATGTCAACGAAAGCAGTTTAATTACATGATATGAGTTCAAATGCATCCTTCGCGTTCCTTTTTCTTTTTCTTTCATTCTCTAGTTTCTATTGATGTCTAATATGTAACTTATGGTGATTAAACATATCCTTTAGCGTAATGTCTATTCTTTATATTTACTTAGAAGAATCGAATCTATCTGTATACATACTTCAACATATACAATGACCTTCATCGCATGTGAATCTCTTTGTATATATACCAGTTACACGAAAGAAAAAGAATCATATTCGATACGCAGAATTTGTCGATCAATACATACGAAATAAGCAATGAAATTCTCATTGATTCTGATTACAACAATTCTCCTCATCAGCATTGTTCATTCGCATTCGTATTCTTTGACCTCTCTTCTGAGAAAACGCACGACTGATGATACAAACATACACAAAGCATCATGCATAGTAGTCGCTGAATTTTTGATGGACTTATTCAACGATCCGGATCTACATTTATCATCGAAACAGATGCGTCTGATACCAACACTAAATATAAGAAAACTTCGTCGACGCGGATTCCTCGACGATGATTGTCCACCGGAATATCAAAAGTGGTTCATGGATTTAATTCCATTTGAAGAACTTCTCTCAACAAAACAATTACAAATACTCAAATCAAAGTTATGGTTCACAGAATAAGAAAAATACTCGCTTTCACTTGACATTTTTCAAACATTTTTTTTTATAATAGACCTTTTTCGAACCAAAAATAAACGTTTGCTTTATCGTTAACAATATCACAATTCGATCGGTTGAATCTTGTCTGTTAATTCTCTTGCCGTGCCATCACGATAGTCGGACACATTGTTTCTACTACTATCATGTGTAAATTTTCCAAAAGAGGCATATTTTCTAAGATTAGTTCAATCGTTTTATCCAATGATTGAATGAATAATTACTTAAGGTTAACCAGTGACTTTTTGTAGAAATTATTCGAGTTCTAAATTGAGTAGTTAATTTAAATGATTGCATATGGCCGCATTTCTCCAATATTCTGTTGCACTTTTAAATATTCGTTTTTGCATCATCTAGCAACACATATCCGGTATATGTTCGAGCAAATAAAGAAAATTATCCGATGTCATTGTTAAAGGACAGCTCATTTCTAAATGTCGTATATTAGTTAACGCATGCATCCAATGTATGGAGTGAAAGTCATTTGTAATCAGCAAATTCTGAACATTAATTCTGCAGATATCGTCACTCGGTTCGACAAATGTGCCTTGTAAAGTTGTTAATGTTTCAAGTGATTCGTTCGATCAGATGTAATGATTTACATTGTTTCGTATTTGAATTTATTGATGCACTTCAAATCTAAATGCTTGCTGTATTGGAAGAGAAGAGATTCGAATCGAGAGTTCAACTTCGGAAATGCAAATATCACACCGACGTCGTTCAGATATGAAACGATTTCAACAAATAGTTTATTCGATAAGTCTTCTAAATATGCTGAACATATTCGTAGTTGTCGTTCTCGTCCCATTTACTTTGCAACAACAACAAATGAAAACATACAACATGTTGCATGGCACTAGCGAAAAGGTGAATTTATTTCAGATTCTTTTTACATGAAACTCAATATTATCAACGTAACATAAGGTGAAGTTCTTGTTGAAGGTGACACTAGTTTTCAGGTATTGGATCGTTCCGCATACGAACCTATACGAATGCTCGATCTGCTCCCATTTAATCGTTTTCGCGCTTGATCTAATTAATATCTAAGAAAACAAATTGAGAGTTAACACAGTCGTTCATACGTGACACATTTGCTATTTTTTCTTGATTATCACTTACAGGGATTGAAAACTCTCGTTCGTAAAGTGTCATTTTCCGTTGACACCGAAACCCGCATATTTGAATGCACAAAATCCAACTAGCGGATTTTGCATTCTTAAATCAACATTACTGGCATACAATAAAGTCAGTCCATCCCGATTGAATCTATCTTCTTCGACGTTTCCATTGACTACTGGATTTGACTGATCGCTCAGCAAAGTTCCATTTGGGAGAGTAATATCATGAATTCGGACGATAGTATCGAAAATACTGAAATCGACAGTTAAATTTGTCAAATTCATCCCATGCAATGCAATGCCCTTCAAATGAGAACTGTGGAAATGTGAGTCAGAAAGAGAACCTTATAAAACTCGATATTATACAGCTTGAAATCGTTGAGATGTGAATATGACATATCGGACATTTCAATACTGGTATTATGTATTGTCGTATGATGAAAATACGATCGTCGCAATGTTACATAGGTGAGACCACGAGATCTGTCATTGCGACCTGTTATTCGTCGAAAAGTGCTGCCAGATATATTCACGTTATCAAAATTTGACGATTTGTTGAACTGACAATCTTTTAATAATGAATGTTTCAAAGTAACATTTGTAAACGTTGGGCGAATAAATCTGGCGTTGTCCATTGTAGCGTTTCGGAAATCGATTCCGTCAAAATTACACTCGTTAATTTAGCTCCATGGATGAAAAGTTGATATTCAAATGTGACACGATCGAATTTCATATCGTTCAGAATCGACCCATTGAAATTCGTGACTCCTTTGAACACACACCACGTAAATGTTATATTCCACAAATTAACTAATTGTATAGCCAAGGAATGGAATTCATATGCACCCGTCACAGGACTTTCGATTATGATGTTTCGCAAGTCAGCACCTGATAATATATCTCTTTTGCCGAAAGTTGACAATAATCCATTCTCATACAGAAATATACATAGATAACTTCGTCTGTCGCTGTCAATGGATCTTAATGTGATGAATGTTTTGTTGCCGTGCGCGGTCCTCATCGCGGTTCTCTTCGACAATTTGACGATCTTGAATCTTCGTTTCATTTGCAATGAATATGTTTGCCCTAACCAGATCCCAGTCTTTTGTTTGGGCTAAGGCCGCTAATTCAAGTTCGTGTTCGCGTATAAAGTTTGCTATCTCGAGATCTTTTTCTCGTGTTGCATTGACCAATTGTTCGTCTTGCTCGCGATTTTCTTTAGCAATCTCCATTTGTTGCACGTAAGATACCACAGTGAAGATGGTGATCATCAGTGGAACGAATGTAGAGAGAAGTAGTTTAAGCAATGATATCCAGTTCAGCTTGGCCTACTGTTTAACTTTTTTCGATTTAGACGAAACACTCTCTGATCGACTCTTTGCTCGAAAGTTTCGACATCGCCGCATATTAAAATATTGTTTGAAAGCGAAAAGGATCTAACTTCGAATAATTTGAAACTCAAAAACAAGATCAATATTGGAGTCATGTTAATCATTCTAGAGTCATATTGACACACTTAATTGATATTCGAATTATATTTATTTAGAAAAAAAAACGCACTCGTTCGCATCGCATCAACATTGATAAATATGTCACAGTGTTTGGAAATGTCAACATGACGTTGATGCGATTCTATTTTGGAATTGGTGCAATGTTTGTGAGGGTTGACCATCTGCGATGCGGCTTTTGCTTAACGAATTGCGATTGATCTATATTGGTCGATTTGTTCTTATCAATTACTAAAATAACCAAGTTCTCGGCTGGACTCGTCTCGTTTGTACGAAATTTTCGACAGATGTGATTCGAGAGCATACGAAACATCGGAATCATCAATAATTTAATCAGAAGAAATAGAAGACCGAAAACTTCTAAGACGACTGTAGTAAAAAGGAGACTACGGAAGATGATTTCCGTTTGTCGCGCAATAGGTTGCTGAAGATTACTGATGTAGAATATACTCTGTTCGATAGTAACACTGATGTTCGTTTGCGTACGATAGAAAAATGTGTATCGACTTTCGTTGCTGAATAATTCATCGGAATTCACAGTAAATGACGATGACCAAATCCCACCGAAGGATGGTGATCCTTGCGTATCCAGTGGGTCAGTTTGATTAATAATCTGTGTTAGCTCGATGGGGAACACGATCGATTCGGCAAGAACTTGATCAGCTGATGACGAAACAAATGTTGAAGCAAAATTCAATTCCATCAATTGAAACCTTTCAATAAATAAACAATATGAATTTATAGTATACTTCTATCACATACACACCTTCCATCCTCTGCTTCTGCTGCTGGTCCGCTCAAACCAATTCGAATGGCTCCGATTGTTTTCAACCCCGGTAGTATCAACTGAACATTTATTTCTTGCACTGGAAGTAAAATAGCTAAACTTAGAGTAGTCTCATTATACTTCATTTCACATTTAGTGATTGGTAAAGTCGTAATTTTATCAGCTTTAATACGCTGTACGTAGAAATAATCAGTACACGTGAACGCTGTTTGAACGAGATCAATGTTAAGTGTAAATGGTTGTGCGTTCAATAGGTCAAACATAGGCTGACTTTCCTTAGTCGTACGGCGCGAATCCCATCTTTTCTGCGTCGATGTACTAAATTTTGCATTGCGTAAGGTAACATCACATGCGAACGTACTATTCTTAGTAACTTGTTCAACGGGATACTGATGAAGAAATGCATTTGAAAAACTGTATGCTGAAACGATCAGTACAATTATTGCAGCCGATGTTAAACCACCGATCCATAACTAAATAGCAAAGATAATCTCATTCACAATTAAGGACAACAAACATACTTCTCCTTCACCGATGAGGTCCATCTTTTTGAAGATTCCTTTTATCTGATCGCGTATCATATGTCGATTGGAGCAAAATGCTTCGGAAATCACTACAAGAGTGGCGATGATTGAGCCGATAATCATAACAAAAAGTACCCAAGAGACGGGCGAGACGAGTAAACAGTGAGCCGATTTAACATTAATTGTGAACATATTTTGCATGAGTAAATCATCGAAGACAATATTTTCTGGTGATTCGGGATAGTCTTGATCTTGTTCAATGGATTCAAATACCGAATAAGAAACTCGACCGACTGCTCCATATGGACAAAAGTGCTCTGCAGAGCAATTATATGATACTGGAGAATAAGGATAACATAGTTCGATTCCAGTGTAATCACGCGTAGTACCGCGAGTGCAAGGTGTAGCACAGGATATATATGAACTTGTACTTGTGTCCGAATAAGTACCTGCTGGCACTGACAGCATACCCATTGAATTACCCAACCGATCGAAAACGCCCAAGTGGCCAGTGGACGAGCTCGTGATGCGGATAAATGATGAGTCCATGAGTAGCTGAAGAATTTGTTGACTATTCGGATAGACTAAAATCGGTTGAGTTGCATCAGTAAACTCGTCAGATTGTATGTCATACACATGCACTGACGACGAAACCCATTGATAAGTTGCATATGTATAAATATTCGCTAGTATAGCTACTTTCGAGTTAGTCGCATCCAACCATGCGACACTCTTACCGTATCCCATGTATCCAATACCATTCTGACGAGTACCCAGTAGTTTTGTAGTATCATTCAGTGCATATAACAAGACAGTATTTAACGAAGGTATGCCAATGAGTACACGTTGAGTATGCCAAGCAATAGCGACGGACAAAACCAGTTGTTCGGAATAGACACGACTTTGTGCAATATAATGGATAGAACGAGGATCATTCCATGGATATTTGAAGATGCTAGAAATAGGAAATTCACCGATAGAAGCAGGACATAAAATGGATGTATTTAAATGCAGCAGAAAAGCACATTCTTTGGCCGATGTTGGTGTTATTTGACAATATCCAACGAGAACACCATATTCTTGGTTCAAGCCCATATCGAATGCTCGAGGAGAAATATCAAGACTATTTGACCATACAGTTAGCTGATGTGTTGGATACAATTGATAAAAGAGTATAAAATCATCGGCAAAACCATACATGCCCGTACCTGCACCATCGATATCGATAACAAAGTTGTCCTGCGTCGAATAATTCGAAACAATTTGCTCATTGATCAATTGAAAACTGCTGCATGTATCATGACCAGTAATGTGACCAATTACATTACGTCCTAGAACATTGACGCAGTTATAAACGAATGAAGCGTTATTGGCGACCGGAACAGAGATACTAAACATAAAATCGCAGGTTGTCAAATTAAATGATAGTGTACAACCGGAACTGTTCGTATGAGGAATAAATTCAATCCACCAGAGTGAAAGTATATTGTCTGCACTGATAAGGAAACGATCGTTGATGCCAATTTTAACACCATAAAGATCATAGTCAGTAGATACTTTTGTATACATGAATGCCGTGTGAATTAGGAGAAAAAAAATCATCATTCTCGTCCGTAACATTTCTAACTGAATGATCGATTTCGATGCGTTGGTACTATTTGCTTTTTCTCGGTAACAAACGTAAAAAAAAATTACTTTTGCGTGTTTTGCTATACGTGCATATTTTATTAGGCCAATAGCTGCGTCATGAGCTTGGTAACAACGCATCAAAATAAAAGAATTTTCCATCAACTAAAGTCAACAACGTAGAAAGGAACAAAATATACTCTTCAAAGTTTTGGGACATCATATACAAAGTCATATATACGAGAAGATAAGACCGTGTCAATGGTTCGAGGTGAAAATGAATAGATCTTTTATTTAAAAGATAAAGCTATTGAGATTTCTGATTTGACAGACGCGTTTACAAAATGTGAATTATTGAACAGAGAATTGCGACATAAAACATCACTTTCGCGAAGTGAAAACAGTCCGTGAAGGGTGTGAGGGTGAGGGGTGGGTGAGAGTTTTGGGAAGGCTATGTCAAAACGATACAGAGTTAATTTATTTCTACGACAAATCATGCATGTGTATTTGTAGCGAAGATCATGTTCACTCTGAGTATTTTGGTTACGATCATGAATTTGATTTATGCTCCAATTGTTTATCGGGAAGCCGATGTTTAAAAGGAAGTGATTTGAAACTCAACGATTTCATTTTGCTTATATCCTCTCAGTCATTCGGGTGCTTATTGCCAATTCAATTCAAATTTGTTGCTCTTTACGTTTGATCAATTATTCTACACTGATCTCACTTCAGAAAAACAAAAACTGACGATTAGTCTATTGATCATAATTTCTCTTCTATCATTTCTTATTAGCTCGATTAATAATACGTTTTCAGATATTACTTTTCACAGCCAAAACTGTTCTCATAGTGGTGTCGGTCAATATTTGATACTGGATGAGTACTATTGATCAAACATGTATTACCCTTCTTCTTCTTGCTCGCCTAACTCATCTAACGTAAATGTGATAATATCTAGGCTGTATTCAAATCCTGAAATCGATAAGATTTTCTTCAAATTCTTGAGCTACATATTGATTTGTCTCACTTGAATATCTTACTGGTTGGTCTCATTGATTACAATTAAACGTGTTCGATCAGCAATCTCTCTCAGAATACATCCATCGAGGAAGCTCACGATGGCTCGACTGATCATATTCATCATCTGCGTTCTTATTTTTCTCTTAGCTGCATATGAACTTGTTTTCGTCAAATCATTTTCCGTCATGAACGATAGGAAAAGAAGTATGTGCGTTATTTAATTCCCTGTTATTTATAAATCGACACGGCTAACCATTCATCAAGCATTCTCACGCGTAATAAATGTAAGTTGTTCTTGATGTGTATCGATTCTCTCTTTCTGAGAATACTTTACTTCAGATGCGAAAACTACAAATGTTGCGACAGCGGAAATAAGCGGCAGCATGGCTCAGCAACATAGTCAATATCGAGGTATTTTTGCAATGATCTGCGGATTAAAGTCGCTGTGTACATAACTATTTAGTGACTTAGAAAAGAAATATGAGATTTTTATCAGTTAATACAACAAAACGAGAAGTTTTGAACTCTAAATGAGGATGCTTCGTTGACATAAACATACGACTAGAATATCGTCAGTGGTTAGCAACGACAAAAACACGAATGTGATTGATGAAAATTAAATTAATTCTGTGGATAAACGAAATTAGTGTTCATCTTTCCATAAGTAATTCACAGCAGAATTTTTTGTTCTACTGGCACGTACAAAATTACCCGTTTCGTAGATACTCACTGATATGTTTCATACAGATAAATTATAATTTATCTGCACACATATATTTTAGTTTGATATCGAAAAGTACGTAACTGTTTTACATGTCATTATCATTCGCGATGGTCTGATCATCCAGAGAAGACTTTCTGGTACTGTACAGTACATTTAAATGTGTCTATGGAAAGTATTTAAATTTCAACTAAAGTTCTTGTCCATTTTAGAAAATACCGATGAACAATTACAAGAGACTTATCAAGATTCACTTGAATCGAAATCAAGCGCAAAGAACAGTGGGATCAAGGTCAATTCCGCTCTGTTGTGAAAATACGCTCGAATACTGGAAACAGATCCAGCCGCAACCTATATATAGAAAGATATGATGTTCCTTACAGAGGAGGACATCATCTTTTTTCTCTTAATACTATTATTCTAACATCTTCTCGAAATATACAATTTATAATCCGACTTGCACTACATAATCACGGAAGCGTCTCGCCACAAAACCTCTTGACCTACATCTCCACACTGTACAGCAGTTTTTGAGATATGCTAACAATAGTGAAAACTTTTCTGATAAAGATGTATATGTAGTACAGGTTAATTGCGTCGCATATTACATATAGCAGGTCTTTTAAATCGGGTGAAAAAAACGAATGTAGCCATTCAACAGAGAATGCACTAATATGCAGATGGCTTGCTATCTATTTGCATGCATATTCAAATCAACTTGCCATCTCTGTGTAAAAAGAGCGACGAACCGGATGAGCTCATTCACACACGATTCATTGAAACATTATTTTTCTGTTCGCAATTTATTTCAAATGATCTCGTTCCATACTTCGTTCAAACTCAATATTCCAAATCTCACTAATTTCTCTGCGTGATTGTGCAATATCATTTGCTGTTCTGGTTGATGACCAGGGTGTATGATTCATAATAAACCCAACAAGTCGATTACAATCATCTGCATATTTCAGTGGTTCTTGCATATGAGAATGCCAGGCGATATCGATCTATGGAACATAAATGAATTCAAATTCATATTTTTTTTTCGTAGTCTTGTTTGGATACTTACAGCACATGTTGGATGAATCGACTGATATTCATTCATTGATGAATATTTGGCAGTGATGTATAAGAATCGTTCATATGATTTTATTAGTCTTTTTATCGCCAAATGAAGGGCATTCGGTTGTGCTACAGGATTGTATTCGATAATCCGCATACCCACTTCGTACATATCTTTACTGTATAATCGAAACCAGTAACGATCAAGAATAATATCTTCTTCAACGAACGAAAATGGATTTTGGTAATTGTCTACTAATTGATAAGCAAATTGAAAATGTGTTTTATCCCAATAGGAATAGGACGGTATGGGACATTTTATGTAATTTAATAATGAATGATGATATATTGACCAACCTGCATCTTCTTCGTCTTCTCCGTTGTTGGTTATCAAAGGACAATACTGTTCTCCAAATCGTTCTTCATATAGCTGACATGTTTTAATAAAAGCTTGAGTTTTGACATCTTCTTTTTCTTGGCTCTTGTCTAACAGTAAAGAATGATCAATAATACAATGAAACAGTCGTAGACAATCGCCTCGATACATTTCTGGACGTATCAGATGAGTTTGCCAAACAATTTCGATGTCCAACGTTGGGACAAGATACTCTTGAGGATGAGCAACTTTGAGCTGCATAAATCGATAGTATCTCTTAATCATCTGTGCAATAGCTGTCGGCTGGCAACAAGCAAACATAAATTCAGATGTCTTTTCTACTAATGCAATCAGCGCGATAATCGTTCTCTCGATATCTGAAGATAATTGCATAGTCCTAAAACGCTTTGCGCATGAATCAGTCTGAAAAAGACACAAAAGTCAAGCTTACACTTCTGCGGATGTATCTGGATGTTCAATAGTTTTTGTTTCTTCACGTTTCGAAGAATGTCGTGTACTGAGACAGCAGGAAATACGACTAGTTTCCTTTTTATATTTTTCGATTATTTTTTTCAGATCACGATGGCGCAAGTATTTTCCATAGGTCCAATCCATATAGATTTGTTTATAAGATTTCGATTGTATTTGATTTGATGCTACATGGTATGGAGACTTTGGATTAGAAAAACATCGACAATAGGTATAGATAGGGTACACTTACGATTGCATTTCGATCGCCATATATCATCTTGATCGACGAGGAATTTAAAATAACGGCAAACGAGTGAAACGTGCATTAGATCATGAATGGAGAGTAATTGAAATATTTGTATGAGAATTTCAGTTGGAAGACTCGCAAATAGCGAATCTGAAAGCGTTTGTTGTATTTGATCGATATGCCATGTGTATCCACATACAGATGATATCGGAGGATGTCGAAGTTCTTCTTGACTAATCTCTTCATTATCAGAACTGGATGAGGAGACTTCTGCAAACGTATTATGCATGTTTAGATGTTTCCTTTATACTATGACTTACCATCGTCAGACTCATTCAATTGATACCCTCGTAAGCTTGTTCGTAAACTATTAAACATATTTCTTTCGAATGATGGTTCTCTTGTCAAAAGTATGTTCTGTAAAAATGCACTGAATCAATCGATGATTCACAGAGATTACAGCTGACTTTGTGGCGCTCCAATCAGAATGAATGCAGTCGCCTCCACTATGACGAATTCATCATGTTTCAGACGATACCAACACCGTACGCTATCGAAGGAAGAGAATAAGTTCCTACTATCCTTTTTTATTTCATTGTCTATAAACCGTGCATTTGTTTCGTGATAAAGAGTGACTTCGATTCAATGTTTTGCATATTTGAATCCATGAGACATTTTCAAAGCATTCAGTATGAACTAAACTCTATTATCATTCACTGAATTCTCTTCTCTTCGATCGTTAACCATAATAGAATCTGATCTCAATGAAGTACATGCCTTATGCAGTTAGATCTGCCGTCGTTTTCGAAATTACATTCGTTTCGGTTAATTTTCCATTGAGAACGGTACGAATTCTATCAATATTCGATCTCTCTCTAACGTGTCACATCTATTCAGTGACAAATTTAACATTGGTTTTAGCCATTGATTTGCCAAAGCTAGTGACAAACACACCTCGATTAAAATATTCAAAAAGTGGAGATACGATTGGAGACACTTCTACATCGCACAACGAATATTAATATTGAAAGGAAGAAATATTCTCGACGTTTCAAGGATCAAATTTCACCAAATGAAAACGTATTACAATAACATAGTTTACTCATTGAAGAAACGAGATAATGATCAGAATGCGAAGAAGTTCTGTGTGCTTTTCTCCGTAATTTTATTCCAGTTTATCACAATTAACAGAAAAATGATTATGTTACTACACTAATTACCATTTACTTTCGATTTTTCACCTTTTGAACAATACGTTTCGCTTGTTCAAGGCTCATATCGTCTTCATCGACTTCGTAGTTCGCCTTTTCGTTGTTGTCCTCTTTTTCTTCGTCGTCTTCATCGTTATCTTCCTCTTTTTTGGTTTCTACCATCTTATACTTCTCACGTACTTCACTCATATCTGCGCATTTCGAATAGCAGTCTTCGGCTGCTTTCGATGTTGCACCACCTTTGTTGCGCATTTGTCTCGTACGCGTCTTTCTCGAAGCGAAATAACGATTAACTCGTCGAGCAGTTTCTCCATCATCAACACCTTCTTCCTCTGCTTGCTGTATTTCACGAGCAATATCTGCCTGAGCGTTTTGCATCAGACGTTCCAATGTGATCTCTTCCTGCACGCCACCAACAATGACTTGAGCTAATAATTGGGCATTCACCATCGGCACGTATTGTCCGCCAGTGATGTAAGCGATCGTCATGAAAAAATCACGATAAGGAACTGAAAGAAACAAAGACAGAAGAGAGTTCGAAATGATCTCAGAAAATACGAATCTGATTTAACTAACCAATAGGTGGCTCGACGCCGACAGCATACAGCGTAATACTCAACTCAGCCATGTCTCGTACAATTCTCATTGGATCATGACCATCAGGGCATCCTTGTGGAAGAGTGTCACCACGACCGTTGAGACCATGCGGTGGAGCATCGGATATTAGAACACAGATTTTCGTTGCACCTTCGCGCCATGATAAATCGAGTACATCTCGCAATGCATCAGCGACAGCTTCAGGCTCATCACCGCCTCCTTCAGCTCGACATTGGTCAAGCCAATCTCTCATTTCACTCACATCATTTGTAAAATTGTGCACACGAGTGACGAACGTCGTGTCCTAAATCGTAATATTCTAATGACTCAAGTCTTTCCGCGATTCGAATAATCTTACTTGAGGCGGATGGTCTCGATATTCGACCAGAGCTAGACGAATGTCACTCTTTTCACTTCGAACAATTTCTTCGACAATCGAACGAATGTTGTTTCGAGCGCTGTCAATATATGAAGCCATCGATCCCGTGCAATCCATTGCAAATGCAAGGTCTAAATTGGTAAAATCAAACTAGAAACTGCAAATTCATTCTTTGCATCTTTTCATACCGAGAACAGATGGATCGTGCTGTGCCAACTCGGGCTGTTCTCGTTTCTCCACTTGAATTCCCATCGGTACGTTTTGCTTTCGGCGTGCAGGCATCTTGTTATATAATGTAATACTTTTCAACCAAGACCGATATATATATATACCGACACTTGCTTCCGCTTCACGATTACATTATATTGTGCAATTCATGCATATTTAGCCAGTCAATATTATATGACCTCACGATGTTGTCACAGTCTTTTGATTGATTAGGAAAGTATTTACTTCTGTTGCTTACTGATAAAGTATGTGGCGTTTCATCAGCAATGTTAATTGCATCATATTCTTGTGACAGTGTTATGCAAGATCGAAATTCGGAACTCATCAAAGGTGCATTTGCTTTCTTGCATCACTTTTCAGAAACTATAACAACATGAATCCTTCGCATAACTGAGGTAAGCAAGAAGTATGTATTGAGCATGGGTGCTACTTAAGCCACGCCCTCATAAGAATCAATTTATTGTAAAATAACGAATACTGAAAGCAATGAAAGAGAGTTTATTATTTTCCAATCGGAGCAAAAAAATCCACAACATGATAAACGGCGATACCAACTTGTCGGGAGAGACCGACTCGAACCGCTGCACTAGCGAATTGTTCCATTGAAACCCAATAGTTTAAGCCGAGCGGGCCTAGTGTTCTGTCAATATTCCGTAAAACTTTTGCTACTGTATTTCCAGCTAGACCTTCTCCCATAGTGGCTGAAGCATATCGTTCAGCCTTTTTCAGCACCATACGGATAATTTTAACTTGAAAAGATGCATCCTTAGTTCACGAAAGAAGAGCAAAGTTAACGAAATGGTGGGTTCGATACGACATACCACTGCTTCAAAGAATACTGCTGAAAAGAGAAGAACAAGGAAAAAAGTATGTAACTTGACCATCGTCGTAAGAACACATTTATTCGTTTCTATAGTCAATATATATATATATATTCTCAACTAAAGGTCAGCGATGAGGAAGTAAAAACAATAACGATTCAAAGAGCAAAACGGTCATATTACTGTTCTTTGCATAGGAATCGGTATATGACCTTTTTATTTGAATAATTCAAGGTAATAGTCAATGAAATCATCGACTTCGAATGCACTACTACTATGTGCCAAACATTCTCCACATGTAAGTGAGCCATACAGATTGATTGTTGGATTTTTTTGGTGTAGTTTTATGAAGATAATATGCTTCTGAATTCAACAGATTAATCAGCACCTTGACAACTTGATCATTGGCTAAATCGATTTTATGACCACATCGTTTTGTATTGATTTCATTCGCATTTGCACCATACGAGCAGCAATTTCCCCAGCAATCTTCGAGATGTGTAATGACAGTGTGAAAAGGTGTTGATCGATAAGTGAGATCTATCATATTGAACATTGTCGGAATTCCAATTTCGTGAAATGATCGACTCTGATGAAATGCATCTGATAAATAAATAAAATCTTGAAAGAATCGTCGAGGAATATAATATATATCAGTCCAACTATGAATTTCAATAAACTATCTAGAATGAAGTTCGAACAAAAACAAACATTCCTACCCGCCACACATAATATTCTCATCCGTAATAAATCGATTTGGATGCTGTTTTGTCAGGGTTTTCTTCGCATTTTGGACAGCTCGTAACGAATCGTTATTCCAATAGATCCATTTCGATCCTACGGAATGTCCACCGCAAATGTATGAAGATGCTTGTCCAGCCAACCAGATATTCTTATAATTCATTTGATCGAACTGAAACGGATTGATCCATGCCTACATAAACTACAGATAGTTAATTAGCAGATCACTGGATTACTTGCATCAAAATGAAAATATAAGATTCCTTCTACCATAGGGTAATTTTTCAACAGGACTTTCATTGTTTCAGACACAGCTTTGTACGGATCATCTCCGGATAGCCATCCGTCGGCAGTATAGTTAATAACTGATGTATACTGTGGCATCGAATAATGAAGATTAATGAAGAACGGTCGATAGTTTTCCAACACTCGCAGCCGTTCGGGACGTTGACCATTCAGTCGAATAAACGCCAGAGTACGCGAAAAAGGAGACTGGAGTTTATTGGTCTTTGAATCGACTACATCCAGAGGTGCTCGAGTTATTGTTTTGAATGGAAATACGTTCAAAATACAGACGAGAGACACACTTCCAATCAGTATAATAGAAAGTTTCCGATTTGAATAGTGATGATACACAATGTGTGATGCAGAGTCAGCACATTCTTTGATCATTCTCAATCGAATAAAAGTTGCGTCATTGAAAAAAGAGTTTTCAGTAAGAGACAACTAAACATGCATCAAAAAACCATATATAACAATGCGTCAAACGTTATTTTTTGCTTCAATAAGAAAAGAAAAAGAAATTTGCATTTACAAAGGCGATAGAATCGTGTCAACAAACTTTGCCTACTTTGATATGAGCATTTTCAAACGTTTGTGTTCATTTTTCTTTTTTCCTTCTCCCCTAGAACGTCAAACTGATGACATTACCGTTTCTAATACCAACAGAAGATGAACTACGTGAATTCTTTTTCCCTAGTCTAACATCGTCAATTAAATCACAACAAGCGCTTTTAGTATGATCATTATTGACGTATGTTTTCCACCCGAAATGAACAGAAGAATAGAATTTAAAAAATTGTTACATTCTTTTCTTTGCAAACAAAGTCAATAGTATGATGAAAATGATATTCAGAGGTACAAAGAAAGGCAAAGCTGATATCAAATACGTTTCGATAACCAAAAATAGTAATCTTGATCTTCTCGCACAAGGAAACTACTCCAATAGTTGAATTTTGTCTTATGTTCATCGAACCAATCCATTGTCATCGGTAAATGCTCTTTTTCGGACATATGAACATGCAAACTGTGCAGTCTTTTCATTCGCTTCAGTGTCATAATGACGAGATCAAGTTTGGATTGAATCGATAAAGATAAATGTTCACACTTCGAAGCAAAGACAGGCAACATTCCACTTAGTTTATGTTTGTTGAAACATTCCCTTGCATTGTTAGCTGAATGAAATTTCAAGTGACGAATTTTCTTCGATAAATGATCACATATAGCCGTATGAGTCCAACTATCCGTTAATATTTGCAATAAATTACAGTCGATAACCAATGTATCCAATTCTGGTGCATGGTCTAACAGATAGTGGAACGAGTCCGACGATATTCGCGCGTTTTTAGTCAGTGACAGCTGACGTAGTTTAGTTAGAACTTGCATCCATTCATGTGATGCGAAAGAATTTCTTACAGTTAAGTGAGTAAGGTTATTGTGACGAAAATTTTCGTCTAAATATGTAGGATTTCTATCTAACACCAAATTTTTCGTATTACTGAATCGATTCGGGTATAATAAATCATTGTTTAAATCCTTTGGTAATGTTGAAGATATTGAAGTAACACAGAATCCATTTATCATCGTTATCGAAGGTTGAAAAAGTAATGGTAATGAATAAAGAGATGCGTAAGCATTATAATCCATACTATACGTGTATGTCGAGTATTCACTAAACTTCTCACAACGAACGAACCATCTTCTTTCCAATAAATAGAACGGTGTTGAAAACGATTGCGTTATTGATTCCACTGTGCTCATAAGCCGCAAATAAAAGTAAAATCGAAATTCTCGAAGCAGTGGAAAACATGAACTAATTAGTTGTTGCCATACTTCACCAATTGTATGAGATGCTGATACTGGTATCTGTGCATTCTGATAAATTTCGAGAACTGTCAATTGAGACAAGTGAACAAAGGAACTTTGTAACATGCGAAGATCTTCATTTCTTGTGAAGATCACTTGTAATCGTTCTAATGACAATGGCCATGCGAATACTGCTGCACAAGTGCAATCAACATCAGCTGTCGTGTATTCAAGGTTTTCCAGTTGACGTAATTCCTAAATCGATCCGTTGCGGATTATGTATTGGAAGAAAAATTCGTCTTACGGTCATCCATACGAGATTTCTGCATGAATGTATCACTAATCGTTTCAATTGTGATGGCTGGAATTGTGATAATATCGTCGCACATATGGGTTTGACTGTCAATGATTGAAGATTGGGTGTACATGATAATAATTGAACCAGTAAATCCTCGTTCTTGTAAATATCTTGAATATCCAGGAGAGATAAGGATTGTAGTTGGGGACAAGTATTGGCCAGAGAGTGGAATTTACAGAAGTATTGAATTTGTCCAGGTGTTTCGTCCTTATTATTACAAATTTGTAAGGATTTCCATGAGCGGTTAGTCTGCTGTTGAGCAAATATAAAATCGAATTTCGTCTTGCTGATGGATTTGAAATCAAAGAAGTAAGCGTATTGATTCGTCAGGGAATGAAAACGAGAGTTGAGATTGGCAAAGGCTAATACCAAATCAATGCCGGTGAGATATGAAAAAATGGAGATGATTATTTCATTAGGCAAATGTTCAAGTACTGTTGGAAAATTGATAGGATGCGTTAGTGCTCTTCTTGATGTGCCTTTAGGCATCTTACACCTTAAAAATATTTTTTACGTATGACTAAATTGTATGCAACGTGTGTTATTTCATCAGAATTTCGCAATGATGCAAGTTGCTGAATATATTGTTTTTTTTTGTGGCATGTTTTGTTTGCTTCTCTGTTCTCACATGTTCTAAAGAAAAACAACTGTTGGCTATAGTTGATAAGCAGAAAGAAAATCAGATATGTTCCTTGTGTATTAGATCTTGAAATTGTCTTGAACTTTAAATAACATCAGATCGAAGATGAAACAGACACAAAATTATGGACATTTGTCCCATATTTTTCTTTTTTCTAGGGAACGCCCTTCAACATTTCTTGTATTGACTGTGAAAGAGGACAAACAAAAATGTTGCATTCAGATTACTTACAACTACTGCGTGACAATTTGTGCTGATCATGGTAAATACTCGACTTAGTTCTGCACGTACGTCAAAGGCAACTGTCGATGAACATCAATCAGATACAACAAGTTCGACAACTTCGGTGCGAATGGTGCCGAATCTGGAGACATTTGCTTGTTTTTGGCTCGATGGAACTATTCGCAAGATAAGAAGCTATAAGGAAATACAAGAAGAATTGGTAAGCATGTACAAATATTCGATTCTATCGATGTGAATGTGACGAAACTATTCGAAAATTTCCACAAGAAAAATTCATCCTCGATACTACGGACTCATTCATTCGGCTATCAAATCGTTCCTCGCCTTTCACGATTTGCCACAACTGCTCTCCTGTTATATTTTTCCTTCTGATTCAAAAGTCGATCGAGACTGGACGAAGAAATATTCTAAGTCACGCTATAACCATGAGTTTTATTTCAAATTTCTATTCGTATAGAGATTAAGACGCATCTGCAGCTAACACTCCGACCTTCTGAATCAATTAGCTCATGATCAAACCAATCGAATTCGAAAGAGTGTACAAAGCCATCTGGTGGTATATACGCGACTGTTGCCTTTACCGTCACAAGAACATCATATACGAGAAATTCCCTCCTCAGTTATCACTCGGGTTTATCGCGGTCAAGGTATCGGCTGTGATGATTGGAAATTAATGCAATCCAACATTGAAGGATTTGTTTCGTATACAATCGATTGAAGCAGATCCAAATAAATAGAAACATTTGATTGTGCATATAATTTTGGTTAACGAAGATCATTTTTAACTGAGAGAAACGTTCGCACATATAAAGGAATGCACTAATGACAAAACGAATTTATATACAATGGAGAGGATCTTAACCAAAACGGGTGAATATAAATAAGCACAAAAACGCTACCAACGAATGCGAGCTACGAATTTGAACTCGATCAAATGACTATGATACATTATTGACTAATTTACTGAAAAGGTTAGCGATTATTGACGAACATTTTCAGGGTTTTTGCGAAGAAAAAGGACGAGTATACAGTTGTATCGGTTTCGCTTATTACACGGAGAAACAAGTACCAAAAGGCATCGAGATATTTGCAAAAAAGCTCTATATACTCAAGAGACGATTCTATCTCATCAACATACAATCGTTGGGCTTTAGTAATATACTGGATTAAATGAAATCGACATGGCTTCGAGGTATCACAAGAAATGTTTGAATATTCGTTTAAAGACATTACCATCGGATCATCCGGATATCGTCACGTCGTATAATAATATAAGATGGTTGTTTAACGAATGAGTTGGTGATTATGAAAAAGCGCTGGTTATTTGCCGAAAGACTTTACCACCGCCTCATCGCGACACTATTTGCATGATGTAGAATATTCGGAAGGTGAACAAAAAGCTCAAAGATAAATAGAGAACCAAAGCAAACCATTTAATCGAAGTTTATTGGAAATCTCCAGTTGAACTTGAAATAACTATGTTATTTCATCACACGAAAAGAATGTTTGAGTATGTTCTCTTCTCCTTTTCTTATCATGACGGCTATAAAAAGTATTTCGCATTGTAAAAACATATCAGTTATTCTCGGACGGCATATCAATGACAGATGAAAAGAACACTCCATCGATTGAGTTTCTACCCGCCGAGATATTTTATCGAATTTTTGATTATCTAGATGCTTCGACAATATTCTTTTCTGTTCGGCAAACCTGTCGGCGATGCTATGATCTTGCAAATGCATACAACCGATACAATTTCGATTTTAGTTCGATATCGAAATCGGAATTTGCTTGTCTCTGTCGATCGATTGAACCTGAAAATGTAACATCACTCACACTAGCTGATGAACGACGATACCCAAATCAGACGGAAATCTTCCTATCCATGGTCGATATTCGACGATTGATTCGACTTCATACTTTGAATCTTTTCCGAATCGATCAGTCTTATCTGAATTCAATTTTGACGCAAATTAACATGAATTCGATTGTTTCATGTCACATTCAAATTAGTAATGAAGATTCAAATCTGAGTTACACAACACTACAAACACTCTCATCACGACTCATATCGCTGCCAAATCTTCGCAAATTGGAACACAATAGATTTATGAATTTCGTGTGTCCAATCAACTGTTCAATTCATCATTTGATAATAAACCAGTCAATTACATTATCTAAGTTCTACGAATTACTTGCAGCAATGTCACACTTAAAAACCTTGGTAGTAAATGATATATTGAAAATGCCAATGTTGATTACCAATGCTCCGGTGATATTTCACCGAAATTTGACTTCGTTAACTATTGACGATATTCATCTTAAAGTAGATTTGATCGAATCATTGCTTTTGCTGACACCATCACTTCAATACTTGAAACTTATTTTTTCGTATGAACTATTCAATGGACAACGATGGGAAGAATTTATCGACGTGAATTTGTCTCAATTGACTCGATTCGAATTCTTTTGTTCAGTCGTTCATCAAGGAGACGTTTCGAAAGCAGTTTTAGAGCAAACTATTGCACCATTTCGATCGTCATTTTGGACTGAGAAGAAAAAATGGTATGTTAATTGTGAGTCATCGACATGGTCATTTGTAGAGAACAAATACATTCTTCATCAATCTGTATTCAATACCAGTTTGTAAATCATCTTTTCAATACATGTGGCCCTATGATAATTGTTTTCTGATGACTTGCCCAATGAAAACTACGCTTGATTCGACAATGATGGAACATGTTGATACAGTAAATTTAAAATTAACAAACAACACAGCACTTAGAACAAGTAAACAGCGGATAATCCATGAGGCTATGCGAGCCGATCTTCGCCCATTGTATCCTAATGCAACAAAGTTGTATTTCGATATAGACACTGAACATAGCAAATATTCATGTAAATATTTGCCATTATTAGTTAATCTGACTAAACTCGTACATCTCGAATTGAGTAGTTTTGAACTGGTTGATTGGGATAAACATTTGAATCGATGGAAGAATCAGATTGGTACTCGAATTCTTCAAAATATTCATCTTCGGTCACTTCTCATTCATCATAAGTTTAATTCTTTGAGTAGGAGTCTAAAAGTCGTGGAAACAATTCATAAACTTCTGCCTGCTCATATCAGCTATTTACAAGTTCCTATTAATGATTTGAATCAAATAGAAATTATCCTTGAACGATGCCATCAGTTAAGATGTGTTCTGTTTGAAATTAAATACTGTGCCGAAATAAAACCGAAGCAAGTTGTCCAATGGTTTATGGAAAACACCAAAGGGTCAGTCTCTGAAATTATCACTAATGACAAAATTTTGATATGGATTGGACGAAGAAAGATCACGAATGACGAAGATATCAGTCATAAGCATAAGCAAATGAAATTAACTGAACAAAAATAAATATATTTTCATTGATTACATACATAGCCTAGAAAAGAATTATGACAATTGTTTCTGTATTGCATCTCGAAGTTTAACATGCGTCACACTTTGTGGGTGTTGCAGAGGTAAAGATTTTGAGGTTATGTCAATGGCTTTTTGAATGTGGTTAGATGCTTCGCCAAATCGTCGCGATGAAAAGAGAGAAATCGCTAAATTATGATGTGATAGCGCTACGGATGGATGGTTAGCTGAGAGAAGTTTTTCTTTGAGTTGTAAACACTTTTCATGATAAACACGACCTTGTGTAAAATTCTTCTGTTCATTGTAAAGTGAGCCAATGTTATTGTAGATTAAAGCAACGAATGCTTCGTCAGGTTGATTTGCTCTCACTGCAAGTCTTAGTGCTTGTTGAAAGAAATGTACAGCTAAATCAAGTTGTTTTTGTTTTTGATAAATAGCAGCAATGTTGACATAGTCAACGCTAAGACTTGGATCATCAATAGGTAAATTCTTTTGTAAAAGATCCATATTTTTATGACAGTATTCGAGTGATTTGTCATACTTTTCTTGTTTGTAGTAAACTTTAGCTAAATGATTATATACAGCTGACAAATGTTTCCAATCGTCTGTTTCTGGTGATATGGCTTTAAGAAAGAAATATTCTGCACGCTCAAATGAATCCATTTCGAACATTAGGAGACCCAGAGAAACGAACGGATTGTCATCATGAATCTTTCTTCTTAGCAGATTTGTCGAATCTAGTAAATCTGGCTGTTTAGCAATTAAATCAGTAAGATTCATCTCGGTGTATAGATCAGAACAATAGGAGACGGTTGTAGATTGATCCTTTTCCGGTATTCGTGTTAAAAGCTCTTTAAATAATTGACTGTACATAACATCAACGTAATCATCGTCATCGAAGTCATTGAAGTCATCGATCTTTTCAGGCTGAACAGATTTAGCTGGTGCGACAGTAGCAGTTGATGAATGACAACAACCCATGATTAAATGTTGTGTATGTGTGTGCACGCGCGTTGTTAAGTATGCGAACTGCAGCGCTTTGTGATTGTTTTTACACAAAGAGAAGAAAAAATAACGTGGCATTGATTGATTCTCTGTACACACTTTCTCGTACTTCTACTAGAAAAAAGTCTCATAGCTTGTTAGAATGAAAAATTCTAACAGAATCTCTGTCTCAACTCGTATGAGATTTTACTCCACTTCTCGTTTTCACTTTTCTACTAAACTAATCACGAAATGACGAGAACAACTGAAAAAAAAAACAATATCATCATGTAGTATGGAACCGAGGATTAATGAAAAACTTTCCACCTCCTGCATTGCGTCGAATACATTGATTGAATGTCACATGTTCACATTGTTCGCGATAAAACCAGATTCCGTAATCTCTCCAGCCATTGTATACACATTTATCAGTCAGATATCGAGCAAAATAGATACCTGCACCTCCAAATGCTGATTCAACGTCGATCAAGGAATGATTCTCTGGAATTCCTTTGTAATGTCGTGCAAATAGTTTGGTCATTACTGAACCCCAAGCAATAGGGATGAAGGACACCTGGCGAGCGCGTTCGAGAAAATCGAATGTCACTGTTGGCGATGACCGTAACGCCCAAAGATCGTAATATCTGTCTGTTTGCGAAGCTGTCATTGCTGCCCACGATGAGATCGGATAACGAAAATTGGAGAGAAAGTTTTCAACTGAGAACAAATTTGATGAAGTCACATCAACATCGAGAACGAGATAATAATCAAAAGAAGGAAAGTCAATTCGTGCACGTTGAAGAAGAGAATTTCGACAATGAGCTAAACGTTGAGTGCCTAGTTCAGAAAGATTTCAAGAGAACTATTGAATGATAACACGAAAAGGTGCGCTTACGAAACAAGAGACGCGATCGCTGGTTTCCTGCTGTATAGACGTAGACATGTTTGGAATCATTGTTTGCCCATTCTTGAATAAATTGTAGTGTTTTATCTTTTGAATCTGACTCGCCCAAATACACGCGATAGTTTCTAAATAATGCACCAATCGCGCGGACATTTCTTTGAAAGCCAAGAAGATATTTTTCAACATTTCGACAACATGCAGCGATGACCAAGGTGAAGTTGGTTAAGTTGATTTGATCACTTGTTATTGTTGGTTTAGGTAGTATCCGGCCAGTTTGTAATGTTCGATTATCTTCCCAAAACGCTAATGAAGAAAACGCTGGATCTTCATGGGCGAAATATTGATGAGAGAGATGACGATCGCTCGTAAGGAAAATAATCAAGGATGCGGCAACGAAAAATAAGAGATATCGATAGAATTTCGCATTGTTCATGTATGACTTTACGCCGATCAAACTATGAAGATCAATGCCTTTTTTTTCAATGTTAAACGTTTCTTAAAAGGTTCGTCATTCACAGTGACTCAATGGCGTTATGACAACCATGAAACTTTCATGTTCTCTTCCCCATTTACTTTGTTATTACAAATAAAAGCGAACGTTCGTAAACGTACTGTAACTGAGTACAATACCAGCACAGTTAGAGATGAAAGACATTGTTAAGATTGAGAACAGGACCTGCATGAATAGTATAAATGTATTCTATTTTTTCAACAACCATAAAAACGCTCGACAATCAATCAGAGTCGGAGCATTTGACCATTTTGATAAAAGAAATATAAATGAGCATGCAAAATTAACAGAAAACCGTGCTGTGTCATACACGCAAACCGTTTCTGCTCCATTCCTTTTTTTTGCTTCATGATTATCAGAACTTCGACTATGTAGAACGAAATGTTTATCAGCGACCCCTACTGAAAAGCGTTCTTATTCACTTCAACTTTATACCAGAAGAATACTCTGATATCAGAGCTGAAACCACAATGATATACTTTCAGTCTTGACTCAAAATAACAACAGTGTTATTTCGAAAGTATCGAGGTCCTTCGAACTCGCTCGATTTCGTAATTACATATGACCTATTTATACCTCGCGGTTTTATAAAGACAAAAGTAACTTTCTTCAAACGATAATCACAGTGTAACTATGATGTCATCTTTTATGGTATCACCATCAACACCAACAGGTTACAATCGTCGTATCGAACTTGCTGGTATGGATCTCTGGCTTCCAAACCGTATCGATAATGTTTATGTTTATCCCGGTGAGATAAATATCGATCAACTCAGACAAGCATTGAGTCAAACGCTCTCCCTTTGGCCGTTTGTTGCTGGTCGTATTCTATTGGAAAATGATGAAAATTATATCATTGAAATGTGTGATAATGCAATTCCAATCACAGTTGTCGTTAATCATGATCTAAAAGAATGGCCTTTCAATGAAAATGTAATTATCGAAGCGGATGATCAACTATTTCCAACATTTCTTGACGAAGTTCCCATTTCGAAATTATTACCAAATTCATTAAATGAACCACTTGTTCGTTTGAAATTAACTCAAATTGTTCAGAGTAATGAATGGGTGTTAGGTATCAGTTGGTACCATGCATTAGGTGATGCGGATGCATGTTTACATTTTTCACATGCATTGTCACAAATGTATCAACGAATGGAGTCAACGTTACCAAAGCCTATATTTGAACGACGTTTATGGAGAGAACACGAAGTTCAACCACCGATTTTACCAATACCAAAACAATTTATCGATACAAAACCGAAAGAAGAATATGCAGAAATTGGTCATGATTTTAACGCAAATTATGCACCACTGAATCTGCATTTTTCTGGCGAACAGCTTGCTCGATTACAAACACTAGCCGGCGGAAACAACGTTAGTAGAAATGATGCATTGACAGCATATATTGCTTTAACATTGAATAGAAATTGCTATGCAAGTGACGACGAACGTCGGATTTTACATACGGTTACTGTGGTGAATTGTCGTGGTATTGATGATTCGATTGCTCCACGAGGAGAAGTATCCAATGCTTTATTTATGCTATTATCTGATGATTTCGATCAGCCAGATTCATTATCAAATATTGCACAGACTATACGTCGATCACTTGTGAAACTTCGTTCTTTGAAAACACTTGGAAACGAAATAGCAACGATTGATAGAAAAATGAGAGAGAACACAAAGATGGATAGAACTCCTAATCCGAAACGAATTCCTCATGAACTTGCTGTTAATTCAAACTATCGATACGATTGGGCAGGTTTAGTCAATTTTGGTTACAAAGATCAATGTCGATTTTATACACCTGGGTCCATTCCTTTGTATCTACGCATATTTCGATTGAATCCAAAGAAGTTTGAAAACGCATGGATACCAAGGGATCGACACGGAGCAGAAGTTTCATTTCGACTAGAGAAAAATTTTATCGAACCTTTTCTCAACGCTTGGAAACGCGATGTCAGTGAAAATTTTCAAAATATATCGAAATAAAATATTGTCCTTTTTCGCGAACCAACCGATGACGTCATTCGTGCCATTACTCGTATCTGTATCTATACTATCTACAGCAGTTATCTACATTAGATTCGAGTTAAGTAAAAGAAAGTAATGTAAGTTTAATGTGCCTCTATGGCTCAGTGGTAGAGCGCCAGTCTAGTAAACTGGAGGTCCGCAGTTCGATCCTGCGTGGAGGCATTTTCTTTTGTAATTTTTTTTTCTTCGCCATCATGACGTTGTTTGAAGCATTCTGTTCGAAGAAAGATATTTTTCGTCGTTAGAATATTTATGTTTACGTTCCGTGCACGTCTAAACATGTTTTCGCATTCAGTCAAGGTTGAATGAACGAAATTTCGTTCAGAAACGAGAACGAGTGTTATTTTAATTCCCAATTTCGAATTGATTTTGTCATCGAAGATTATCAATTTTGATATTTCTTCACGCATCTACCCAACTAGAAACTCAAAACTATAGAATAAAAAATATTATTTAATGGATTTCGTCTCCGATAGAGGACGCTATATGTCGGGATTTTTTTTTTCGAAAAATATCAAAATATATGATTGAAGTTGTTCAATTGGTCGTCGTAGTTTTTTCTGAGTCATGCACATTCGCTAGTTTGGTTTCAATAACATGCAGAGATGATTTGGCAAGTGTTTGAAATTCATCAAACGATGATTTTAGTGTCTTTTGCTCATCTTCAACACTTTTCAACAAATCATGAAACTTTTCGTCGAGAATTTCTTGTGAATCCGCCATATTCTCTGCCGTCGTTGTTGTTCCAATCGGTGCTTCTGCTTTTGCATATTCATAAGTTGACGCTCCTTCGAATGCATCCCACGATTTTTTTACCGCTCTATTCTTGGTAATCATTTCTTAATACAGAGAACACAATCAATTGATCTCAATGCCATTATTTTCATACGTACTGAATATTTTCTTCCGATAACATTCAGGACAATATTTTCTGCCAAACATTCGATCAATGAAAATGCCGAGCAAATTGTATGTGTCGATAACGAGACTAACAGGTGGGAGTAGACATGCTCGACCGAAGTAATCTCGAACTAGTTTATACTGTTGATAATGCCAAATGATCATTGCTTCATCGTAGATTTTATCAAAACGTTTACTAACGAGAAAATGTATAGAAAAGAAATGAAAACTTCAATATATTTTCTGTTCTACTTGAACATGGCAATAAGTAGGTTCAGAAGAAGAATAACCATGAAAAGCATATTGAATGCAAGAAGAATATGAACTGCTACAGACCAATTTGTACCTGGTGCACCTGAATACGAATATGCTACGGTAAAATCATATTAGCGAAATCGTATTACGTACTATCAAGATATTTTAACTCGTTGTCCAGTTGGCCATATAAGAGATAATAAACAGGATAAGCTATTTCGCGAGATATTTCGTCAGCGGTAAAAGTGATATTGCCATAATAAGCGATGCTTCGAGATGCTGTTCCATAACCACACATTACAATAATAATTAGACAAGCGAAAAATACTAAATCGTGTAACTGAAATAAAGAATGAACAACAAGAATTTCTTTGCTCAAACGGAAACAGTTCTTACCATTTTTTCAATTGCTACAATCGGTGGTCCAAAAAACTCGATAGTGCCAACATATTTCAAAGCTCGAAGCCACCAAAGTTGAAGACTGTAACCCATAATAATTCTAAAACGGAAATTCCTGTATTAAGACAAAAAATGAAAACCGGTCATAAACCTTGCGTAGAAGAAGTTTCCTTGTGGTTCGGTTAATGTAAATCGAAGTCCGAAGCCAGTATAGAAAAGTACATAGGATAAAATTGAACTATACGTTTTCACCGGATGGGAATGATAGTGTTTTATAGTAGCAAATTTGGTCGTTGTGTCCAGTTCGAAGAACTACAACATAGGAATATCGAGACTCGTAAGACAATGAGGTCTATTCGACAAACCAAACGAAAGGCAGAGATGAGCATGCAGGATATCAGAATAACAAGAAGTATTTCAGTCCAATGGATACTTGATGTTTGCATAGTCAGTGGATCGAACCGGAAAAGTTGAACATATGAAAAGAGTAAAACAATTAGAAGATAATGAATCTACAAATGATAGATCACAGCGTCATTAATTTAGCGGGTGAAATTGACTTACACAATCGTAAGAAAACTTTACTACGGGACATTGATGAAATTCCAAGATGTTAGCTAAATTAATGCTTAGAGGTTTACATGACGATTTCGATTGAACCTGTCGACGTTCTAGAGCATCTGAATATGTGATACCGTATGGTTCCAAAGCAGATTTGCTTTCCACATCGGTATTGATACCGTTGGCTTGTACATATGTGTTCTGAGATGAGAAAGAATTAAATTTTACTTTGACAATTCACAAATGAATACTTCTGTAGCTTGTGATGCGATGTTTGTGAATATGGTTGTTAAACCAAAGGTGAACACATGCACTAGCAGCCAACAAACTCCAGTTCTATCGATATCAATCGAACGATACCACACATTTGAAATCGCCTGTACGCAGCATGAATGATCGATGAAACGTTTGGCCTTTGCATGGAAAGCAACCTAATGAAATACGTTTTTCTTTCGACTATTGTACACACTTGTTCTACATACTTGCAAACATGTGACGTTGCCAAACATTTTGCATTCTCGAAGTACTAGTTTACGAGCTTTGTTGGAGTTGTTTTTGTAACATTGTGTTATGCATTTGATAGCATACTCCTCGAAGTAGTTCATGAATGCTTCGTACTCGGAACTTCTATCGCTATATTTCACATATCGAGTGCGATACGTCATTAGAATTTTGCGAGCAACAAGAGCAGCGCATATGCGATGATTTATATGCGCAAGTAGCATCTTTGCCATGTCGATTTTACTCATCAAAATCGACCAAATAAAAAGGTCACGGATAGCATAATTCGAAAGTTCATTGCTGTTCGATTGACCAACTTCAACGTCGACACCGACTGAATTTGTAATAGCATGATCTGTATTTCCATCCTCTGGATAGAGTTTCTCCATGAAATATCCAACTAATTCATTTAGAACATGATTCAGATCTTTCGTCGAGAGCTGCTGTCGAAAGTGACCATTCAAGTCCATGATATCATAGAGTAAACATTCGCCTTTCTTGTGAAAATCTTCGATAACATCTTGTGAATAAAGTTTTGCTATCATTATTTGATTGTATGTCCTACTGGTAATTGTACGTACATCCGAATCGACTCTAAATATAAGACGTGGTAGTGCCAATCCCAATGTGATGAAATAGTGTAGGAAAGCCGGTAAATTATTGGATAGAGTGAGCAGTAGATCATCTGCTTGTTCTTTTAGCTATATGCAAATATTTTTCGCCTTTTTATTTAACTTTGCATGTCAACCTACTTACGTTGATATTCTCAATAGATCCTCGTACAATAAGATCTTTTGCTACTTCTAAACAGTTCCATTGAAGCGCTAATCTCAGCATTTGTACATCAAGATTCCGTTTATCAACTGCATTTCTATCTGCTGAATTTTGAGAATGCACAGAATCGATTGTTTTCCTGCGCACTACAATGTCGAAATTCATCAATCACAATGCAGGTAAACAAACAGCGCCTCACCTCGATATATCGTCCGTAGCAATGTATTGGTAAGATCATCGTTAGCAGCGAGATGAAATTGAAAGAGATTGGATCGCATGGAAGGTTGTAGGCAAAACAAAACGTTGTACCAAATCTTATCGACATTCTTCTTCAATCTTTCTTGATCATCCCATTGCCATGGCTCTTCACTATGATGTGTTAGTGTTCGTCTTAAATCCACTCTCATGTTCTTTTCATATGGCTTGACCAAGCCGTCGAGTCTACATGAATTCTTGAAAACAATTGAAAATCAAACGATTTTAACTCACTGCTTTCTATCTGAATCTGAATCGATACGCAAGATCTTACGTTGATTGCTATTCATCGAAGAAGATTCCTTTTTATCAAGGATATATATCCAACGCGCGAAAAAATCAGCTGCTCTTCCACTACCCTAGATGATATATGCCAATGTTGTAGCTGTCTTATGATTCCATACAACATGAATTCATGTACAAACCTTGACAATTATCACAGGAATGTTGTTCTTGAGAGAATGGTAAACGCTTATGATCGAATCTTTTCCACCTTCGACAAGAAGTGTCACAGCTGGTACTTGATTTGAGGTATCCAGACCACTGCGATTCAAATTTCTACTTGAATCTCTTTCCATATTTTTCCCTTTGGAGATAGTTCTCATGAAAACAGACAAACGATCTTGTATACCACGGTACTGATGTCTGGTGCCATCGTCAAGTAAAATATAGTGACTATGATTTGGTTCAAGATCATGTTTGCCTTTTCTAGTACTCTCTTCATATTCTTTCGCTTGAGGGTCAATTTTCTGTACTATGTCGGAATTATTTCTGATGCAACCATATTTCGTTACAGCAATAGCAGTGATATGCTGTGTTAGACTTGTTAAATGCATGTTATTCAAAGTTCGACCAATCATTTGTACGACACCTGCATTGAATCCACTTGTCAGTAACCAAGCACCTTAATACGATTTTATGCCTGTCTTGAGCAAAGCAATTGTGTATTCGAAAAAGAAAAGACTTACCAGACTGTCGTGTTGCATCGATGATTTTGCTACAGAATTTCTCTTCAAGTCCTTCGCTCATTTTAAAATACTTCGCGCCTCCGATAACTGCCACAAGCAATTTCGGTCGTTCAACTTTCCAGATTTCGGTTAGAAGTTTTTCGATTTTCTCCGGTGGTGTGTTAATGTCACAGCGAATGTACTAAACCAGTAAGTGGACGTTAGAATTTATCGAGAGTTTCTCCTAACCGAGTCTTTTCAACTCACTCTCGGCTCATTGGACGAAAGCTTTTTTGGTCCATAGTCTTGCTCATTGATTTCCACGCTGTTCATATGATCTCTTTCGTCTATCTCAGACTGTTCACCTGGTTGTTGACAGAGACAGATTTCACCATTGTCAGTTGTACCATTGCTTCTACCTTGCCCTGTTCTGGTATTACAAAGAGTGTTTTGTTATATACAATATTTAACATAAGTTGAGAACAAATACCTCTGTGCAATAGTTCGGCGACATTCTCGTCGATACAACTGAAGACCTCTGATTGCAGTGTATAGTTCCTATTTCCAATGAAATTTTGTAATAGACCGGCAACATTGAGAAATATCTTACCGATGATTCATCAGCCATAATGTTTCTTGCCATAGTTTGCAAGCAATTTACAATAGTTTTATTTATACCTGATCGCTATTCTAGAGTTCTCAATACTGAACAACTTTTTACGGTAACTTCCAACACATTCTAATATAATCGTCTAGGTTACCATGCAACTTTGTTGTGAGAGAAGCGTAAGAAAGAGAATACTATATGAAGTCACTACACACTGCCTGAAACTCGTCAATACTATAAAAGGCTTCTGAGTGTCTCCTACAAACACGTCCGTGCTCGATATTTTTTTCTTCAGACGAACGTTCAAAAGTGTCATCTGAACAAAGAACCGTAAAAAAAAGAAATCTTTAGAGTACGCTACTTCAACTATTTGTGTAAAACTGCTGTGGCAAGTAACGATTAGAAACTTGACAATAAAACTGATGTGAACTTTTTTCGGGTCTAAGAGTGGTTCGACACGTTCACATGAAATTTCAAAATTAGCAAAACAATCTTTCGGCTCATCACAATCATGTCCTCATCGTCTTCGACTATTCTCGCTCATGAACTGAATTTTTATCTTGTCTGCTAAGGTACAGACTCGAACGATAGTCTTGAACATAAAAACAACGATAATCATTTTGTGCTTGTTTTCAAGGAAAGACAACTTATCGTTTTATTTTTTTCCTTCTATAGTCGTACCTGAGACTATTTTCTGCAAAAGCAAATATTGAGTGAAATTCGAATATGTCAAATACTTTATACTCAGTGGCTTTGAATTGATCAGGAGATTTTCGTCGGATCGTTGTCAAATTGAATGTGTTTATTGAAAGAAAACTGTCTGAACATATTCAAAAACAGAGAATCGACAGTTTTAGAGAAGAAATCAGCATAAACTAGAGATCGATTGTATCACACTTTGTTGTCTGATTCCGATATTTTCTCAAACTTATATTGAATCAAACAAAAAAACATGGGAGGACATCTATAGATAGATTCCATTCATATATCTGTTTGAGAAAAAGCCGTTGATTCGTTCGAAGGACAATTAAACATATTGCTGTCAAACAGCAGAAAAACGAAAAACAAATGAACGACCTATTTATTCACTTGACATACTTGTGGTGATATGTTTACTCTCTTTCCTTCTTTCATCATGTACAGATATCGATATAAGTACATTGTGTGATCATTCTTCTCTCTTTTTACTCTCATCGTACAGATGACTGGTCACTTTGAATTTCGAGAATTACTTCTTAAAATTCATGACCTTCTCTCTGACAATGATCGTGAACGACTTCATTTTTTATTAGGTGACGATGTGCCTAGAAATTTACGTGATGATTTATCATTAGGCGGAACACTTCGTGTTCTTCAAGCTTTATTTGATAAAGCGATTATTAACGATCAAGACTGTATTTATCTTATTGAAGCACTCGAAAAAATTCGTTGTTTCGATGCATCAAAGCGTCTCAAAGGTTTGTTTTCATCTTTTGATTTTCCGAATTGTTCTTCTACGAATTATTATCTAGAATATCAACGAAATCAAAGACAATTAGACACTCAAAGTCTTTCGTTGACAGATATCTTATGGAGAGACAATGATGAAGATAAAGTAGCGATATCAAGTTTGTATTCGTGTGTTGAATCATCGTTATCGTTAGTTACTCCATTTGTCTTAAGGAACTACGGATGATTTACATGATGAAGATTTGCGGAGGATTCCTACGTCATCATTCACAGAAAAGTCGATCGCAACCAATCAACGTCCACCATTAAATCCAATTATTATAAACGAACCAATTGAAGAAGAAACCGTTAAAAGCAGTCGGATTCGTCGATTATTCTGTACATCAATTAGTTATCGAGAATGGGTTCTAATTACCACTCTTTTACTAGTCATTATAACTATTCCATTGTCGATGACATTTTGGAAACGATCGGATGAGAAGATTCGAACGAAGATCAATCGTGGTAAAATGACTTTGATTAACTTATGAGAAGTGTTTGTGTTCGTTTTAGCTCAATTAATAGACGATATAACAAGCAATGCTCGATGGTCACAGAATGGAATTACAGTTTTAGGTGGTAATGGTCCTGGTGATGGACTTAATCAATTGCGAAATCCTGGAACAATCGACATCGATGATGAAAATACAATTTATGTTGTCGATGATAATAATAATCGTGTTCTTGAAAAGAAATTGAATCAAACAACTCCTCGTATTGTCGCAGGCGGGAATGGAATAGGCGGTGAAAATAATCAATTGAATCATCCAGTACACGTTATTGTGGAGAAATCAAGAGAAAGTTTAATTATATGTGATTCTGGTAACCGACGATTAATGCGATGGTCCATTTCCACTGGTACCAGTGAGGAAATGATTTTAACAGATATAGTTTGTCAGGGATTAGCACTCGATAAACATGGTTTTCTTTATGTTTCAAATAAGAAAGCTGGTGAAATTCGACGATTTCGTGTTGGAGAAAGAAATGGAACTGTTGTTATTACAGGTGCATCGACAGTCAGACAGTTGTATGCTCCGAGTTTCTTTGCCATTGATCACGATGACTCTATCTATGTGTCCGATACAACTGGTAATCGTATAACAAAGTGGACAATAGGCGCACAAGAAGGTGTCGTCATAGCTGGAAGTCTCGACTCAGGAACCGATTCGACACACTTCAGTCGTCCATTTGGAATAGTTTTGGATCACATGAAGACTATATATGTGGTCGATTCAGACAACAGTCGAGTGATCCGCTGGCGGGAAGGTATGACTAAAGGAGACGTCATCATTGGCGGTCGTGGTAGAGGCGATCGAGCAGATCAATTAGATAATCCTATCGATATTGCATTTGATCAACAAGGTAATCTATATGTGGTTGATTTTAACAATCATCGGGTGCAAAGATTTAATATTGAACAATACTGACATATATCTCTCATAATGGCTTATAAATTTATTGAGTTGTACTTTTTCTCACTTGTTATTATATATCTGCTATTGTTCAGTAATAAAATAAAGAACCTTTCTTCAACTCTCTTGATCTATAAGTAATATATAATAACGTCAAGATGAATATCAGCGAGAAAACGAAATAAAGAGGTTCTTTTTTTTTGTTTTTATTTCATGACAAGAAAAAACACATTTAATTATATACAATTTACATTCTAACTGATGTAGTGTTGACGAATGGCTGCAGGAACACCAGTGTATGGTTGGAAGTGAAGTGCATCTAGTGGAGTGAAGTCCACTTCTCGTTCAACACCAACATGTCCATTCCATGGATTGACATACATTCCACTATCTTGTGTATAGATGCCATAGCCATAGTTACCAAAGCCAATGGTGTGATAGTCACCATTCCAGCTGTTGCTGACAAGAGCTGTTCGTCCGAGCATGATGAATAGATGAGTTTATTTGAATGATAAAATATCGAAGAGTGAATGAATGAATGAGAATGAGGTTGAAATGCGTTGTATTTATAGAATGGAGGATATGATAGACTATTACATAACTACACTGTCTGTACCATGAATAGAAATGCGTCGAATCTATGTGACGTACATTGTGATATGCGTCATCCGTGACGTATTATAGCACTTGTTATGTATGTACAGTGATACAAATACAGGTGAAAAAGCTATTCTTCAACGAATAAAGGCTATCGAAGAAAATTTAAAAATATTATTTATAACGCCCATTTTCGTCAGTTCATTTCTAAGAATATCTTAAAGACGTGAATGATGACGTATATGAGAATGAAAATATGTATCAATACGTCATTCAACTTTTGTTGTTTACCTTGTTCGCCAACGGTATGATCGGTGTACCTATGTAAAAATATCTGCTGTATAAATACCACACAACTCTTTCGCATCTTCATTCATTCATTCATTCACTCTTCGATATCTTGTCATTCAAATAAACTCATCTATTCATCATGCTCGGACGAACAACTCTTGTCAGCAACAGCTGGAATGGTGACTATCACACCATTGGCTTTGGTAACTATGGCTATGGCATCTATACACAAGATAGTGGAATGTATGTCAATCCATGGAATGGACATGTTGGTGTTGAACGAGAAGTGGACTTCACTCCACTAGATGCACTTCACTTCCAACCATACACTGGTGTTCCTGCATCCATTCGTCAACACTATATCAGTTAGAATGCAAATTGTATATAATGAAATGTATATTTTTATCTGTGATGAAATAAACTTAGAAAAAAAACTCTTTGTTGTTACTACCTATACGTCATCTTGAAGATAGTTTTCGTTATTCTTTTTCTCGTGTTCGTCCGACTTAGTTCAACTTTGCATTTCTCGATCGAAGAGTTATCTAAGGACGGCATAGTTTTGTTCAAATATAGAGAATATTATGTTTAACGCCAAGAAACTCAAATAACTGTGTAAATAAGTACATGTCGTGGCTCGTGCTGACAATACATCGTATCGGCCTTCGTTCTTCATATAATATAAGTATTCAGAGACAGAGAAGAAAAGTTTATATGTTACAAAAAATAACTTGTTCGAAATTTCTAATACAGCAGACTCTAATATATCGATTGGTATCTGTTTATTCACACTATCTTATGAAATTAGCAACAATTTCAAATCATAGAAAACGAACAGCATCTCCCGATGTTTTATCTACATCTGTGATAATAGCAAAATTTGCTCTTTGTTTTTGTTTTAATTTTATTTCATAACAGATAAAAATATACATTTCTCATTATATACAATCTACATTCTAACTGATGTAGTGTTGACGAATGGCTGCAGGAACACCAGTGTATGGTTGAAAGTGAAGTGCATCTAGTGGAGTGAAGTCCACTTCTCGTTCAACACCAACATGTCCATTCCATGGATTGACATACATTCCACTATCTTGTGTATAGATACCATAGCCATAGTTACCAAAGCCAATGGTGTGATAGTCACCATTCCAGCTGTTGCTGACAAGAGTTGTTCGTCCGAGCATGATGAATAGATGAGTTTATTTGAATGATAAGATACCGAAGAGTGAATGAGTGAATGAATGAAGATGTGAAAGAGATGTGTGGTATTTATAGAGTAGAAAGTATAGTGAATTACTACATAACTGTACCCTTGATGATCAAGGTAAATAACGTATCTAAACATATCTTCATCTACGTCATCACTCACCTGTTCTCTTTATTTTCTATGAAGAACGATAAAAACAAACACACGTAATGTACTGTTTCATGTACAAAGAATATTCTCGACTTATCCGTTCACATCGAAAAATAGCTGTAATACGTCACTGATGACGCATATGAAGAGAATGTAACGTGCGTCAGCGATGTCCAACGTACTTTTTATCAAGGATTTAATCAGTACAAATGCGTAAAACGATCTGTTGTATAAATACCACACATCTCTTTCGCATCTTCATTTATTCATTCATTCACTCTTCGATATCTTATCATTCAAATAAACTCATCTATTCATCATGCTCGGACGAACAACTCTTGTCAGCAACAGCTGGAATGGTGACTATCACACCATTGGCTTTGGTAACTATGGCTATGGTATCTATACACAAGATAGTGGAATGTATGTCAATCCATGGAATGGACATGTTGGTGTTGAACGAGAAGTGGACTTCACTCCACTAGATGCACTTCACTTCCAACCATACACTGGTGTTCCTGCATCCATTCGTCAACACTATATCAGTTAGAATGTAAATTGTATAGAATAAAATGTGTTTTTTCTTGTCATAAAATAAAATCAGAAAAAAGAACCTTTATTTCGTTTTCTGTCTGATCCTAATCTTCAGTATAGATCAATAGTTTATGTATACCATTTTATTTTTGTCTAGTCGTATACAAAAAGTCAATTGTCGGTGTTCATGTTCACATATGAAACGTGAAATTAATCTGAAATAAAATCATATAGTTTTTCTATTGATGCTTTTGAGGGTGTAAATAAGAAAGAGGGTTTGTATGTTCGCATTTCTTCGTTTTCAATAGCTCGAAATGCTTCTCTTAATGATACGAAAGTTATATGTTGCTGGTGAAAACGAGTAGTTAATAAAACCATTACTAATTGCTCGTATATTTTTTTTGTTCACAGTTCTATGTTATCAGTGGCCACTTTATGTACAGGAGAAAAGCAAAATCAAATACCTACCGTTATAGAAAAAAAGGATTATTTTCTTTTAGTGACAAGTACATACATTCGATCTGTAAGTCAGAAAGACATGGGCAATGAACCTAGTTTATCTATTAATATTAGCATTAATCAAAAGGATTCTTATTTTTACGGTGATGATTTTATAACAGGAACAGTCGAATTATATGTAAGAGATGGGACGCTCCAAGCGAATGAACTTGGCTTACAGTTGACTGGTGAAATTGGTGTTTTGCTTGAAACAAGTCGAGACGAAAGTATTGATCCTGGACCTCAACAGATTGAATTTCTCAAACAAAACTATGTTTTCTTCTATCGGGAATCGAATGAAAGAATGTTGATATATAGCAAAGGCCAGTATTCATGGTCATTTCGAATTCAACTACCGAATGATTATCCACCATCAACAATAGGACAAGCTGAAATCTATCCCTACGTTCGATATTACCTTCAAGGATTTATCGATGAAACGTCCTTTGGAGTGAATGCTCTATCAAAACAATGTATTGATATATTTCCACGTGTTCATGTCTCGCGAATCCCAAATTGTTTTACTCCGGTACTTTTTGACACACAGAATCCAAAGGATATCATCATCAAAGGAAACATCGACAGAAGTGGATATATTCCCGGCGAAATTATCCAAGGTACGATAGAAATTGAAAAGTATCAACGTTTGTTAATTAATCAAATCGTAATCTCATTGATACAATACCAAAGCATTGGACAAAGCACAAGCCAATATTTGATTTGTAAGAATATTATATCCGAAATGGAAATTCCTCACAAACCACGCATCATTCAGCCATTGGATATGACTATTCCTATGAGACCCTTTCCGCCAACGTTTCAATTTTGTTTGGAATCCGAGAGATTCGCTGTTGTGAGCATCTATTATAAATTAAGAATTACAATCAAATGTGATGTTCTACCGACAAACACACAATTGGTGGTCCCTATCAATATGGGAACTCATTCAGAATTATCTACATTAGACAATCAGAAAATATCAAGATCTGCTAGCCTGGAGGATATCTTGTTGGAAACATAACAACTCGTTTGATAAAATCCATCGAGTAGTGTAGAAATCGTTAACTCGATCCAAGTATCAAACTGTTTCTTCGAGTTATACATATATGGGAGAACAAAGCGCTACTCTGTTTATTCAACTACAAATTGCTGAAGAACCAGAACGATAAAAATAACTTCTTTTCTCACACCATTTGCATTTTTCGTTCACCTTATCTCACCAAGGCTATCCTGAATATAAATTTGCTGTATTTTCACTAGAAAAACTAATAAATTAATTTACCATTTCATTCATTTGCTTCTTTAAAATCGCCTGTTAAAGCAGAAAAATGCGTTTAATTTAACACGATTTTGTTCAACGTAGTTACATTACATTGTTCGTGATAAGAAGGAACAAATTTCAAAAACCTTTCAAGTCCTATTACAACTGTACCAATGCATCCATCGTTGCAGCACGCACATCTGACCAGTCTAGCTGCATCCAAGACTTATCACATAGTAAACTAGCTGGACGAACAATTGTTTGTATATCGTCGATCGTCAGTGGCACTCGTTTTTCACGAAGAGCGATAACGAGATAATCGTAGAGAACTTTCGCATGTAAAATATGTCGGAGAATCTTCCACGCCGCTTGTCGATTACCTTTAAGCCAGAATTTTTCAGCCTTATCTAGATCTTTGGCTCGCCGTGTTTCCATCCATGTTTTCATAGTTGCTGGATCAATCGTAGGCTGACCTATGTCAAAAGCATACTGCAACATATCTTCCTTTCGCATCAGTGCACACAGAGTTTCGATTATGGAACCGTCATTGATATGTTGCATGAATTCTTGTCGATCAAGCACTTTAATATCATACTGAGCTTTGTGAAGACTTGTGAGTTGCGTTGATGAGACATCGCCGACGATCAAAAGATCCCAATCACTTGCATCGGTATTAGTTCCCCACAGACGAGATCCTACCAAGTAGATATTGTAACTTTGCGGATTAGATAAATGAAGCGATTTAAACAAATGATTTGGTACAGTAATTTGTGCCATCTGACTTTTATTTCAACTAATTCAACGTGCTTTGTTTTAGATGCATACATATATAAGTTTGTAACTTATGACTCATTGTATTGCGTTGGTCTTTCGCAATTATTTTACTATATGACAGAACGAACAAAAATTTCTTCTCTTAGGCGTATGTGCGTGTAACTACCATGTTTTTTTCCTCTGTATAGTAAAAGGTGGTCTTTCATATATCAACGAAGGGAAAGACATCTCTTCGTCGTTTTCCCCTTTCCATTTCCATTTAGAGAATGGGAACCAGAAAAAGTTGCTCCCCTATGGCACTAGACCAAGCACATGATACTGGTTCGCCAGCACAGTGAACAACATTTCGGTCGATGCTGAAGATTTATAATGAAAATATAGACTTTGCTGAAGGTGACCGATAGATACATAAAAAACGCAGTAGAGAAAGAATAAATATATTGATAAGCTCAGCAATTCTTATCCGTTGAAACTCAAAGGCCCCGTTTTATAGTCGCTGTTGTTTTTATTGTTCGTCGGGTTGTTGTTCTTTGCACAGGTTTTGTTGCTCCGGAACAAAGTCGGAGTACATTAGCTGGAAACGATCCAAGAGCGTTTCCTGGTGGATAATAATTTGCAACGACATAAACGTTTGTGTTATTGTTTGCAAAGGCAATGCCTATACCAAGCTGAGTCGAACTTTTCCAAATTACCTGTGTGAAATGGCCGGTGGCTGGCGAGAAACCTGGTGAACGATACTTGTACGATTTTATTTCACTATACCAAGATACAGTTGGTGCTGAACCTGTTAACTATATTTCTTTCATCTGCATGGACGAGTGAATCAAACGAAATCTTACCGTTGACAAGAATTAGTGGTACTGGTGACCACGACGACCAGAGATTTTCACCTAATCCTGGCGCACCGCTATGTTGAAACAGTTTGTTTCGCGCTAAATAATTCGCATAGTTTTGAGCTCGACTGTTCAGAGACGAATTCAATACCATTGCACCAGTACAGTGGAGACGACGCAGAGTGTTATGCTCGTCAAGAGCCTGTCGTCGGAAGTTAGCAAGCACAATTGCATTTGATAGTGACCAGTAGCTGACGAGCATGGTAATCCATAGCAAAATTTTAAGTTGTATCATATTTGTCGGATTAAGCGAAAATCCAAATAACTTGACAATATAAAAAGACAATTTCTATTTATTTGAGTATTTTTGTATACCTGGAGAAAAACGAACGACCTTTGATAAAAGTGCATGTTTTTTGTCTACAACACTTTTTTGAATAAGACTCGATTAGCATCGTAGGCTATCGTCATTTCGTATTGTGTTTTTCTAGCAATTATTTCTGTATAATTTAGTATATAAACAAGCAAGAAACATAGAATCTCTATTGTCTGATGAATTAAAGTTTGTAATAGTTATAATTGCATCGCTTTTGAATACTGCGAATCAATGAGATATATTTTTTAAGAAAGTTGAGAACATCCGTTGTCTATTCAAACCATAGCCTCATCTAAGACATTGTTCTATATCGCTTTTATATCGCATCAACATATTATGTTGTACAATAACGACGTGATGAACAACATTGTATACGCAACAAGTAAAACACATAATAATTGCCACAGTTAGTCGCGATAATTGGAGATATTGAGCTATCGCAAGACGAACTGCCTTCGTAAAAGCACACTTTTCCTACATTGCTGGAGCCAGCTTCCATCGGTAAGGTTCCATTCCACCACCCCGGATAACTACTGGAGCAGATGTTGTTTTGATGCAATGGTGTTGTGACGAGTTGCGTGCCACCCTCACCCGTGAAACGGTACCATCCACTTTCATAATTATAGTCATTCTGACAACACGATGTAGAGGAAACGCGACGCGTAGAGTCGGTGATTGTTGTATAAGTTGAGCACTGTGTAGGGATTACCATGATTGATGGTGCAACTACTAAAAAAACTGAATTTGTGCTTGAATTCATACAATCTTTTTTGTCTTTCTATCTAGTTTAATAAATCTACTTTTATTTGAGTCATATTCTAGAAAATAAAATTCCAGTCATTACACTATGAACACTATAGAGAAAGAATTGAGAGAATATGCAAATCAATGTGTAAAATACAGTTTTATACTTACATGCCACTTTGATGAGAATCAATAGTACACCACCAAGAATTAAACCAATCACAATGTATACAATACATCCAATGTGTGACGTTTGAATAGCATTACGAATATTGGCAAGTGGTACCGGTTGTTGCGCAATCGAAACTTCATCGAGCTCGTCACCTGATGTATCAATGATTTGCAATACGATTGACGGACGTAATTGATCTATCAGAACAAACAATCAGATGTATTTGAGATTAATAAGCTTACGAAGTCGGCGTTGTAGTATATTTTGAAGCAAAGTCAGAATTGATGGATCATTCCAAACACGAGAACCCACATACCAAATTCCAACAATATATTCGTAAAATAGAATGATTATGATAAATTTCGAAGCACTTGTCTTGCAGATTTGTCCATCTTGAAAGGTGTTTTTTGATTTCATTATCCAAGCATGACCGAAAACAAACCAAATAATAGAAAACGTCACAAGACAGTAAGTGAAAGCAAACACACATTTAACCACATTTGTGGGTAACCGAAAAGGACAAATAATTGCATTGTGACTAAAACAGAGACCGTTTCTCACGTTATACGCGCACTGTAAAGAGGTACTTACTGAACGATAGCCGCAGCAATATGAACTAGAACTATAAAGAGACCACATGCACCTTGAACGATGAGAAAAACAGAAATCATTCGTTCATTAGAACAAGCATTCAAATAAACGCTGCCAATAACAATAGCAACGAGAAATAAGATGAATGCGACGAAGAGATGTACATGATACGGGAGATTTTCTCGTCGTAGTAGTGTTTTATTTGGTTGACAAACATTTCGTCCTTCTTGTACGATTTTATTCAAAAACCACGAAAAACTAAAGTCATCTGGTTTCACCGGCATTGGAACATTCTCCACGTCTCCTACTTCTGTTTGTTCTTCGTCAAGCATTGGTGCATATTCTTCCAAGGGTTGAGATTGTTCGAACATTATTCATATAGAGTTACACACAACTTTTTCTGTCGTATTTATATTTTCACGTTACCTCTAGCAAAAAACAAAGATAAACATACTTTCTTTTTAAATAAAAAACACCACAAATAGTCGATTGTGCCGTGTATAAATCGGCAAAAACAAACATTCTTTCTCTGCCGTCTACAAAAAATGTCGTTATTATTTTAAACAACATCAACGCAATGCCTGCACGCATCGTTATTTTCTTTGCTAAAAATAAAAAAAGAATTCAGCAGCAACGCAAATTGATGAAGACGAAAAATAAAATGCCATAACGACGTTTTAAGCATACTCTTATTCGAGGATATCAATGATGGTGTCATGTACAATTTTAGTCAAACGCAGGTATGCTTATTAAGAGTACAAAGACTACAGTTCATATTATTTTGAATGTGATCCTATGAGAGACAGAGGATTTTTCTCTATGTCTGGATATAAACGATGCCTACTACATTGTAATGTCCTTAGGAATAAACACGAAGAAGAGAAATCTAATCATACATGATATTACATTGATCACCTTTCTCGTAAAGCGCCTGTAAAGTTTTTCTGTCTATGGCAAACATACAACATTTGCTGTAATCACATAAATGTGCGTGGTGCCACCATTGTGACTGTGGTAAAAGAGCAGGATGATTGTCTGTCACTCGAACCATAATTCCTGTACAAATGATCGAAGCATTTGGATCGTTAAAGTCGACTAGTTCCAAACCTTGGTTATTAATTAACCATTCGATAGTGTCATTACTGATGTTATTATCGATAGTAGTATTGAATTTTGTTGCATTCAATGTTTCAGGTCCTTTGAGAATTATATTACTGGGATGGACACGACATTCGAGCACGAACTGAACATATTTGCCACTTTTAAAGAAAGTATTATTTGTCGATGATTCGATTAATTTCACTTCTGCATATCGTGGATGGCAGGCATAGTTAATAGATGGTGTTGTATATATTCCTTGACCAAGTGCTACCCTCTCGGCTGGTTTCAAGCCACTGAGTAAGATCGCCAAGCCGTACGAAAACTTTGTTCCATGGTAACAAATAGACCATCCTTTGAATTTATCATAAAATTTTTCTGTCACATAAAAAGACCATCGTTTCCATCCAACGGGACAAAAATAGGGATTTCCACCACGATCTAAGCGATCAGGAGTTGGACCAGCCCAAAAAGCACGACCTTGAGTATAGACTCTATTGTATTGTGGATTCATTTTGATTTCTGAACGAAACTTTTGAACTTTTCCCAAAGACTCAACTGAGCCCATGAATAGAAAGAAGATTTTGATTTTAGCAAGTTCTTGACGCATCTTTTCCGTCAGAGACTTGTAGATCATTTTCAGTTTGACTTTCAAACCATTCGGTTTGGATTTATCTGCAATTTCCGTTTCGAGAATAGCCGATCCTTTTTGTACTCGTTTTAGTGTTAAAAACTCTCGGGGTAAGCCGATTGTTTCACAAAATTTATCGAAGAAAGTTCCTAATTCCAACTGATAACAATTTACATCAACGGCTAATTTGAGCGTCGTGCATGAGTACGAACTATCACTGGCAAGTACTTCATCAGAAATGCAAACTAACGGTTCCTTTGTTAACTTGTAATATTCTCTGCATTCACTATAATACGCTTCTTCCTCGTCTGCCAACTTTGCATCTGATAGGAATTCTTCAATACGTAACTTTGGTACTACTGAAATAACGGAAATAGGAGAAAGTAGAATAAACGATTTCACTTACCAATCCCATAGTTCAAAAACACTTGCAAACCTTTCGACAATCGATTCGCAGATGATGGCCGTTGTTGACGATTGGTCTGTTGATACACATCATTTTCTATATACTTGAAAATATCCTTCACATGCACATATTGCTTGGCCATGTATTGTAACAAAATTTTTGTATATAATGTATTCCGATCGTTGTGAGTGATAACATTTACCATTTGGTCAACATCGCAAGCAAATTGAACGATTGTTTCATGTGGTAGATTAACTTTTCGAATGCCTCGAGAAGAGGGAACATCAGCTTTGCTCTTCGATTCACGCGCATTACCTAGTTGGTATATTTTTGAAGAATCCACAACCAGAATGATTGCAAAATGTTTGCCAGTTTCTGATAGAAGATTCAAAATTTCCTGAGTGTTCAAAGCACTACTTGCCACATCTGATTCAGAATTCAATTGTTCATCATCCACATGTATAAGATAGTCGATACCATTGACTTGATAGGTTTGGCCACAATAATAGAATATGATCAGATCACCCTGTTTCACATTTTGAGTCAACGTTTTGATCGCTTGAGAAAGTCTCTCACGATTTCCATTAATAATTGTAGTAACATCAAAACCAAGCGTTTTGAATAACGTACCCAAATCATTTGCGTTGTTCGCTGATTGTTGTAGTCGATTGGATTGGTGACTATACGAACCGTTTCCAATGCAACAAGCGATTCTTCTTTCAGGCTTCGCAGCAGCATCGCTTGCCATTGTTTCGCAAAATTTTATATGTTGGAAGAATGGAAAGGTGTAATGATTCTACCGATTTATTTATGTACTTTTTTTCTTCCAACTTCGCCATACAAATACACTTTTAACATATTATTTTAAAATTCATTTGCATGTTCGTCCGTTTCTCAATCATATAAAATCACAAGCAAAACTTCTAGCTTTACATCGATACTTTTACATTAGTAAATGAATGTCCACATGATAAACTGGAATAAAGTGACGGCGGTGGTGCACTTGCATCGTAGCTGTATAGTAGTAGTGTTGATAGAATAAGTTACTCGATGATCTGGTCGAATGACCATATTTTCGTCATAATCAGTTTTCACGATCCAGGAGACCTGGATGAAACAAACAAGCTAATCGCAATACGATTCAATTCGGATATACTCGATGATGCTAAAGCAACTCTAAAAGATAGAAATGTGGCGACGACAGCAAAAACCTCAACAAGAACGACTAACACAGCTGCCGCCATGTTTTTACCATGACATAACATAAAGAAAACATGAAGCACAATAATCGCCGAAGACACATTTACTTTATTATTCATGTAGTTTTTGTAATTTGACTATGTAAAAATATGATTTATAAAAATTGTACTCTCAGATTCTCTACCTTTCCGCGAAGAGTGTTCGATCGAGAACAAATTACATACACTGTTTGTATTGCGGTGCAAAAGCAACGGAAATAACCAAGAGAACGAAAATGTGTGGGTGTAACATTGTACACTTTTGCTCTATAAGTAGGAATACGAATTCACATTTTATTCTTTATTATATTCTGTTCTGTTTCATTATGGCTCACTCCAGTTTGAACGATCGTACGATCGTTGAGTTTACCAAATTATTACTCGGTGATTTGGAAGAAGTAAAACGTTTGCAAAACGAATTCGAATCAAATGGTTGGTGTTTTATGCGATTACCTGATGACAATGGCCAACTAACTAAGAAACTACATGAAACACAAATGAATCTTGAAACATTCTTTTCACAAGAACGATCGGAAAAGTCCAAGTATTGTTCATCCAATGGTTTTGGCTATTCACGTGTTGATCACAAAGAAAGCATTAGAGTTTTGATGGATCAGTATGGCTTCCAAAAGTATGATCCTCCTTTAACTGACAATGTTGACCGAACCTTACGCTATTTAACGATTCTGCTTGACAATTTAACCAGTGTCATCAGATCGATCATTTCCAAAATGCCGATAATGGCTCAAAGTTTTACGAAAACAGCAGTGTCAATGTCCCATTTGAGAATGCTTGACATCGCGCACTATTTCAATGAAAGAACAGGTGCTGCCGAACCACCCGAAGTGGGTGTGAATACCGATGAAGTTAATTGTGTTCCTCATTTCGATCCGGGTCTATTCTCTTTGAGTATTCTGTCAACTTGTGATGGTCTTCAATTAAAAGACCGAGCCAGTCACCAGTGGATCGATGGGCCGGTGAACGTCGAACATAATCAACATTCTATCGGCGTCGTTTGGCTGGGTGAAGCAGCGAGCATTCTAACTGAAAACCATTTCAAAGCTGGAATTCACCGTGTCGTTTATCCTCGTACACCACATCAGTCACGAATCGCTATTTGGCTCGAAGTTTGTACTGAATCTCAAATCGAACTATCACTCAAACAAGAAAACGAAGAAGATAGTCTTATTCCAGGTGGTACTATAATTCAGATGGATAATCAACCGGGTTCGTTACCAGTTCGTGCTCGATTTGGTGGTGAACGTGTACGGCGGTTCCTGCGACGAATGGAAAGAGAACGTGGACTATCGCTGAGCAAAAGTGCTACTACTAAAGTTCTCAGACTTCGTCATAAGAGAAAACGACAATTAGAGGAAGAACAAAAGAAGTCCACAAATAATACTGAAGAAGTCGTTTGACAACTCCGATACATACTTAATGATTACGCTTTATTCAATCAGTTGATCATCATCCGCACTCTGCTGTATAAAAAAAAATAAAGTATAATCAAAGGTCAAAAGCGTGTATAAAAGAAGATCATTGTGAGGAGTTTTTAATTGAGTATGTCAGACAATCTATTATTCGATCGTCCTGATGGTGCCGTTGGTGCCGATGGTTGTCTAACTAGATTCATCAGTTCAACTGAAAGACAAGGAAAAGAACATAGTTGAACGACTCCTTTAAAATCAACTCACTAGGAATGGGAAAAATGATCGTTGAATTTTTTTCGGCAGATATTTGCGTTAATGTTTGTAAATAACGCAATTGTAATGCTATTGGTGACGATGCGATGACATCAGCAGCTTCTTTCAACTGTCTCGATGCTTTCTGTTCACCTTCAGCAGCAATGACTTTTGCGCGTGCTTCTCGGCTAGCTTCCGCTTCTGCTGCCATTGATCGTTGCATGGACTGTGGCAAGCGAACATCCGTACTAAAACGAATAAGAGTATATAGAGCTGTCGGTGACAAATGAGGACATACATTTCAACACGTTCAACTTTAATACCCCATGGTTCAGTTCCTTCATCTAATTGAGCTTCCATTAGATTAGCAATTGCTTCTCGATCTGATAGAATCTCTTGTAATGTCTTCGTTCCGATCATATTTCGTAATGATGTTTGTGCAAGTAATTGAGTAGCTGGAAGAACATTACTAACTCGCGTTACAGAAGCAACCTAATGTAAATCAACAACATGTTATTATTTTGGGTTCTAGAATCAATCATCGATGAGTTCCTACTGGATCAACGATACGACTGTAAACAACAGCATCTACTGCGACTGTCACCGAATCACGTGTTAATACCTACAATTCAATAGTACACATAAAGTGCAAGTATTCAAATAAATAACAGACTTCTTGAGGTGGAACATTAAATGTTGTCGTTCGTAGATCAACTTTGTATATTGTATCGACGCAAGGAAGAATGAAAAATAGACCAGGACCTTTTGCACCACCTATACAAACAAACATTTTCTTTTAACTATTACTAGATCGAATGAAACTGTAGTAAATAAACCTCGTAAAATTCGACCGAGACGAAAAATCACGGCTCGTTCATACTCTTGTACGACCTTAAATTCGAAAATCAGATTTAATATTTGTTCTAGAAATCGATCGTTGTTACAAACTTTAATACATAAACAGATTGTGAATGGAGCGGTGATACCGATGAGAATATACGAAAGAACAATTAATATCCATCCGCATAAATCGTAATCACTCTCATCGGACTGATTCGAATCATTATTAACTAATAAGATAAGAGAAAAAAATAACTATCTCACAAAAGTATAAAACTCGGTTGATTACTTGGAATTTTTGTTGCTTGATTCGATGTCATGTTTGCATTTGTCGCAGGATGAATACGATCTTGAAACAATATCGATCTACTTTTTTTTATTATTCTCTTCTCTCATGTGTGTACATACTGTTGTTGTTATACGCTGCGCGGGATTCATCAGAATATGATTTCGTTGTTGCCATGATTTGATTGAATAAAAAAGAACGATTTTGTTACGTCTCTTATATATGTCTATATCGATCAGTACGTGTGTTCGTTACTAGTCAACATGTTACTTCGTTGACGCACATTATTCCTTATGAATGAATAGGAATACTTGAAAACTTTTTTTTTATTCGTTTTGCGCGTGACGTAGTTTTAGACGTGCTGCCGTCATCTTAGTGGCGGAACACGACAGAACGCAATGAATTCTTTTACGCTTCGAATAATTTATTTGTAAATATGAAATCTCGCTCTACATACGCTGCGATGAATAAGCAAATTTATTTTCGAATTTCAACGAATTATGTGTGCAAGGTGACAAATAACCTTGATTAGAACGTATACTGTATATCTATTGAAGAACGTGTTCGTAGAAAATAGGACTAGAAGACGATAGGTTTTTCTTTCTCTTGCATGTTTTTCGTGTAAAGTCACACGTGGAAAGTACAATTTCTAGTTGATTTACAAAAAGATGGGACGTTGTATGTCGAAGTGTTTGAAATCAGATGTATTATCTGATTCAATCGATGTGCCGATCACCGGCAACGAACAACACACCGAAATAGTTTCGTCTGAAATTATCGATGCAGTGAAACCAGTCGACAACAAACAACGAGTTCGTATCGTTCAAAACTTTACATTACTTTGGTTGGACTCAAAGATTGATGAAAACAATCTCGATTTCAAAAATTCTCTAACACAACTTCGAACAATTGTCAATACAATCAATACATTTACCAATCCTGATGAATGCATCCCTTTTCTCGATCAAATCACAGATGAAAAGGCATTTATGCTCATATCAGGTTCTTTGAGTCAAACAATTATTCCATGCGTGCATCATGCGCCTCAACTCGAGTCTGTCTACATATTCTGTGCAAATAAATCCAAATATGAACAGTGGGCTTCGGACTGGCCAAAGATCAAAGGCATTTTCACTGATATTGAAAGCATTTGCGAGGTACTGAAACGAGATGCTCAACAGTGCAATCAAGATTCTGTAACGATCAGTGTGACAAGCAAAAACGTGGACCGACTCGAGCCTTCGTTCATGTACACACAGTTATTGAAAGAAGTTCTTCTCGAGATAGAATATGACGAGAAAGCTAAAACAGAACTCGTCGAATTTTGTCGCGAACAGTTTCATAATAATCCACATGAACTAGGAATTATCAATGAATTCGAACGTGACTATCATCTTCATACGCCAATCTGGTGGTACACATGCGAGTGTTTCACATATCAATTACTCAATCGAGCACTTCGCATACAGGATGTGGAGGTTATTTTGAAGATGGGCTTTTTCTTACGTGACGTTCATCGACATCTTGAAGAATTACATTCGTATATGGATAAAAATAGTCTGATTTATGTTTACCGAGGAAAAGGAATGCCGATAGCTGACTTCGAAGAGATCAAAAATAAGAAAGATGGTCTATTATCTTTTAACACTTTTCTATCGACAAGTATCAATGAGAGCGTTTCATTACAATTTGCGAAGAAATCGTTGAAAAAAGCCGGTACAGTTGGTGTACTCTTTCAGATGATTGTGGATCCGTGGATGTCTTCAACACCATTTGCTCCGATCAAGGAAGTGAGTGCAATTCCGAATGAAGAGGAAATTTTATTTTCTATGCATACCGTTTTTCGAATTGGTGAGATAACTGAAATCGAAGATCGCGTTTGGCGTGTGGAACTGACATTAACCAGGGATAATGACGAAGATTTGAAACAACTAACGGAATATATACGCGAGGAAACGTCGAAGTCAACGAAATGGGAACAACTGGGTCATTTATTAATCAAAATGGGTAATTTTAATAAGGCTGAAGAGATTTTTCGCGTCTTACTCGAACAAACATTCAAAGACGATGAAAAACTATGCGCATCACTGTACTATCATCTTGGAGAGGTAAAGTCTAACAAAGGAGATTATAAAGATGCACTGCAATTGTACGAAACCTCTCTTGAAATCCAACAGAAATATTCCGATTCGAAAGTGTCGGATCTAGTGAATACTTACAATAGTATTGGTCTTATGTATGATATTATGGCAGATTACTCGAAAGCATTACAATTCTACGAAAAATCGCGTGAAATCGGAGAAAAAGCAACGCTTTCTGATCGTGTCAACATGGCGGAGACTTTCAATAACATGGGAGCAGCATACTATCATTTAGGAGACTATACAAAAGCGCTTGAGTTCTACGAAAAATCACGCGATATCTGTGTTGCATCTCTCCCAACAAACCATCCCGATCTTGCTACTGTTAGTAGTAACATCGGTAATGTTCATCAACGAATCAAGGACTATTCAAGAGCAGTGAATGCCTATGAGAAAACCTTGGAAATTCAACAAAAGACTCTTCCTCCCAATCATCCGGATTTAGCTGTTACTTACAACAGCATTGGCTTGTTACACTGCAATATCGGAGAATTATCAAAGGCACTCGATGCTTTTCAAAAAGATCTCAATATTAAACAAAAGTCTTTGCCTTCGAATCATCCTAGTTTCGCTATAACGTACAACAATCTTGGCTTAGTCTATTCGAACATGACTGACTACCCGAAAGCACTCGAATTCTACCAGAAGTCACTGGACATCAGTTTGCAATCGCGTCCTCCCAATCATTCAGAGTTAGCTACAACTTACAACAATATCGGTTTATTACATCTTAACATGGGCGAGATTGCTAAAGCACTCGAATCCATCGAAAAATCCATCGACATCAAACAAGAGATTCTTCCCGATCATCATCCCGATCTGTATGCTGCTTTCAACAACATGGGTTTGCTCTACTGGAATACAGGAGATTATCCGAAAGCACTTTCGTTTTATGAACGTTCGCTAAAAATCGGTCAACATATACTACCTCCAAATGATCCGACTATGGGAGCTCTTTACAATACGATCGCTCTGACACATTTCAACCTAGGAAACCTTTCGAAAGCATTAGAATTTTTTGAAAAGTCACTTGAAATCAAAAAAGTTGCTCTACCGGAAGGTCATCCTGAATTAGCAAAAACGTACAATCATATCGGTTTGGTCTATTGGCAGATGGGTGAATATGGAAAAGCACTTCCATGTTACGAGCAAGCCGTAGAAATCGGAGAACGTGCATTGCCGCAAGATCATCCATACCTACAGGCCTATCTAAATGGTCTTGCTCAAATGCGAGCTAAATGTCAATCCCTCTAATTTATATGTGATTTTTTTTCTAAGTATGAAAGAACCTTATCAAAAACGCGTTATGATAAAAATTCCTCTTGTTTTGTGTACTTGGTGTAAGTTCTATCAAACGAGAAGCAAAGTTTCAATGGTGTGCCGTTCTTTGTTATAGGTTGAGAGAGTAGTTTCAACTCATAATACCGCGACAATAGTGAAGAAAAGTACGGGAGAATTCTCATCAAGAATCATCAAAGTTTATGTGGTGGGGGACGTCCATTATCTCGAACACCCTGTTCACTTGATCCATTTCCATTTTTAGCAGCCAAAGCTGTAACACCACCTGCAACCGTTCCAGCTGTAAGTCCAACTGCTACAGAAGTAGATGTAGCAACTGCACCAACAGCTCCAGCTGACTGACATAAAGCAAATATGCTTCCTGTTACTGTTGTAGCTGATTGCATGGTTGCTGCAACACTACCTGCTGCTACACCTGCTGATGTAAATCCTACTGCACCGAGAGCAGGTACTGCAACCAACGGAGCTGTTACGGCAGCCGTTGTGCCAACGACGACTGTTTTTGTAGTTTTCGAGCTATTTTGCCACTTTTCACTAGCAGTAACTGCTACATCTTTTACGAATATTCCTGCTTGTTTGGATTTATCGATAGCTAATAATAAAAAATTTGTCGCAGATGTCCAATACGAATCCATTTCGCGAATAATGGTTAGTAAGAATAGTGTGGACAAAATAAACACGAAAACAGATAGAAAATAGTGAGTCATAACTACAGCCAATAATGGAAACGTTACAAAAAGAATATTCGACAGATGGCAATAACGTTTCATATAGTTTGAAGCATCTGGATAACAGGTAACGTCATCAGCGATCGTTGTTTTCACATGTGTGTTTTTCAGTTTAACAGGAAGGAGAAAGGAATATCTTCGAAAACGAAGACTATCTAGAAAAGAAATAAACGGATATAGGTTATCAAGGCTGTGTTCACTCAGTGTCACACACACCCTCAACACATGATTAGCGTAAGATTATCTATTCGTATTTCATTATATTCGTTTCGCCGTTCATGCACTCACAAGAGCTCCTCAACAGGATTATAGACTTCTAATCAATGGTCTTTTTGCACTTGCAGATGAATTAACATGATGTGAAAGTAAATTAAAAGAGAGACAGATATGCGCTAGTAATATTCAACCCCTTTTTACTAATCTTAACTACCAACATTGGTTATAGAAATTAACCCCAACGAACAAGTCATATTCCAGTTTGTTGACTGTATTTTACGCGATAGAGATTTGTTATTATCAAGTTTGAAAATCCGTCAAAAATAATAGGAATAAAGAATATGCTGATCGATGGAGTTCATAGGAATTCGAACATTGAGGGATACAAATCAATATTTCTTTTTACAGTCGTGCACAAATTGAATAGCAAAAAAAAACAGCTTGTGCTTTCGAAACCGGTTTCAAGGGTGGATATGATCACCAAATGTTATTTTCTCTAACCGGTTAGTGTACACTTGATTGCATACATACTCAAATATCAAATCAATTCGTGATTATATCACTGAAATATTTTTCTCTTGTCAAGGTACGACAATTATCACATTCATCACACCCATCGGCTGCGTGTAACAAGATACATATTGAAAAGTAAAAGAAATGAAAACATTAAAATAAAGTATATGCGACGAGAATGTGAATACAAGGACAAAATGTTAATTGATACGAATTTTGAAATCATACGATGAATCCGGATAAACACCTAGTTCTAAAACCGGTTATTACTATAACTCATTACAATATATGGAGTCGTGTATATAAAGGTCACTGGTTATAGTTGGTTCGGTACACAATAGTTTTCTCCAGGATAATCGATATATTATCATGAGCACCGATATATTTGCGGATCCATCCACTGATGCTAACTATTGGCCACGATTTCTTATGCAACTTTTTATCATACTTGTACTAGTTCGTATCATGGGATGGATACTTGGATTAATCAAACAACCATCGGTAAGGAACTGGCTTCTATATACGTAGTATCTGACTTTCATACGATTTAAATATGGGTACCATTTAAGTGGTCGGTATAGTTATTGAAACTGTCAGTAGAAAAAATGAAAATGAGCGGTAGATTTATTGAAATGATCAGTATCGAAATTATCAGTAATAAATTCTAAACTGGTCAGTATATTAGCTGAAAGTGTCAGTAGAAAATTCAATCTTCCNGAGATGGATTTGCCGCACCGGACCGACCAGCGTTCATCCTATTCATAGCATCAAGCATGTCATTTACTGCTTTTCCAGTTCTTGCTTCGATTCTCACATCGAAGAATTTGATATCGGCCAGAATCGGTACTCTAACGATTAGTTGTGCAGCCATCGATGATATTATGGGCTGGTGTTCATTAGCTATTGCTGGTGCTTTTGCTAAAGGATCGGGAATCATCGGTTTATGGTATGTATAACGATAGAAATCATATACGCATTCTATTCTAATCTATGTATGTATATACAGGGTCGTGTTGATTGCTATTGGCTATGTCATATTTATGTTTACAATAGTCAAGTGGACGCTTGCAGCTGTACATAATTTCTTTCTGAAGCGCAACAACGAAATGAACAGTTTCTTTCTTATTGGTGTATTTCTTATTTTAATTGCGTCTGCATTTTTCTGTGAGATACTTGGTATACATTCATTCTTCGGTGCATTCATTGCTGGTATTGTCTGTCCAAAGTCAGGCAAGTTCAATGCTGAACTATTTCCTAAAATCGAATTGGTCACTGTTCATTTGCTACTTCCATTATTCTTCGCTGCTAGTGGTATGAGAACAAGTTTAGGATCGTTAGATGATAAATTCTACGGCGGTATAACAGTTCTTATTTTTGTTGTTGCTACACTTGCAAAATTTATACCGGCATTCATAATGACAAAGATTACTACACGTGAATCATGGAAGTTTTCTGCAGCTGTCGGTATTCTGATGAATACACGGGGTTTGGTTGAGCTCATTGCCTTAAATATCGGTCTTCAACTTCACATTTTGTCACCTCGTCTATTTACCATGTTTATTATCATGGCACTAGTTACAACATTTATGACTTGTCCATTACTTTGGCTTGTTTATCTACGAACATATAAACCTGAACCTTTGATCAGCAATACCCAGTCGAATAAAATCAATATTCCTGGAAGACGTTATCTTCGGACACATTTGCCGACTACACGTATGAGTAGCGTATTTACCAAGACAGTCAACTTACCAAGAAAACATTATCTTAAACCATTGCCGACAGTATCAAGTTTTACCAAGTACTAAAATCTGAACTATAATGTACTATTTCTTTGTCAAAACTTGTAATTATATTTTTATAAGTATAAATCGTGATCCGATCACATAGCTTGAAAATAAATTCTGATTGTATGAATAAACATCTGGCCTTGTCGTTTGAAAACGTTTCGAACCTTGATTCGGTCACTCTTTTCTGTGAATTCTTGTATGCCAGACAAAAAAAGAACTGATACCATCATGCGCGGCTAAGTTTACAATGTTACTGAATAACATACAAATTATGTGGAAAGTGATAATTTCTGAGGCAGGTTTAGCTTGCTTTTCAACGTGAAGCTGGTTACACTGCTTCAAGAGTTAAATATATATTTTTTATTTTTCTTATGAAAAAGCATACAAAGTACAAATAATGATACAGTTTTGTTTTGTTATGGTATGCGCACAACAGCCAATGCATATTCCGGCGGTGGCGTTGGCGTTGTCTGTGGCTTCACGTTTTCCTTACCTTTACAGGCGGCTCCTATACATCCAAGTAAACAACATAGGGCGATAAATCCAATCACAATACCCGCTATTTGACCACCGCTAAGTGTGGAACTACTACCTTGTAATACATAATCTTTAGTACCATTGACATATAATGGGTAATTTATTATCAGAATAAAAATAGTAGTGATGACGACTACACAAGCATGTTAAATACAGATATCTGATAAATTTTTATCTGAAATTCCTACTTGAATATCTTGAAAAAGACATCAGCTTGTATGAAATACTCTGCTTTGTTGAAAACCGTGTGTCACAGGAAGCCTTCTGTTTTATATAGTAGTCTATACAATATAATCATTGTCTTATATTAGCTGGAGAAAAAACGGTAGAGCAAATTTGGTTATTCCCCAAGCACCTTAGTGCTCTCTTTTGATATGTACAGACGAGATAATTATTCTACCGATAAAGTATATATTAGGTATTTGCACAGATTTAAAACTACTTCCGATTGCATAAGTATAAGCTTTTTTCTGCGTCGAAAACATATAATTATATCCTTGAATATTCTTCCCTTTCACATGTTACTCATAGTTTCAAAGAACAGTGATGATTTTTCTGAATGTCAACAATCATGTTAAACTTCTTCAGAACCAATAAGATTTTTTCATTTATTCCATCTTCTATATAAAATACATTCTAATAACGTTTTCTGTTTCTTTCGATCACTTAAAAAGGTGTTACTGGTCGTTCATTGAGATATTTTCTTATGTTGGAATTGCTGTTCACCATATCAAGCGTAGGTTTAAAATGAGCATCCAATGAATTTTTCATATTTGGTATACTTTTAATAATTCGTTCAATTGAAAGATAAACGTATAAATCAGCCCACGATAAATTACTACCCACAAAGTATTTTATATCTCTACTATAAGCGTTCTTCAAGATCATTAGTCTGTTGACATGTTTGAATAAATCACCATCGGTAAATCGTTTGATTTCTTCCGCTTTTTTCGTCTGATCTTTTTCGAACAAGATCTTACTGTGAAATACATCGTTCAAATCACGTTGAGTATCAGCAACAGCATCGATCTTAGCTGATTCAAGATTATCTTTACCAGCCAAACCATTCTCACGTGCAACATAACGAGAAATAGTTAACGATTGTGGTATTTGAGTTCCATCGGGCAGTTCAAGTACGGGACATTGACCAAGTATCATTTTGGGTTTGTATTGAGGCCATTCCTTATTTTCAAAACGAACATCATTCCATGGACGGCCCGCAGCAGCAAATATCAAACGGATAAGCTCAGCGCGAGCTTGTAGATTAAAATAATACAATTTGAGGGTATTGTTTGCCATGTATAAGACAGGTTAAAGCCACAACGAAAATGAGTAGATTTTAATACGACGTTGTGACCTACTTTATTATTGTACAATTGCACACCAATAGCAGGAGTTGATGAGTGTAGAGAAAGAATTTTTAAGCTATATTTATATTGACATTCGATATATAGTGAATTTCAAAATCGATCGCCGAGGTCCACAAGTAAAAGTAACCTTATAACATATAGATGTCGTTTACTGACATTGGATCTTAAATAGATTTAAAAAAGACATGAGATCAAAAAGGATAATATAGTATATAACGCAAGTAAAAATAAAGGTGAAGGAGTACCACTTTCAATTACACGCGTGAAAACGACGGTTCAGTTTTACGATCGATATGGTCCATGGATTGTTGGACCTACTCGACGTGACGGTCTACTCCATAGAATATGAAGATGCGGAGAATAGAATGTTTGGGCAGCGCTTACACCGATGAAAGATAAGATAAATGTCAACCATATCACATAGTTTTCCCACCAACTCACGTATCCAAACAAGTAATACACAACGGTTGTACTGCACGCTGGTATACCAAATATCACGATGAAAATAATCAACCAAACGATACGTCGTATGACTGTCATATCTCGCTTGATTCTTGTATGCTGTCGATGTGTAAAATGTAGAGAATTACAACGTATAAAGTATATTGTGTATAAATAGGTGGCTATTGTGGGCGAAATTGGTAGAATCCAAACAAGACCAGCTGCTACGATCATTCCAGACCAATTTGTAAATTGAACTTGGCAATGATAATCGTTATACTGATATATATTTGCGAGAATTAGAGGTAATGGTTGAAGTAAACTTAACAGCACTTGGATAACTATGCCAACTAGGTACCAATGGATATTTTGATAGGTTGCGGGACTCGTATAACGTATGATACGTAAGCAGCGATGAAAAGCTTGAAATGTGGTCGAATACAGTGAACATATAAGAAAAACATTGGATAAATACGCATTGAGACGACACCATAATGAGTCGTACCTTGTTTGAAATACATTCGGATGAAAATGTCCTTTGACCATTGAAATAAACATATCAATACAGAAACAATTAAATATAAGTATACTTGCATACATATTCACACTAAGAAGAAACAAAACTTTGTGCTCTGACTCGGTTAACAATCGACGTAAAAGAATCCAAACAATAAACAAACATGTTTTGCAAATTGCTATTGAACAAAAAGCAATAGCTACAAAGTCTAATATGATGTTTGGAACGAGTGGATAACTTGAAGAAACGATGTATTCGGTAATTGAATGATTGTCTGTTACTGTAAACATTGAAATCCAGTTTTCAACGACTTAGGCGTACTTTCCTATCTGCAAGTGTGAACTCAACAGTTTCTTTTTGAGACATATTCGTTGATTAGTAATTGTAGAGGTGATATCGCTACGTTCTCGTTTAGAAAATATGAGTCGTGTCTTTCTCGGAGATTACATATAATTAGTTTATGATGGACTGGATTCTGTTGGATGGAAAATATGCGAGAATATGGTCGTAATGAGATTGTGAAATAGAAACTTGAAATATCATATGAAATATTCAGTAGAAAAGAAAATTACAATAGGATGACATTACGCAACGAGACATCTCATAATGTGCGGAAGAAAGTCTATGCCTTTTCCGGAAATAGTTTTCTTCAAGATTTTTTGCTTAATCTTTGCCGTAGCGTTTACTTATTCCGTGATATTAGACTGTTTGTCTAATGACAAAGCTTCATAGACTAATGTCATGATTTGTCCATATTTTCCAGTTTCATATTTTTCACCATCGAACACTCCATTTCTGCATGGTGTGTGTCGTTTATTTGTCAGCAGAACAATTGCCAATGAATATTTGGGATCAATAACCGAACAGTTGCCTGTCCATCCTGTATGACCATAAGCATCTTCAGATGCATGCAAACCAAACCATGGTAAGGACTTATTTCGATTCAACCGCCATCCCAATCCATACGATGGATCACCTTCATATGGTTTAACAAAAAGATCTTGAACATGTTTGCTCCAAAACCGAATATTACCATATATACCGTTATTTAACATAATTTGACAAAGTATAGCCATGTCGTGTAGATTAGAAAACAGACCTGCATGTCCTGCAACACCATTGAAGGAATAATAAGCTTTCTCGTCATGAACTTGTCCTTGTAAGACATGTGTGCAGACATTAGGAAAAGTTATGCTACCACCACGCGTGTTTCCTTTCACTTCCGTCGCAGCAAAATCACATTCGTGATATTGTCCTTGTTTAAGTGGATTGAATAATGTATGTGTTAAGCCTAGCGGTTGATATATATTCTTCTTCACATATTCATCAATGGACATTCCACTGTTACGTTCGACCAGTATACCCAAGAGCATATAATCAATATCCGAATAAACCGGTAAATGACCAGCACCTCTTGATCGTTCGAATGCGACTTTTGTCAAGATGATTTCTTCAGTTCGATGTTTCTCTAGTGAATATAAATCTGATGTCACTTTGCTTGGATCGTAAAATTTAACACTTGAAGCGTAACCCGCTGTGTGTGTTAACAGATCTCGAACTAGCCTTGTTTCGCGATATTCATTTTCAGGATTACATCCAGAATATTCTGGTAAATATTTATTGATTGGATCGTCGACATTCAGCTTTCCTTGTTCAACCATTTGCATCAAAGCATAATTTGTTGCGTACATCTTCGTCAACGATGCTAGATCAAACATTGTGTCCAATGTTAGTAGTTGTGGTTCAGCAAGAAGTGTTTCATTTTCATCGTATTTTAGTTTGTAACCGTAGACAGTCTCTTTAAGTATTTGACCATGTTGAACTACAACAAGGGCAGCACCGGGAAAACCTTGTTGGATTTCTTGATTGATGAAATCGTCGATTAATTGTTCATTTATAATACTAGTATTTGACTCCATCGATTGTATATTTCGATGATTTCAACTTCAAAATATTTTGCTTGAAAGCGACAACGAAGACAAAGAAGTTACGAATGGTAGATGTCTTTTTTTCGTAAGATAGTATAAAAATAATGACACCCGTCTTTATTGGTTCACCGTCGATATCTGCGATAAAGATATTGCTATCACACGCGTGTTTGTGAGAGAACAATGACCGAGATAGTTTTGTCTAGAACAAAAATGGCACATTTCGTTTGATTCTGAATTGATCACTAACGTTGATTTTTGTCGCTGTTTAACTCTATCGTTCTTTTGAATTTATGATTATTCATACCGAATAGCAGTAGGAAGTGTTTTTTTTCATCGAAAAAAGTATTGCAACGAAGAATTGCATTATTAGAAGCCGTACAATCGAATCTTCCATTCATATTGCAATATTGGGTGAATACTTTGTGTTTCGTGTCGCTATTGAATTTTTTCCATGTGACCGTTGAAGCAACTATACATTTCGTTCTCTAATCGCTCTCATCGGGGATCAACATAACGACACATGTTTAAGTTGAAAGAAAATGTATTTTTCATTCGACAATTATACAATTGAACGTAGGAAGCTATTTTCATTGTTCATTCTCTCAAATTTCTCTTGCATCGATATCGTAAACAATACAATTGAAAATCACTTATCGACGTATAGAAACAGTTTATACAAATAGAATGGAACAAGCAGTACTGTTCCCACAAGAGCGACCTGTACAATATCATATCGTTTGATGGAACAATGAGATCTATCAAAATATGATTAAACTACGTCGTTGAATTGTTTCTGACGTATACACATTTATTGATAACGATGATACAATAGTATGCCTGATCATTTCAGGATCACTTGCAAAACTTTTCGTTCCATGTATACACGGTATTCCATAAATAGATTCAATTTTCAACTTCTGTGACAAAATAAGTCGATACGACGAGTGAGCAAAACAAATGGTGCAAAAAATAAAAGGTATTTTTACTAATATCACGAATATCTGTCTGCAATTGCAAGAAACAACTGGTCAATATGAGCGAAAGGCCGTACCAATGAGTTTTGTTCCATCCGGCAAAAAGTTAAACCAGCTAGATCCATTATTGATGTATACGCAGGTAATCAAAGAAATACTATTGACGATTAACTTTGAAGATAAACACCTCCAAGAGTTTGCGGACTATTATTGTGATCCTTTTTTCGATGCATACAGTCTTTCGTGTAAATGAAATCAAACGGTTGAAGGAAGAGAGGAGCTGCGTCAAGTAAACTTGTCGTTGACGAGTGAAAATAATGAAGAACTGCGTGTGCTAACGGAGTGAATTCGCCAAGAGAGCTTTTCAGGTGCAGAGAGTTGGACTCGATTAAGTTTGGTATTGTTTCAAATAACACAATGTGATGCAGTTGAACGCATCTGCAACACGTTAATGGCTCAGACCTCCGATGAGTTCGAGCAAGCTCTCACGATCCGACAACAAACACTACCGTTGACTCACCCAAATCTACAAGGTTACATAAAGAACCTTGAAAATTGCAGAGGAAAATTGTATTGCGTATATTTTTAAGCGGCAAGGAGAAAAACGTGTAAAACATAGTTTTTATTTCTGCAGTAGTTATAGTTATTGTGTCACACAATAAAGCAGTACTTGAAATTTTTTAAATATGATACATATCTTATAACACATGACATAGCATTGACATATACAGGATTTCTAACCCTGTACACGTGCTATCGATAGATGTTTTAAGAGAATTATGCTTTCTGCAAAATGATAATTTCTACTGGATTAGAGTTTCACACGTATTTTGTAACGTCAACTGGATGGTATCTTGCAGCGACATCAATCGAATACTCATTTCTAACGGTCGAACTTTTTTTGACTAATCAAAAGCGAAGCAAACGAAACGTAAATCATGCTCAGTTAAACATCTACTGTTGACATACTGATACTGATATAAGCGAAGTAAGATAACTCTAGTATTATTGTAAAGGGCACTTCATCGTTGCGTTCAATTAATTCCTGTATAAATGGCCAGTGCAGTGGCATCGAATCGATGTTCAATCTGTGAAAAAAATGCAGCTATGTGTAACTGTGTGGGATGTCAAGCATTCTTTTGCATAAAACATTTCAATGAACATCGACAACAACTATCTTTACAATATGATCAGGATGTAATAGAACCTTGCGATCGATTAGTTGAACAAATCAATCAGGCACAGAATTCTAACGATACTTCACTCGAACACTTCGTCACTATCGATCAATGGGAGGCTTCGACGATGGATATAGTAAAAAGAACAGCAAATAGAGCTCGTGAGCAACTCACTCGGTTGCTCAAGGACGAGAAAGAGTTGTTAAGAAAGCAATTTGATAGGTTAACACAAGAAATTCGTCGACAGAGAGAAGAAGATGAATTTGCTGAAGAAGACATAAAAAGATTTCGAGCGAAGATCAATAAATTGCAGCAAGCCCTTCAACAATCAGTTCAACCAAACAATATTAATGTAATCGCGTCACAAATTGGTCAGCTTGATTGGAATCGTCTCATCTATGTTGAGAAACAACCAGAAAAGAGTAGAAAGAAAAAGTTTTAGTCATTAAGTTTTAAAACATGAACAATTCATTTCATTCTAGTACTACCACGTTCGACTTGCATCGATTTCAATGCCGAATGGATCAACGATGGGTTAACGGTAGCCGGTGGCAATGGACGAGGCGAAAAACTGAATCAATTGAATGCACCACAAGGAATTTGTGTTGATAATAACGATCAGAGTGTATATATCACTGATTGGTGCAACCATCGCATCGTTCGATGGAAACCGAATCAAACAGCAGGACAAATCGTTGCTGGTGGAAATGAAGCGGGAAGTGGACCAAATCAACTTAATAATCCGTTAGATGTTATTCTCGATCACGAAAGAAACAGTTTTATTATTTGTGACTCTGGAAATAAACGAATTGTCAGATGGCCTTGTCGAGATGCATATAGCGGACAAACAATCATTTCGAACATCGATAGTCGAGGTTTAGCGATAGATGATAGAGGATATCTTTACGTTTCTGACTACACAAAAAATGAGGTAAGACGATGGCAAATAGGCGAAGTTGAAGGCACTTTAGTTGCTGGTGGCAATGGGAAAGGTCGCGCACTCAATCAACTAAATGGTCCACAAGGCATATTCGTGGATGAGGATCATTCGATATATGTATCCGACATGAATAACTATCGTGTTATGAAATGGACAGACGGAGCAAAAGAAGGGACCGTCGTAGCAGGTGGTCAAGGTAAAGGAGATGACCTTACACAATTGTCATCACCTTATGGAGTGGTTGTCGATCGGTTGGGAACGATCTACATTGTAGATTGTGGCTGCTGCCGAGTCGTACGATGGTACAATGGATCGAAAACAGGCAGCATAGTTGTGGGTGGTAATGGCTGTGGGGATAAAAGAAATCAACTGAACTATCCAACAGGGTTTGCTTTTGATCGATTCGGTAATATCTACGTTTCGGACAATGGGAATAACCGAATACAAAAATTTAATATCCATTCCAATTCATGCTGATAATTTATCAACTTCGTGATTATATATTTTTTTAATCTTGTTATGCAATAAATATCATGAAACTTTGAGGCTATACCGACGCTAAATTTCCTACAGACTATGAATTATTTATCTCGGAAAAAATCAGCAAGAGCATTATAAGATATCTACTAAATTTTACATCGGTTGGATATTTTCCTTTACCAGACTGTTAGAAAAAATAAAGAAAACGTATCTGTCAGTCTATAATTAGTTTATTCATTATGATGAGATACAGATATGGAAAATGGAAAGAGAACTTTTAAGAACGTTTGTTTGTGGCAAACTTTCTATTTCTTTCCGATGAAACAGCCGATACCCGATCCACCTCCATTGGCACATCGACTGCAAACACAAACAGGTCGTCCGTTTCTCTTTTGGCACGTTCCAGTGCCACAATTTTGCGAGCAACAAGCACCAATACATAGCTTCGCTGCAACTTCACTCAAACCCCAGATATCCATGCGGGCACAAACAGAGAAAAGATCGTTATCACGTTTAGCTCGAAGCAATGGATCGGCATTAACAGTAAGTAAGCAGACCAAAAATACAATCAGATATTTCACCATTTTGAATTACAATCAATACGCAAAGCAGTTTGTGAATATCTCAGGATAAAACGTCTGATTTATATAGTTGATCACGATTGTAATTAAATTCTATTCATCATTCTTAAGTGTTATATATTCTATTCAATGAGAACCGAATGTGAATGCATAATTATTTCGTCAATCAACTTCAAATTTAAATAAAAGTGCCTGTAGCGTATCTAAGCAAGAACTAAACTGGGAGCATATTAAACATTGATACATAGTGGATATGTACACCTACGTAATATCGATGCATTTCATAGCAACACTGTTATCGTCAACACGAGACATCCGTACTTTTTCATGAAGGTGTGTTATTACACAATTCATTTGTCACGTTATTGCAAAAGATGGCAATATAAAATAAAATCGAATCAAAGCAAGAATTGTGATTAGTTTTTTTTTCTATTCGTATAGTTAATAATGATTGCTTATCCAGATACCAATCAATTTCACGACGTGATTGAATCAATAAGAAGATATCCGTATCGGTATAAAATTGAGCAAGGAAAAAACTATCCGAAACTAAAATTCACCGGAACCGTAAAATTACATGGAGCAAATGCCGCAATTGTCTATCAAAAAGAATTAGGATATCATTGTCAATCGCGTCATCTGATCGTATCTCCAGAAATGGACAATCATGGTTTCGCACATTTTATGTATCCACTAGCAGAGAAATTTCTACAAGAGCGTGTTCTTATTAATTGTTCGATGCTTCAAAAACATTATGATCGTGGAAATACGATTGTCATCTATGGAGAATGGTGTGGTCGGAACATTCAGAAGAACGTTGCTCTGTGTGGTGTTCGAAAAATGTTTGTAATTTTCAAGATTCGAATCGGAGAGTCGAAGCCACCAGTTTGGATTGATCCAAAACATTGGTCGAACCTTCAATGGTCTGAGCAATTGATTTACAATATTTTCGATTTTTCAACCTACGACATCGAGATTGATTTTAATCAACCGCAACTTGCTCAGAGCAAGCTTGTAGAAATTACCAAAACTGTTGAAAATGAATGTCCAGTTGGCATGTATTTTAATCAGAAAGGTTATGGAGAAGGTATTGTTTGGACTGAATGGTTACAATCATATGGCAATCTTTCCTTTAAAGTCAAAGGTGAAATGCATGCAGTGACCAAAGGTGGACCGATGGCACCGATTGCTGCAGAAAGATTCGATAGCATCCGCGACTTTGTCGAATATGCTTGTACAGATAATCGTATGAATCAAGCACTTGATTATCTTTGTGAAATACAATTAGAGATTGAAATGGAGAATTTCGATACGTTTCTTGAATGGATTATAGCTGATATCAAGAAAGAAGAGACAAATACAATTAAGAATTCAAATTTGAATCTAAAAGATGTTATGTGTGCTATCAGTAGGAAAGCTACGGTTTGGTTTGAAGAGCACTTCTTAAACAATAGCGTACAATAGTTATGTATTGTGATGTTCTTTTTTTTGTATTGAACGTTTTCTACCGACTCATTGACTAATGAATAACAGCGGAATTTTTAACTATATGGCGCAGGAATGTAAATATGATGATCCGTTCTTTTGCTCGGGAATTCTTACTCTGTAACGTTCATAATGTCACGCCATCAATAGTCATTAATCAGCAATTGTAATTGAGATAGTTATATAGATACATACGGGAAATCTCTTTTATGTCAAAATAGCACCTAATCCAGTTGATAGTATTCTCCATAGATCTTGTAGAGTGAGTTATGTATGAAAACCTATCCTCTTTCAATTGACTACGTACTGAAATTGAAAATTGAATATTTTCTCAATCGCATAAGAGAAACGTGCGAATACTATGGAAACGAATATTCCATGTTGCGCGCGTGTCTAGTATGATTTTCATTAGAAAAAAAGTCACTACAGGAGATGTTTCTAGGGCTGATGTGAAATTTTTTGTATTAACATAATCTCGTGATTCTGAGGAAAGATTCGCACTTCTTGGAATTAATTTGAAACTTTCCTTTCAATTAATACAACATATTTTCTTTTATGTTGTCATGCTCGTTCACGTCAGTATCAAAGTAGTCATGTTGTTGACGTAAAGTAACTTGTCTTTTTGGGAAGCTCTATATATGTTCGAAATAACTTTCATTAAATGACTTTGTAGTGTTAGTAAAGATATAGGGAATGCACCAGTTAGTTGCACTGAGTATTTTTAGGCTTCAAGAACATTTTCACTCGACAGACTTTCCATTACATGTGTGATTCATTCAAACAGTTTTTTTCATGGCTGACTTTTTCAGAATACTCGTCGTACGTATCAACATTTCTACAGAAGGTCATCATTCTAAGATATAGGTCTCGCAATTTACTGAAATCATGTTGCAGTTAAGTAATTTTCTGAATATATATGACGGTATATGTTGATTGACCAATAAATAAAGATGTTAAGGCAAACATAAAAATTCATTTTTATAAATTCTTAAATATTATAATAAAGTCATGCGAAGATTTCATATAGTCTTCAACTTAAATTAATCATGTCAGTCGTAAGTGTTCAGAGAGAATAAGCATGAGATTACAAAAGAAAACATTTCATTACACTTACTCTTCACACACCTTATCACATTCACCAACTTCTTTGTCTGTCCTAGGAGGTATGAGCAATATAACGATTGTTGATGTACAATTGATCGATTCTATCAATGTTTTGAATAAGAATATTACGTTATATGTCTTTGGTTTGATTTGGATTGCGGGAAATATTGGATCAATATTGACTTGCATCGTTTTTCGTCGACCACCGTTCCGGAAGAGCCCATGTGCGATATATTTTTTCGCCTCCAGCTGCTCACAATTATTGCTTTATAATTTTGCTTTGTTAAATCGAATACTACAATATGGCTTTAATGAACAAATAGTACAAATGAATCTTTGGTTTTGTAAGATGCGCTTCTATCTTCTATATCTTCTTATGGCTAACGCACGTTATAACATTATTCTAGCTTCAGTTGATCGCTATATCGCTAGTTCTCGAGATGCTCTTCGCCGTCAATGGAGTTCATCGAAAACTGCATTTCGAGCAATTGTTGGTAATGCACTCTTTTGGGCTATCGTGTATATTCAAGTGATCGTTTTTTATGAAACCGCAAACAACGGTTGTAAACCTCGACCAGGAACTAGTGGTGTATATTTTAGCATCTATATTACTATTGACAATGGTATTCTTCCACTACTTTTGATGCTCATTTTCGGTTTGCTAACCGCTAAGAATGTACGTCGAATGGGCTCGAGGCGTGTTGAACCTATCACTCGTAATGCGCACGCAGGTGGTCAACCGATCCGAGTGAAGGAAATATCGAGGAAAGATAGACAACTACAGAAAATGCTGATCAATCAAATTATTGTCTCCTTGTTTCTTAACATACCAAATCCGTGTTTTCTTATCTACGAAACGATTACCACAAATACGTACAAGTCAGCGGCACGTCTTCAAATGGAAGCATTCGTCAGCAATATGACGTATATTCCACTTTATCTTGGCTTTGCGTTGACCTTCAGTAATTTCATGATTTCATCAACGATGTTTCGACGAGAGTTTTTCACTATCATCCAGACAAAGATACTTCAACGAGTGCCAGTACGACTTGCAAGAAATGATCCAATTACTGTAAGAAATGGGACAGAGAACGTGGTGGATCATCTTTCTGACAAACATCGGTGACATGCGTTCAGAAGATATCAGAATGGCACCCTCAAGATTTATTTGAAAGACTTTTGCTTCGTAGTTTACGGAACACAAGAGAAGTATCATCCATCAATCTCTTTCCTGAGTGTTTGCAATGCAACAAAATTTAACAAATAGAACCCTCATTGATAGGGAATTCATTGAACGTACGAGCAGATGAACCAATATTTTTTTGAAGATAATTTCAATAAATTATTCAAAACATACAGAAATCGTAAAGTAAAGTCAATCATCTGACATTTGTAATCTCTCTGTATTTGCGGTATATGTTATTCAAGCGTTATGATTAAACATTATATTTAGTTGTTCGCGAGACGGAGATAAGCCGCCTTGTATGTACGTTTATTCTAGGCAAGATTTTTCTTTTCTTCTGTCGTACTTCCAGCAGAAAAATTTTAATCTATTCTCAGCTACTCTTACAACTGACAACGAGTTCAAAAATATCTTTAGATGAACATGCTTTCTTATTAATTGTTCGCTGCGACATATGCATGAACAATAGAAAGTATAGGGTGGTTAATCGATATTAGTTCTAATGTGTTGTCTACTTGTATTGCCAACGCTCTCCTATATAATCATTCGATGATTTTACATGCATTTATCTGACAGTTCTGGTCGTTTTAACAACAGCCAAATTGTTTAGGGAGCGAAGAATAGTCCACGGTATTTTGTTTTGATGAACCAATATGATCGATGCTACAAATAAAGGAAAAGAATTCTCACTGATCCTAAGCATATGTAAATCTGCATGCGGTCGAGTTATTTTATGTCATGGTATGGATTTATTAATTAAACTGTTCTACATTTAGATAAAAATGCTTTCTAGTTGCAACAGTGTCTCTCAATCTCTGCCTGCCGGCATTGGTCAAATTACAATCGATCAACCAGAGTGTGTTTAATAGTCGATTCGTTCGTAGCATGCCGATGAGGTGATCAATACCTAGATCACTTATTCGTGGATTATTGTGTAGATAGAGTTTTTGCAGATTGATTGTTGGAGTTGATAGAATAGTAGCTAGCAGTCGAACACCATGATCACTTATTCGATTACCGTTCAAGTGCAGCTCAACTAATGTTCGTTTGTTCTTGAGCACTTCTACTAGATATTCCATACCCTTATCACCAATATGATTATTGCTTAGTTGTAGTAACTTGATAGGTGCTTTCGTTAGTTCCTAAAAATATTGGACAACATCATTAACTTTCTATTCTATCTATTTGCAAACAAATAAAAGGTTTTACTCATTTACTTTCACTTTTACTAATCCACAGCAACTCCATTGTTTTACCGCGAGCGACTGATCGATCGAAATGTGTTGCGCTAATAGACCCAAATCATTGTCTGTCAGATTAGCGTTGCTTAAATCAAGTTCCTCTATTGTAATACTATCGCGAACTGCAGTGGCTAGCGCTGATAAACCTTGAGATGCTATAGGACTATTTCTTATGGACACTTTCACACATTGTTTGTTGGAAATGGCTTGTTCTGCGATAAAGCTCATATCTTGATCGGATAATCGCCAACCATCCAAATTCAAATTTGAACGATGTTGAAGTCTAGCAAGGTGACTTTCCAACTCTGGATTATCAGGAAGTGGCACCGCCGGTTTGATGATGTCAGGTATGTGTATGATAGATGATTTCTTTTTAACGGGTGGAATTACAATAGGAGAAAATTCTGGTTCAACTTCTCTCAAATGAATCACATAGAGATCATGACCAGCATTAAGACTTGAGACGATTTGAAATTGTCTAGCAGGAAGAAGCAACGCTTCATATTCTTTTGCATGTGCAGAATATTCTCGAATATCTCTGCTTGAGTAACAATCAATGTGAAAGAGGGTTCTAGCACCTTTAGCGCCGAGAAATGGCCCCTTTTCAAGCATTTCCATTGAAGTAGTACATGATGAAAATCCCCACCAAAAGAGTTTCGTTCCCAAGGGATAGTCTTGTGACAAATTTAATTTTACTCCTCGAAACAGGAGACAAGAAGGACTCGATGGTATTTTTGCCAGTGCATTAATAATGAGTCTCAAATAGCGAAACCAATCTTTTAAAAGACTCCGATCCTCGGAGCGAAGTGTTTGGTTAAGTACATAGTAAAGGCACTGTTCATTCGGCTTACATTCCATGGTATACAATCTAATCGATGCAGATTCGTCCATGGTTAGATCGTGAACCGAATTCTGTTTACAGTTTCGTTTGGCAATTTGTGCTTGCTGCTCTATGGTACAGATGTGCTTAACGAGGGGTTGTACTGCTTCTTCAAGAGAAACGAGAGGCTCGCTTTCAAATCCACTAATGGGCGGTAGCATCCGTCTGGGCTCATCCGCAATGTCGGTAAAACGAAGTCGTTCATTTGATGCCTCGTCATTCTCACTTGAAGCCATCTAAAAATAAAGATAAAGATCAATATGGGATGTAAAAATACCGTTTCAGTATTGGCGTGCTGTTCCATCGTGTTACATTTTTGTTCTCGTTATAGATTGAAATTCTATTTATTACTTTGTCAGAATTAACGAAGGAAGTTGTATAACAACGTCAACTAAATTCAGAACTATATATGTGTCTGTATACTGCGCACGTTTATTGTTACTTTATGGTCGAACTTGAGAGCTAAAAAGAGTGAAATAAATGGATGATTTATGCGTTTCGATGTTTTGCAATGTCACGTATCTTTTGTCAATATTTGATTTTTATGTTTTTGCTCGATTCGAAAGTGTAAATCATATAGGCACATCTGAAATCTGCACCCTAATATACATGAGAATGGCGATATGATGAGTGATTCACATACCTGATTTCTACCTTTCGGAAGAAGATCACACTCACGTACGACGTATATGTGAAAGTATTTAAGATTAAAGTTCTTTATTGTTTCCACTTGTTCATCATTATCGATCTTTTTGCTATAGAATTGGGTATTGCTTATCTTGCTGACGCTCTCCTTACCAAAGATGGTCGATTCCAACGAGCAAAGTCATGCACTTCGCATCTGTGATATATCAGAGGAGTCTGAGGAGTCGACGTTAGCCAATTCAAATTATGGGTGTATACCATTAGTTAGCCTTGAAACAGCTATCGAACCTCTTGTTTTGCTCATACCTCAAATTAAACGTATGACATGGACAGTAAAGCAAAACTGTGCAAATCCATCCGATGGTCTGTCACCAGACGAATCCGCTTCGATCATGCTCTATACTCTCGAGTGGCAACCACGAGAGGATTCCTTTTATATCATCTTGAACAAAACAATGCGTAGCAGAAATCCATCTTTGCTAAAACCTTGGTTACTCTATCTGAAACTGATCATTATAGCTTTCTCAAAAATACCATTCGAAAATCGTTACGTTTATCGTGGAGTTAAACAAGATGTGAGCACCAATTATCCTCCTGAGAAAACCTTTGTGTGGTGGTCATTTTCTTCGTGTACAGCATCAATTCATGTTCTCGAAAAGGAACACTTTTTAGGCAAAACAGGTGCGCGAACATTATTCACAATCGATTGTTACTCAGGTAAAAATATTCGGCAACATTCGATGTATAAAACTGAAGATGAAGTGTTATTACCTGCCGCTTGTAAATTCAAAGTTGTTTCATGTATGGATGGAGGTAATGGTTTGACTATAATTCACATAAAAGAAATCAATTCACCATACTCTCTTCTACAATTACTGATTAAACATGCTGTAACCACAACAGAATTAAAATCCTTGTCGTTGTTGACATCAATGAAAATGCAAAGTTATGTCCCATATCAAAATGAAACTCTCACTCAAGCTATCCGTGAAAGTACATCTCAAAATTTGAATTTGAGTGGAGAGCAATTGAATGATCAAGATATGGAAATAGTTGCCAAAGAGGGAATCATTAACAAACAGTGCATAATACTTAATCTAATGTACAATCAAATTACACGAAAAGGTGTTTCGACATTAGTCAATTCTTTAAATCACAACGAATGTTTGAAAGAATTAATTTTATCGTATAATAAAGTATCTAATGATGGTGTTCGCTTTCTAGTAACAACGCTAAGCAAGTGTGTTCTTGAACGAGTGGATTTATCGGAAAACGATATTTCTGATGAAGGTGCGAAGTACTTAGCGGATATGCTCGAGAGTAAAACAGATTTGATCCAGCTATCGTTAAGTGCAAATCAAATAGGAAATTATGGTGTGAACATGTTGACTGATGCTCTGCTGTGTAATAACACGTGTCTCGAATTGCTAAACCTCAGTGCAAATGTGAACATTACCGACGATAGTATCAGTTCGTTTATTAACCTGATCGATCACCATCAATCGTTAAAGAAGCTTGATCTGCGACACACTCGACTATCGGAGAGTGGCCAAGCAAAACTGTACGCTGTAACTAAGTCAAAAAGACCACTTCAACTCTGGCTCGATCGCGTCATGTGATCACTAATAGGCATTTTATTGACAGGCATTTTTCTATTTTCTCTCTTTCATAGGTACACACTTTTCACAGGGCTCATTCGAGTCAATATTGATCGTATTTTCTGCATCTCTAATATAGTGCATACAATTTATTCTAGATATACTCTATTCTCAACGATGTCAAAAGCAACAAAAGATTTGATAAAACTCGTCGAAACGAAAGCCAGTGAACGAAATTCTTCCAGCGAAGCACAAAAACTTCTCGAGCAAGCCGCAGATATTACGGCTACTACTAGTAGCGGCGCGACGATGATTCATTCCATTATAGCAGAGGAAAAGCGGTATCGATCGGTAATGCAAGGAAAAGCCGATGTTTGTCAGTCTTTGGTGGATGTCTTACAGAAAGCTGCTTCGGAGAGACTTGCTGCCCAAGTATTTATGACGAATGGTAGTGATATAAAGGAGATGCACCGATTAGTTCAGTTGAAAGGCAGTTGTTATCAGTCAGCAACGTATGGTTCACTCGGATTATTGGGTGCTTTATTGAAACAGGATGGAATTCCTATACGGTTAGATGTCGTTCAGTTTCTTCTCCAGGCTGATCCAGATGTCAAGTATAGTTTAACCATGACCGATGACGAGCAAAACACACTTCTGTCTGTTGTAAAACATAATTCAAAATGCCCACAGGATGTGATCGATTATATGCAGCGATATTTTGACCAGATGCTCAATCAAATTGCATTCGTAGAACCAAATATTGATCCGGATGAAATAATGCTTTGGATTCATCGCGGTGCGAACATTGAGGCAATCGATGAACATTCCAATACAGCTCTGTTGAACGCTGTTATCGCTAACAACATCGGATTGACTCGTACTCTCTTATCTGCAGGCAGCAACATTACACATCGAAACAATTATAATCTCACTGTTTTCGAAATAGCTAAATCAGCTTCTGTGAAAAATCCGTCGCTTATAACCATCCTTGGAACTCACCAAGTAAATGTGGAATTGAAGCATCTGATCGAAACGAAAGGAGCTCAACTGACGACCGATGAATTGTATATTTTGCTGGAAAAAGGTGCAAATATCAATGCAAAAGTCGGCAATAATAATACCTTCCTGCATCTACTCGTTCTCAACAAGGGCACGCCGGAAATGATTACTGCTTTTGTGAGCACATTTAACGCTGATATATCAGCAGCAAATATCACTGGATATCGACCTATCGAATTGTGCATTTTGCAAGATGAAGATCCGTTCCTCCATTTGCAAACATTTCTCAAACTACCCAAAATGACAACCGATTTGTTCATCAATCCAAAACTCAACAAAACCATTCTGCAATTTGCTTTTGAACAGAATCGTTCGCAGGTGGCAAAAATAATTCAAGCAGAATTAAATCATCGTCTATGGAACTGCGTAACACGCATAAACATCCAAAAAGACATCTCCGAAAAGATTATGACTGAATTGAAGCAACTGGTCACTTACGGTGCTGAAATTGATCATCAGTATTGTCACGAAGGATCAGAACAACGAACACTTCTGCAGTATGCATGCGAAGTAGGTGCACGACGATTGGTTCAATACATGATCGAACATTTGTACGCTAACTATACATTACAGTTTCATAATGGCAACTATCCTATTTCAATTGTAGCCGAAAGTGGTTATCTGTCGATAGTTGAATATTTACGTGGCTTGCCGAATTTGAATTTAAACGTACCTAATAGTGATGGGCAGACGGCGTTACATTTAGCTACGAACAAACGTCATATGCTCGTTGTTCAGTACCTGGTCAAATGGGGTGCTGATTACCAGACGAAAAACCGATTGCAACAAACACCATTGGATATTGCTCGTGTGAACGTTTCACAAAACAAAGAAGACGAATTCGGTGACCAAAAATTAATTCGTTTCCTTGAGCAACTAATTTGTCCTCCAGTAGACCAATCGATCGAACAATCATCTCATGGGAAAGCGCCTGATTTGGATCTGGATACGTGCGAACTAGTAACGCCTGTATTGGTGAATCCTATACCTACAACTACTGAGCGTACAGGAGGAGCAATAGGTAAATCGGGCAAGAGTCTGTTTTCTAAAAATCCTAGCAACAATTTACATGATGCTGCTAAAAACGGTTCAGTGTGGGAAGCTCAAAGAGCGATTGGCGAAGGAGCTGACATCTGTTATCGCAAGGGGAATCGTACTCCATACGAAATAGCCCTAGCTTCTGAAAAAGAGTACGACCTTCAATTAAAAGCTGCCGTACTCATCTCATCAAACTGCAAAGTACTTGAACAGATGGTGGCTGGTTGTCAACAAATTGCTAATATGATTCAACACATCGCAAATAGGAAACTAATTGAAGCTATCGATCAATCTGATGCAAGTCTTGTCAAAGCCTATCATCTTGCCAGTGGAACACTTAGTGTCGATTTATTATACCGAGCTTGCAATGCATCGGACAACGTCGAGATTGTCGATTATCTTTTGAACGAGAATGTGGATATTCATCAAGCATTAATTAGTGATTCATCATCGGATTCTCCGTATCAAACGGTAAAAAGGAAGAGGTTTATGAAATTGACTGCTTATCTCAAATATCGACTGTCACTTGAATGTACCGAAGCTGTAAAACAGAACGATCTTGAATTGGTTAGGAAACTTATTTCTGTTGGAGCTAGTGTTGACACGCACGACACAAATAATCTAAATGAAGCACTACAGCATCAAAATGTTGAATTAATTCAGATTCTCTGTGAGAATGGTGCAAGGATGCCTTTGAATTGGATTACTTCAAAATCGATCATTCTCGAACCTATTGTGTCTCAAGAGCTAAAACCGGAAGTTGTATTTTGCATCAATCAATGTTTAATCAATCGAAGACTGCGCTTTTCGGCTGCTAGTGGCGATCTAGATGGAGTTATCCAATGCCAACGTCTCGGTGCTGATATAGATTCAATGAATTGTCATGGTTCGACTGCACTACTATGTACAATTCAGCATGGGAATTATTTTCGAATTGTACACACTCTCGTTTCGTCTGGAGCATCAATTTTGCATCTGAACGAAAATGAATCGATGTCATTACTCGATCTGGCAAACAGTAAGAACTATAAACAGATCGCCGGTTATCTTTCCGAACAATTGAATATACAGTTTTTGGCCGCCATCGTCAACAATCAACGACAAACGGCAGAAAAACTTGCAAATATGGGCGTGGACTTCAATTATCAAGATGAACAGAAGCGTACAGCATTGCATTATGCTGTTCAATATTATAGCACAGAATTGGTAAATTGGTTGTGTGAATGTGGTAGCAGTCCAACGATATGTGATATAAATGGCGACTATCCATTGATTCAAGCGATTGAAAAAGGTAACACTCTTGAAAACATGAAGTACTCTGACGGAAGAATTTCTTGTCGATATTCATTACTTTAGGTGACTATACATCAGCAGAATATTTCATCATGAAATATCCAGCGACAAAAAGACAAACAAACAAAGCTGGTCAGACAGCATTACAAATGGCAGAGAATCTTAACTTTGCACGTATCGTCGAGTTGATCAAAATGAACGAGAACGAGACCGAGCCTGAGCTGATAAAAAATCAAGGAAAAGCTGGCGAAACCAAACACGACTATGAAACATTGCTACAAGCATCTCGTGATGGCCACATTAAAATTATCCAAGATTTCATTGATCAGTCCTACGATTCAAAAGCAGATAAACGACACATATGTGACAAATTAATCCAGCAAGCGGAAAAGGCTAAACAATTTCAAATTTTAGATATTCTTGAATCTCACTATAACAAGTTAAGCATCGACATGCGATCGGATGTGGAACTAAATCGTTGCGGCGGTATCGATATTATATTAAGTCAACATCATCAGAAAGTCTTGCTGGGCTTCTTGAGTGGTCTCAGCGATCTTATTGCCAACAGTCCGATTATACTCGATCCAGCTGATCCTAAAACGTATGTCGAATTGTTTTCTGGCTTAACTGAGAACATGGTGAAACGTTCTCAAGAGTTGCAGCAGGTTACGAATGAGCAGGACGTGGTGAAGATCGTTCAACAAGATGAAACAAATACAAAGGAGCAATTAATCAAGATTAATGGACAACTTGAAAGTTTGGAAGAAAGCAGAAATTCTTTACAAAGTCGTATTCAAGAGGCCGATGAGCGTCTTTTCAAACAGCGAGATCTAACTGCCATACAACGAAAAGAATCATTTAAAGCCATAGAAGCACTCAAACAGCAGATGACTATTTACGAGTGTTCAATATTCTTATTCCAACGCCAACAAGAAGCTACAATAGCCCGACAAAAAACGATCAATTTTATCAAAGGAAATTCAAATTTAATGATGTTCTATCGTACCATTGAAAGTCTGTTGGAGGCTGTTTTTCATGGTGTTCTAGCAAGACAAGGTGGCTATTTAAAAGAAGAAGCATCCGTGAAATTTGGCAGACCATTTCTGGCATCGGACATAGCTTCAATGAGTGTACCCATATGTGAGTAGATTGATTGAATATAAACAAAGCTAACTTTCATTTCTACTTTAGTACAATTAACGTCGGAAAGTATTAAAATGATACTGAGTCCTATGCTATCGAGAATTCATAAAAAGGAACAGAAGAAAGAATGGGAGAATTTCTCTACACTAGGTAATATTGAAGAACTTAGACGGATCGCATCGGACACAGCCGGTTTACTGACGCTTTATTACCGAGAACAGATTCAATGTATTGATCCATCACAGAAGATTAAGAATGCGACAGCGTCAGAAAATAAAGCAAGTTCTACTAAATATGTCTATGGGGAAAGTTCCGGAGAACTGTCCGTTGTAACCGTCGCTGAATACATTACCACCTGGATAGTTGAAGAGCTGAAACTAGGACGAGATAGACTCGTTTCTACTGAACCGTTACCACATCAACTGTGGCTCTGTGTAGCTAAGAGAGATCCAGTTAGCCCAGAAATGTCTAGAAAACTGACATCTGGTATTGGCAGCAATCCCATAGGGCATAAAAAAATTTGCTTAAAAATCAAAGATTTTTTCGACAAAGAAATTATCGTACCAGTCCGAATACGGTATCTGATCGGTTGCGTATCAGTCGTGGGTAATGATGGTGGTATCTATCAATATCCAGTATCAGCCGATTCTTCTGACAATGAACTGAAATATTCGAACTTGTTTGGCTACGTCTATGTTACTCCATTTTCATCCGATGAGAAAACATTACAAACTATTGTCGAAGGACGAAAATTATGTTTAGCTAGTCGGGATGAACATGGGAATATTTTAACAAAATTTGAAGATATCATCGAGCATGCGAAAGCTTATGCTATTCAGAATAAGTCTCTGGATCCAAGTAAATCATTGATTACACTGGAAACGGCAAAACAAGTGACTGAAGTGATTCGTGCACACAACATCTTTGCCAATCTCGATGATGTTAAAGAAGAGTTGAGGAAAACTCGAGAAGCAATTGAGTTGAGTGTCGATGCTTTCTGTGAAGAAATCAACGATAAAGTCAAGGTCTGTCAAACATCCATCGATGCAGCCCATGAACAAATTAGAGAAGAATCGGAAAAAAATCGCGTAAGGATGACGCAAGATAACGAAATGCGATATGAACGCGCTCAAGAGAGATTGGATAATACTGTCAAAGACATGGAAAAACGTTTAGAACAATTGGTCGACACCCGAATGCGTAGAATGGAAAAGCGAACGCAAGAGAGAGCAGAGAAAATTTTAGAAACAGTTGAAATAGCCAAAGCGCAGTGCTTGCAAGCAGTTGAAAATAGCCAACAGTTACTCGAACAAGCAAAACAAGCTACAATCTCCGTTCGAAGTCTATTGCAACAGAGTGAACAACAGAATGAAAAATTTCAATCGGAAATTGCACTTCATAAATCTGAAATGAAGCAGATCGCGGCTGTACAGAGAGACTTATGTGAGCAAATGATGTCGGAAATGCGAACGATAATAGAGCGCGATATTAAACAAGCCAGACTCACTCGACAATCTACTCTTGAAATGCGAGATATTCAGCAACTCATTAGACATCAGCTCGAACTACATGCAAAAGAAATGCAAAACACGAAGGCAAATGCACAGCAACAGATTGAAAATGAAATAAAAGACCCGAATTTAAAGCAATAAGAATTTTTTCTCACAATAAAATGTAGTTCTCAGATCTTTGAAATAAATTTCCTAATCACTTGATCGAATGCCATGTATTTTTTCCGCAAGTGCAAAGATTTGACAATATAGAGGCGAGTCAAACGTTTATTACTATTAACAAAGAATTAAAAATATGTAACAAATAGTACATGCTCTGGACTATATAAAACAGATTATAGTCTACTCGTGTCTCTCCCAGTGTAGTCGGCGACGATCGGCTCTATAAAATTTTATCGAGAGGTGCCAATGATAGAAAGTCATTGCTATCTTTTTGCGATACATAACAAGAACGAACGAAATCGTGATCAATACCATAAGAAATAATGCTAATGGTATAGATAACAAGAAGAAGAAGAAATATTGGTTCCGGATAACGACAACTTTTTTATCATTTATGGCAATAGCAGCAACAAAAGAATGATGATTAACTGTTCCGATAACGATCGTTTTACACATTTGTCCATCTTGATGATCTTTCGTATGAGGATAGCAACGGCATTCAATGCGTGGTGTACAGCAATCACCCTCATTTGTACATTTGCTTGTTGAACAGCAATTGTCCTGAAGGGAAGGTGTTGTTGACGTCTGACCGATTGAGGTGTATGGATTTATTGATGAAGCTGACGTCGGCATAAAAGATGTACTGGGAAATATTGATGGAACGTTTGTATCCATTGGCAGCGAGTTCGAGTCGGATATTAAGGCAAAATTATCTGACGAGTGCAATGGAGTCGTCGAGGGTGCTTCGACTTGACTTGTAGTTATTCGTATAGGAGCTGTAGTTGAGTCAGATGATGCTTCATTTAGGGAAGCATAACTGTTTGACAAATGTGATAGAATGCTTGATGATGTTCCAGTGTCAATTGAGGTCAATTCAGTACCGACGGTTACTTCAGAAGAATGTGCTGTACTAGCACGTGTTGGAAGGTCAGATGCTACAGTTACATGAGAGACAGAGACACTGTTAGTCGACGAGTTAGGCAAGAACGAAGCTGTTGCTGTTGTTGCCTTCGATGAACTGATATTTTGAGGTGCACATTGTTGAGTTAATGAATCATAGCAAACACCTAGACAAAGTTGTATTTGGTCTGGTCGATAATGATCATATGGCTTAGGCACATTACATACTGTTCTCCTATCGTTAGCACATATTTGATAATCGCTAACAAGACATTGTTTACCACACACACGATTATTTGAACAAAGTGTGTCATTGAAACATTTGTGAGAAGCAGAGTCGTAGCACACATTAGTAGAACAGCGTTTTTGCCAAATTAAGCACAGTGTATCGTTTAAACATTTTGATCTCAGTGGATCATAACAAACGTGTCCATACTGTGTAGGACAAAGGCGTTCAGTGAGCTTACAAAGTAAACCATTTATACAGATATGCGTCAACGCATTATAACAAGTATTGGAACAATCCGAGATGCATTGGATATTACCGTTAGAACAATGCCGGATTGCTGGATATCCTGTATCATAGCATGTGCCATTACATATTTTTATCTGGTTCGGCTTATAGGCAGTATAGTGCTGCGATACGTTGCATAGTGTTACACCATCATCCGCACAAACTTGATATCGGAAGGAATGATCAAAAAGTGATATGCACTGGCCATTACACACAAGATCTTTTTCATAGCAGAGTGTATGATTCAAACATCTTGTAAACCGTGGATCATAACATTGTAAGTACGACGGTTCAATCGGATAGCCATTATAATTATATCGTACGTCACATAGATTGTTACCAACTGGGCATCGAGTATCGTTAAGGCAGACGACATGTGCTGACTCGTAACACTCGCCGGCACACATGCCATCTATACACGAGACAACTCCATTGATGCATTGTTGCAGACTTATATCAAAACAAGTACCGTTACACACTTGTATTCGATAGACTGGATAGCTAGTGTAAGAATCCTTAACGTCACAAATAGTACGTTTGTCACTCGCACACACTTGTCTATAAGCAGTAGATCCAGTTATACAGCGTCCATTACAGACGCGACTATTATCACAAAGAGCATTATCGATACATTTCGAAGACCAAGGATTGTAACACTCGAGTTGGGGGAAATCAAGAGAATGACCATTATCAGAACGATAGTTGGTCAAACAAACTTCTTGCCCAAGAGAACAAACAGTTCCGTTCACGCAAACTTGTGTTCTTGGATCGTAGCATCTATCAGAGCAGTTGTAAATACATTGCAAAGAACCATTCACACAATGTTTTAGTTCTATAATGGTATCATAGCAAGAACCATTACACGCTTGTATCTGATTTGGTTGATACGAAGTATAGTGACGTGGTACGTTACACAGTGTTACACCGTTATTTGCACAAATTTGATAAGAAGAAGTGCGAAGGATACATTGATTATTACAAACACGATCTTTATCATAGCAGAGCGTATGATTTAAACACATTTGAAGTCGTGGCTTGTAGCACTGTACTCGTGTTGGTACAATTAAATTGCCATTATCACTATCATACTTCACTTCACAAACATCTTCATCAATATCACATAAAATACCATTGATGCAGGATTGCCAATCTGGATCATAACATTCTTGTCCACATGTATTGATACACATGACAATTGAATCCGACTTGGGACAATATTGTGTTGCTGGATCGTAGCAAAATTCATTTCCACATAGCCTTTGGGTACCAGGACACATAGTCGTCGCATGCAAAGATATACTGTTGCAGTTGAGTAGTGTTACACTCCAAAGCAGGAAAACTTGCGAATAATAGATTCGTGTACACATTCGACTTATTTTTACCACTAAAGACCAGAAAAGTACTTTAATTATGTATGTGTGTGGTACAGCGAAATTGTCTCAATGGATAACTTTTAAACTCTGTGTAAGGTTTTATTAAGTGGTTGCTTTCGCGACTCTTTGTGTCTTTCAAAATCGTTTTTTCCTTCTTGCAATGAAATTTCGCGCTGTAGTCTGATGAAGCAACAATCATCTTCGTGACTTTTACCGTTTATCAGCAACAATTGCACACAAAATTGTCCTGACTATGCAGGAGAAAATTTCTGATATATCAAAGTCGAAATCAACAAAGTAATATAAGACTTTTTTTTGAATCATATACTTCCTGCTGTCGTAATCTATATCTAGATAAAGAAAAAATAACTCGATTTGTGACTGTAGAGAGGCGATGGCACGAGTTTTTTTTTTCTTTCGAAATCTCCTTTTATTTGTCAAAGAATATGTGTTCGGTATGAAATCTGAGTTTTTGAAGTTGCTTAGTAAATGTAATTTGAGAATATTATTAACGCCAGGAGATTGAGAATGAATAGAACATCTATTTGCATATTAATTCCAAACGATGAAATATTGTTATCAATGATCTGCTCCAAGGCGTGTTCGAGATTGAAATAATCCGGACCGGTGATATGTTTATCTATTGGTTGTGATGCATATTCTCTTGGACAGTCGGGATTTAGTTTGTTGATATATATTTCATACACATTCAAGTTCAAGAACGCACTTGTCGGAAAGTTACGCGGAGGTGAACTACTATTACTATTAACCAGGTTATAATACATGACAATATCGTTCCAATTGAATGCACCACCACCTGCATAACTCGAACTTTCAAACAGACTATTTCCACCGTATCCACCACCGATACCGTAGATAGTTTTAAAATTAGAACCAAATTTGAGTTTGGATAAGAATAGTCCGCATGCACTTCCACACGTACCATCGGTTAAAGCATAGATTGATCGAAAGTATTTGGGTGTGGTGTTGTTTCTAAGCCAATATTGTCCTTCGCCGAAGACTTGTCCATCACAATTGATCGACCATTTCATCGAATATTCTTCTGTAATGTTACCTCGCGTGTAATTCCTATATGATTGTATCCAATCCATATTTGTAAACGATTGACCGGTCTGAAGGTTTAAAATTGAATTTGGGTAAAACTCAAACACTCTCGACCATGTTTGTAAGGTTTTGGTTATCCGTCCGTCCATTGGTTCATACAGGTTACCCAAATTCGAATATTCAGGAATGAGATAATTGAGTAAACCATACGCCATACAACTATGACCTCCATGATTACCGATCAAATCGATAATTAATGAATCTCCAGAAGCTGCCAACAGGATTTTCTTTATCTCTGGGAAATGCTCTTCATCAAATGATCCTAGCTTGATAATTGCAGTTTTGGTTCTCTTGTGAGTATAAAGATAAGTCGTATTTCCACCCATGATATAGTTGAAACGGTCAGTTGATCTTTCGTGGTACCAATCGAGTTTTTCGAAATTGTTGACATAGTTTAGAACGCGCGTTTGGTCAAATGCTGGTGTTGGTCGTAAAAAACTGTTCTCTTTTTCCAAATCTAATTGATTGTTAAACCGTTTTGTGATAAGAACAACGTATGGAAATGTTACGGTGGTATTGTGAAACGTAAATGTTATGTTATTGCGCAATGGTAACGGATATTTAGCGAGATTCCGTAACCAGAATTCTTCTTTGAAGACCGAATTCAATTTAACATTTTTATCTTTGCTGATCAGTGACTGTCGTTCAGAAAATTCTTTGATATAATCAAATGCATTCACACCATCGATTTTGGTGATAATTTCATTCGTATAATTCATATTGAAATCATTTCCTACAAGAGAGGAATATAATTTAACGCCTTGTTTTATTTTGATTTGTTGTGTTGCAGGAAGAAATTCGAAAATAAATGGTAATAATAAAATGAAATTAGCGTATCCTAATGGAGCAGTATATTGTGTATGATAATCATTAAGTTTTTTAAATGAATTCACGATGGCTATATGAAAATCATAATCACTTTGATATGCATTCACATTGGATTGATTAACGATATTGATCAACTCATTGTCAAGGTTTACATTGATAAAATAAGGTGCATTGCTTTGACGAGCTATACTTAGGAAACTGTAAAAATCTAACGAATTGAATAGCTGTTGTATGGTTTGATTCACGATCGTTTTATTCAATAGTATACTTTGAAAGCATGGTTTTACTTTGTCTAATGTGGAATACGACCAATTCGAAGGAAGTATATCGGCAATTGTTGAGGTGAATGTGCATGAATCGATACCACTGGCAACCGAAAACGTGAAACATATCACGATGACAAGGAAAGATGCGTTGGCCTTCATTCAGAAGTTTCGATAGAGAATAAACCTATAAGCTGTATATTTATATAGCATATGGTATGATCTATAGATTAACGAAATTAATCAGCAAAGGTCAGGTTTTGGCATGTCTCAGTTTTCTTGTTTTTCTTCTGTGCGCACGACTATTGGTCTAAGGGTAGAAAGCGAACCCTAATCTTTGCTTTAACGATATCTCAATTGGTATACCTTTCATTATAGAAGTTGAGTCAGAAGTTAAATATGCACTTAGGTGTGAATCAATAGAGAATGCTTTTACTCATTTCGATTTCGAATTTTGTGAGAGTGAAAGTAGAACTATAAATTTGTCATCTGCGCCCACAACGGTATAGTTTCAAGAATTTTGATCGCTCAATGTAAACATATTTTGTTTCGCTATGTATTAAAAATTCTCAGTAGAATTTTCTAAGTTACTATTTACTTTGCATGGCATACAATCGAATGGGTTTTGTGCGGGAGAAAGATGTCGATAGCTCTCATTGCACAGGTATATGTATGGATGTCATTCGTTCTTCCCGTCATTTCACTTCCTATGAGTCACGCTTGGGAAGTAGGTGTATTAGTATGCAATTATATTTGCATACTTCAAATTACACGTGTTGATCGTATCTATTGCCGGTATAGTTAATAGTTTTTGCAAGTTTGCTTTTCATGTCGCGTCAATACTACAACGATTCGTATCAATCATCAACTCCTCGTCGTGTACCTGCTTCGTTTTATGAACCAACAAACGGTTCATCTCGACGTCACCCATCGACGTCATCGAGAAATTTCGTCTCACAATCTACGTTTCAGCCAAATCAAGAAAGACATTTCGCCGCACCAGCGCCGTCTCCTTCTCGCCAATATTACGGAGACTACGATCATTCGAATAGATATTCTAATCGGACGCATGTAAGTTTGACAAATTCATTCATGGTTACAATAAATATGTCATACTTTTTATACTAGACTCCATTAAATGACCGTCCACAACGTCGATATCGTTTAGAAACACCTTCCAATCATTCGTATATGCAATATCCTCAATCGTATGAAAACGATTACTATCATGCTCAGCGAGAACAACCACAACCCCAACAATGGCCCCCGCAGTTTTCATCAAACCGTGCCACACCCCGTCAAACATATGCTTATGATCAAGATTATTCCAATTATGCAGGAAATACCGATCACTATGACCAAAATTATTATCAACCCGAATACTATCCATCTCAATCCTATAACTTACCTTCGTAAGTATAACTTATCTACTCATAGTGTCTATTGCCACGCAAATTTTCTAGAAATCATCGAGCGTCAGACAGTCCAAGAGTCCGACCCAATTTGTATCCTGACCGATCTGCACATCCTCCGACGACGTCGTCGCCGTTGTCCTCTTCTTCTCCTTTTTCCTCTCCGCCATCATCAGTTCCACAACAACGTGTGGTCGTACAACAACATCATCCGGTATCCCTACTTGCCCATATTCTCCAGTACGTCCTGGAAAACAAAAAGTATTTACTCGTTTCATCGAAATTTTCTCATTTATAGAAGTTTTCTCGGCGATCAACATCCAGTAAGAGATGCGAGACTTGGCAATAATTATGTTGATAATGATGACGGCGATGCTGATTTTGGTCATGCAATCGTAAGTCCAATTAACCTTATTGCTCTGGGGATGATGATGCGACGGCCGGCCATCGTGCATATTCGATTGGGTGTAAGTCAATTGATATGAGTTTTTACAATACAATTCGATTGCTTCTCATCTAGAATCTAGCGGACCTACTTGGTGAGGATGAAACGCCCGTAGGTCTATCCGAAGAAGATATTAAGCGTATACCAAAGATGACATATAAAAAGTCAAGTAAATCTAAAGCCAATGACGATAAATGTGCTATTTGTCTGAGTGATTATAAAACCGGTGAAACTTTGAAACGTTTACGATGTGATCACTTTTTCCATTCGGATTGCATCGATCCCTGGTTAAAGGTATGTGTTCTCAGACTTGATTATCTTAATTTTTTGTCATTTCTCTAGACTTCTGTACAATGTCCAATCTGTCGTGGCGCACAAACAAACTAAAATAGATACTGCCTTTCATTGTCTAACAAATATATATTTTCTCCTGTGAACTAATATTCCTATTTTTATATCAATAATTATCTTACGATTTTTTTTTTAAACTGTACTAATTAAACCCGACTTCACATTATCAAAAGCACTATAATACTAAGAATAAAACTGGCAGCTAAACATCAATCACTGTCTTATTCCTCACAGAGTCGGAATGTATCGGAATCGAACGAGTATATTTACATCAAACTGAAGATGGTTTTACACACGATGATCTTTTCATTTATTATAAAACAAACATCTAATTTCACAGGAGAAAAACTAAAAATCTACCACCATAAATATAAATCATGATCTAATAATTTAATTGTATAATTTATGATTAACTTTTCATATCGAATTAAATTTTTGATATCCCGTAGACAAACTTTGGGAATCCTTGTAAAACATAAAGAAAACAAATGATTTGGCTGTGTAAAAACATATCGAATTGTTTGAGGAACATCGGGTCGTTTCATCGCAATTCGAAGTGTGTTCAATTGTGGAAAATGCATCATCATTATTTGAAAATATTCATATGAACACTCTTGATGGATTTCTAATGTTTTGAGCGACATCATTTGAAACATATTATTGAGAAGAAGAAACGGATAGTTAATTCGTCGTACAGATAAGAATTGCAGATTTGGTGTGAGCTTCATCAACTGAAGGATTTCGTCGAAAGGATAACCAATATTTTCGATAACCAACTTCTTCAATTGCTTCAGAGGAAGAATTTCATTTACAATCGTCGCCAGTGAACCACGTGTTGGTTGAAAATAATGTTCGATAGTCAATGTTGTCGTATTTGGAAAATATTTCTTCGCGTTTTTCAATCCACTATCACTTCGTAAATGCACGTGTTCAACTGAGGACAAATGATCATCGAGTGGATGTATCGAACCATGTTCCCAGTAGAGATCATAATCTTTTCGTCGATATGGATTTAAGGAATAAAACATGATCCGACGAAGATTTCCTTGTTGCTTTTCTGTTTGCACGAACACCCAACCTCGTCCGTTCCAGAACGATTGATCGAAATTGTTATTGAGCATAAATTGATCGACGGCTTCGTTCCTGTGTAAAATTCCGTTGAAGTAAAAGTCAAAAATACGTAAGTTAGGCATCGAAGATAAAATCAAGTCTTGCCATTGATCCAGATGCAAATAAGATGAATGATTAGCTTCCAGATGTAAAATTTCGATATTACTAAAGAAGGATTTCATCAATTGGGCAAATGTGCCGAATTGAACATCATCGATTTTAAGCGAGAGAGTTTTGAGATGCTTTAGTAACAGTGATTCACGTTGAAAGCCCATGAATGGAGGATATCCAGCAAGAGAATTAATGGATAGATAACGAAGTTGAGGAACAAAACGATAAAGATCGAAGAGTGATTCGATGGAGAAACGATTGTTGATGGTTAACGATTCAATTGAAGTCGAAGTAGCTCGAGGTAAGTAAATCGGAGGTGATATGCTATCGAATTTCGTTCGATACGTAACTTGACATGATTTTAATTTCGATAATTGAAAAATTAACTGGAAGAGAACAGCAGGTAGAAGTGGAAAGAGATCAACGAAGGATATTTTGAGTGATTCAAGTTTGGGTAGTTGAATTAAGTGCTGTAAGACGTTTTTCATATATTTCGAATCAAATTGTTCGAGAATTAAAGTTTTCAGTTGCATGAAACGACAGATCGAAAGTGGTGGAGAGAAAATGAGATCAGATGTAAATGGATTAGATAAACGAAGGTAATTGATTCGACGTCGGTTTGGGTTAATGACGTGTTTATAATAAAGATCAAAATCTGATTTTGACATCGTACCGATGTTGACTTGAAGCAAGCCAGTTGGATTGAGAATTAATCGATCAAATCGAGTATTTAAAGAGAAAAAACTTTGATAAATGTGAAAACTATCAAGATAATCGAAGATTTCATATATTGTTTCATTGGGTAAGTTTTCCAAACAAGATCTAAACGAATTGAAAATAGACGAGCGATTTCAAATCTCATTGCACTAACTTAGTTTTCGGTGATGCAACGGATAATTCAAGATCTGATTTTTGCTTCTTATTGTTGTTATGATCGTACAAATCATTTTCACTTCGTGACCGTTTTATTCCTATCATGATGATACTGACTATACACAAACGACGAAAATAGAATCGATATATATATATACAACAATGCACGTGACGATTCGTTCTCTCATCGAGATCTTTTCTTTTCTTTTCTTCTTCTAATCAAAACACGATTCGTTCAATCGTATTGCGTTGATTCTTTTTCGATCGTGCAAGATTTTATGACTCATCGGAAATATCCGACACATCGTAGACTTATTTCATTCCTTATCTGTTCTCACGATAGCAGGCTTGCTATTTCGTTTGTAAGAAAGTGTGTCTGCATTACTTTGACTTTGTTATAGACAATGATGCAAGCTGATATTTCGTTCGAAAACACGGAGTTACGAAATTCTGATCGCGTTAGTTTTCGTGAAACTTATTTAGAGAAAGATCGTTTTGCAGAAACTCATTCTTTCATTGTTCATTATTTAAATGAACAGAAAAAGATAAAAAATATCACATTCAACTGTGCCAATGAAATCATCCAACATGCGTTCGCTTGCTTTGATCGATATCATTTCAACGAAAACAACGCAATTCTGACGTATTTTGACTCCGATGAAAACTTAACTTTATTAACTACTGTGCCCAGTCCTCTTGAAGACGGTCAAGCTTGGAATCTTTATATCAAATATGTAAGTGTGAGAATCTCTTTGTCTCATTCTATTCTCAATTTTTTATTTTGCAAGGTTTCTCCAATCTGCTTCATGTGCAGTAATCCATTTGGTATCATCGATGAAGAACTTCTTTTAGAATGCCCAAATGATAAATGTAGCCAACAGTACTGCAGTTCATGTGTGAATGCTATTCGGGGAGCTTCGTGTCAATATCCTTTTGCATGTGCTGATTGTAAACAAAATGTAACTCCGAAACGGAATAAACTAATCGAGGAGTATTTAATTTGGCCAAATTTGGGAAAGTTGTATGGTACACGAAGTTTACTTAGTTTAAAAAACAAATCTGATTCACTCTGTTATCAATCTGTTTTGACAGATATTAAACTTCGATATACTCATCTTCAGTCTCGATTATGTACATTCAGTCAAAAATTTCGTTCGAACTTTCCTCCGAGCAGTAAGGACGAAGAATTGGTTACCAGCGCTGAAGATATTTGTCAGAAATTAACAATTATATTAGCGAAAACGGAAAGTTTGAAAAAGGAGATCGGTGCTCGTCAAACAACGATTTCCTTGACATTGGAAAAGTATAAGAAAGGAATGAAACATTTCGATGACCTCTGTGACAAGATGCTGACTACCATTCAAGAAATCGAAAATGTACAAATCGACACAGTTAAAGAGTACCATATGGATGAACTCCAGGCACTTCCATCCGAATCGAATATATTTTCGATTGATAAGATTCTCGATGATGTTGCTTTCCGTAGTGAATTAATTTGGCAATATTATGGCAAAGTGAAAGTGTTATTTGAAACACATTCTTTGGATAAGCAACGTGCAGCGAAGAATTTCGAAAAAGTCGAGAAAATGATAAGTATGCTAAAGGAAATGAAAGAAACGTTACTTTTCTTTCGTCAGAAATGCGTTGATGTATCACTCTTGATAGATGAATACTTCTCATTATTATCGGATCAAACAATACCGAACATTCCCAATTCTCGATTTATTCTTCTCATGGAACGACTACGTATCCGAATCGAGAAAATTGAAGTAGCTTGTCTGTTCCCTCAAACAATACAACTGATGTCCGCATGGGAAAACGATTACGGAATTGACGATAGTTTCAAACCGAAACTAATCGATCTTTGTCAAGCCGTCGAAAACGATATTAAAACTCTATACGATGGAACTAACTATACTTGCTCGATTCCATTTAAAATCGGTGCTATTGGTGATACAAGTGCTGGCAAAAGTGCGTTGATCAAGACTCTTTCCAATACCGAGCACACCAGTGTAACAATTCTCTCACAGCGAAGCACATTTGGTTATTTACAAATTGATACTGTTTTAGAAAATCCCAAATCAAAGTTGCGTGTACCATTCAGCTTCTTTGATATCGAAGGAGCGATCGACAACGATCTTGAGCGAGCTCTTATCAACTATTTTGATATTATCACAAAAACAGATTGTGATCTTTATATGATTGTGTATGACAAACCATTGACTGCTTTTAATTTACAATGTTTTGATTATGTGACAAATGTGTTACAACGCAAGTGTATTTTCGTTCGAAGTAAATCCGACATATTATTCAGACAACTGTATCAAGATGAGAATGGACATGAGTACAACAAAGAATCTTGTCGTGATGATGTGGTCAATGTTGATAATGTGCTTCGAAAGATGCGTACGCAAGCAAAGATCACTTATAAAGATGAAGAATTATTCCATCCCGTTTTTTTAACAGCTGCTGGTCAAAATAATGATTTGAACGAGACAAAAGTTGGTAAATTTGATTTGGAAAAAGTGAAACAAATGATATTCAGATTAGCTCTGAACGATTGCCGAATCAAACGTATCTATAGACTTGCTGTTCTTCTATCCAAACATATTGTGAATACCTGTTTCCGTCGTGGTTATGCGGTTTCGCAAGGTTCATATCGATTATTATCTGCTGGGTTAAGCATAATTCCTTTTGCTGATGAGATCTCCAACTATATGGGCAAAAACAAAATCTGTCAAGCTCTCGGTGCGTATGATAATTCAACAGCGGCGAATGCGCCTTTTCAAAAAGATCGTGTACAAGAGTATTTAATCCAACACAAATTCATAATTCCCAAAGGCGAACTCAAATCAGGTTGTTTTCAGTATTTAATCGCAAAAGATTCCGAGACAACGAAATCGGTGGCAAATGAAATCATGGTAACTTCGATATCATCTGAAAATCAAACAGATAACAGCATGTATCGAACACGAATTTCTTCCGCGAGTGTCACTCTTGCTAGTATGGCGGCGATACGAGTTTCAGACGATGTCATACGCGCGACAGTTCCAGTTGCTGTAGGTACAGTGAGAGCCGCATCTGTTGTTGGCATTCTGACCGGTGCTATTCTCACTCCTGTTATTGCAACTTGGGCATTCGTAAACACTGGAAAATGTATGAATAATTATCTTCATCAACTCTGTGATGACTTTCAATGTGTTCTACAATACTTTATCGCTAATGTGTGCAATCAATCGTGTCGACATATTCAAGCAATGTTCGATGCATCATTTTCAAACGATGAATATTCGTCCTCCGACGAGGACTAATTGTAAACAGTATTTCTTTTGCATTGTTTATTTTTTGAAGTCCATAAATAAAAAGCGAAGTTTTCAAGATTGACAATTGTACTGATAAATATTGATTTAATTCTCTACTTCGATTTATTCGCATATTGTCATAAAACCTTTCTTCGTAGAAAAGCTAAAACATTCATTTACTTATGTTTCAATGTTGCTCTTCACATTTCGTATAAAAATTTCAATCCGATATAAAAGCAATATTGATAACGTGCCTAATCTTTATGAGCTTTTTGGTAGACGACTATAAAACTTATAGCAGAATTAGGTTTTTTATTACTTTATCAGAATAGATCTCTATAAAAGCAGCAAGGAAGAGCTGTTGTATAGTCGATTTTCATCTACTGTCTATGTATCGACCGAGTGAAGGAATATAAAATGGGCACTGGTAGTTCTAAAACGCGTGTTCTACCTTTTTCTCACCCTCAACACACCGTTAGCGGTGCTGACTTTTACTGGGCTTGTCGAAATGGTAACTTGCAAGTAGCGAAAAATATATATCCACATTTGACATACGAGCAACTCAATGAAGTCCAGCCTAATGGCAGCACAGCATTGCATGACGCATGTGCGCGCAATCATATTCATGTTGTGAAATTTCTATTGGAGATTGGTTGTTCTCGCACGACATTGAATAGTCAACATCAAACAGCATATGAAGTAGCTTCACCCGAAATTCGGAAACTGTTTAAGCGACCACCGTCTGAACGATTTGTTCAACAGCATGCTGGCGCCCTGGTCAAGAACAATTCTTTTAATAATGCGAAAGATGATGAGCTCGAAACGCCAGATGATTGGGTCACAGGTCGTACCAGTGATTATAGTACCTATGAAGCGCAGTTTATGTTAGCTCTTGGTCAATCAAATTCGGTTTTCAAAAACATCGTAAAGAAACGATTGGAAAGAAATCATAATGAAGAGTTGCTCAAATTATTCAACAAGAGCATTCCACCAACTCACAACAACTACAACGAAGCTAAGTGGGGGATTGAAAAGTTCTTCCAAAAACTGGGTGTTCAGCATTTGATAATATTATACACGATGGAAACTGACTTCTACAAAAATTTGAAAGACGAAGCTGATGCTCTCACTGCAGTACTTTATCTGAACTTACATGAACTACGAAATCGTTCTTTTACAGGACGTTCATATCGGGGAGCAATAATGACTCAAAATGATCTAGATGCATATCGATGGGCTTCACAGAAAAAAGAATCATGGCGTACTCATATACTTGAAACACGAATATTACAATCAACGTCGACAGAGAAGTCTGTTGCACTTGATTTTCTAGGAGGACAGCGCGACTCCAATCATTTTTCTGTTTTGATTGAATTCGAATTTTCAAATCACTGTCCAACGGCTATCAACTTATCAAAACTCTCCGAACAACTACCCTGTCTGTCCCAATACGAAAATGAAAATGAAGTGCTAGTATTACCATTCACACTATTTACACTTCGAGATTTTAAAGAAAATGATACGGACGCCGATTATCGAATTATCTTACAATACTATCCCACACCTAAACGATCTCTACGAAAAGCAGCGAGTGAATCTGAAAACTTCTTTATATAACTGGCGCATTCGTCACTATTTTCCGATAAGACAAACTTTTCTGTCGCTTACTCATATTACACATGTAACAAAAGCGTATGTTTAACATATTCCTCTGTAGTTCGAAATCCACAGGTAAAAGTGGAATATGTTCGTTAGAGATACAATTAATAAGAATGTATTCGCGTCTTCGTACATCTTTCAATGAAATATAGAGTCCTTTTCCATCTCCTTTTTCGCATCGTTTTATGATATACAATTATTAGAACATTTCAGTTCTAGATTTTTAGTCGCTTTTATCTAAACAGTAATCTTAACCTCAATGCATCTTCCAAACCATTTCAAACGTAAAGAGCGACGAACAACCAAAGCAGCAGCATTGATAGCCCGTGAATTGAATACATTATACGATGGAATTATTGTTATAATTGTTATGGTTGTTCTCTCGAGCTTATCGATAGCAGCATTAATGATTGGTCTGCTAAAGCGAAATGAATGTCCTATTCAACCGTGGGTACCGAGATGGCTAATTATCTTCGGATCGGTTGGACTTGGCGGATGTACACTATTTATTATCATGGTAAATATCTTTTGTTGATTGTATTCAAGGTTTTCTGTGCATTCATTTATACAGGGCATCATAAAAATGACTTGCTGTCACAGTGAAAAACATTGTCAAATAGAAAGTTGTTTCATGTGCGGTGGTTGTTTAATGTTAATATTATTCCTGTACTTCTTTGCATGGATGATAACAGTAAGTATACATTTCATAAATTAGGCAATCGTTTTCAATATGGCACCAAGGTAAATCTAATCTAATTTAGGGAAGTGTATGGGTATTTGCAATACGAAGTCGAGTGCAGTTCGAGCATCCACTTGAAGCAAACTACTGTCAAAAACTGGTATATAATATGGCATTCGGATGTCTCTTAGCACAATACAGTTTCATCGGCTTACTTTTGTGTATAGCCGGATGTTGTTTTGCAATATTTAAAATATGTGCCTCCTCAGAATAAATTAGATTTTACATATTTTCTTTCGCAATTATTTCCTCAGAGTTCGATATTTTAGAAACTGTAGATGCAATTTGAATTGATTAAATAAAAAAGTATACTCATATCATTAGGCTTTTCGGGCGAGATTGAGATGATGAAATGACGATTCACTATGTCATCAGCAAAAGATCTCACCTTAAAAATCATTGACTGTTCACTATTGTATGACGAAACGCGACTACCATCACCAAGATAAAAAACGAATATAGTAAACGTTTTCAATTTTCGTTTATCTTTTCTGACGTCATTAATAGAAGAGAAGAAAATGAAAATGTATTCTATCTCTATCACAAGTTTCTTTTGTGAGATATTTACAACATGGATAACGTTAAAGAACTGCTAACACATCGTAGAGCGACTGCAGACGACTGCAATGTATTGGTTACACTGATAAATGATGCTTATTCTGGTCAAATGTCACATCAAGGCTGGACGAATGAGTATGCATTGAATCCTACGCCACGAACAAACTCCGATTTGTTATTGAATTTGATAAACAATGTGAATAACATCTTTCTGATGTTTTTCGGTGCAGATGATCAAATTCTCAAAGGATGTGTTCTACTATCGCATAAATCGGAATGTAAAACTGCTCGAATAAGTTTGCTTTCTGTACGTCCAGATCTACAGGCGAGAGGCTTTGGAAATTCAATTTTATCCACTGCTGAAAAGTATGCAATAGACAATTGGAATGTTGAGTGCATAGAACTAACGGTGATTGTTCAAAGGCCTGAATTGATATCGTACTATTCTCGTAGAGGTTTTATCGCCACGGGTGCGCGTCAACGCTTTGTTCCAACACTATCGTCTTCAGGATGTGCAGTACGAGATGATCTGGAACTTTGTACAATGCGGAAGAAGGTGAGCTAAACATTGGCTGTCGAACTGATGTCAATAAGCGAATTAGACGCTTTCAGAACTTCACTTTTTTGTGTGACTCTTTCTCTCTGTTCACTTGCTGAGATAATTTCTCATTGAATGATTTATCGGTATTCTTCGTTGCTGTTTTTTCTTTTCTATAAGTATAAAACGACGTTTAAAGATGAACTATTGGCACAACACTTGCTGACGTCGGCAATGATGCTTCGCATCATATCTAGCGAATCTACATAGCGTCAGCAACCTGTCCTTTTAAAGCCAATTTCGTAACGATGAATTAGAACCAATTGAGGATGTCTTCTGCTTTCCAATAGAAAAGAATGCTGCTATCTACTCATTTATTGCTAAAATCGACAAGCATGAGATCCGTGCGCCATTAAAAGAAAAAAATCCAAGTACAGCCAGAATACTCTCAAGTTTTAAAGCAAGGAAATGGCGCTTATCTCATGGGACAAAATGAGAAATCAACAGACATATTCATTATCAATGTCAGTGCTCTTCTACCTGAAGAAGAATGTCCAATTCAAATATTATACATTACTAAACTGCCACGTTTACGTGGAAACAAAATACGTCTGGTTGTGCCAATAACAATTACATTCCGATACAAATCAACTGAAAATGCTATTGCAAGTCCAGTAGGTACACAACCGACGTATGTTCAATCCCCTCCGTATACTGTCAAATCGACAAGATGAATGAGCAGATAACAAGTGTTTCGTCAGCATTACATCCGATTCAGATTCAATGGTATAAGAAGTGCTACGAAATCACATTTGCTCAAGGTAATATTCATCTAGATCGCAATATCATTGTCGATATGAACTTGTCAACTCGAACAAAATTGGTCTTGCACGACAAGCAACGGTTTTATTTCTGAAAAGTCTACCTATCAATTGCCAGTTTAATATTACTCGATTTAATACGACGATTCCCGCTTATACCTCCAGAATTGAGTGTTGATGTTCATGTTTCTGAACAATTCGATCATTCAGTGACCATTGAATTTTGAAATCACGACGAAACCATTCAGTTTGGATCTGCAAAGATTGACCATATACTCGAGATAATTAATGCCAACGATCAATTGATTACTCATTTAGCAGTCAAAGCACTAATTCAAGAGATCAGCCAGTCAAAGAAAATACGGTCCGGCTCTCAACAAGCGAGATTTGTCGTATTGCAGCTCCATCCAAAAGTGTAAAATCTCTATCGGGACGTAACCTATTGACAAAAGTTAAAGACAGCTACGAGAGCTCGCTCGGGCACCACATTTAGAAACTGCTCACACGGCAACGAATGACTGTTTTTTTTATTAAAGAAGAGATCCGATCAGTATCCTATGGTTTTCATGGTGCAAAAGAAGATACGTTGCATGAAGGTGACCACAAGGATGCGATCTCGAATATCGCCACCATCATCGGAAATGTACGAAGACAAAGCACGACCAACCAATGATCAAGGTGTCGTTCGTCATCTAATTAGTTTGCAAAGTTTTTGATGATCTCTGGAATCTGGCTGATGAAGACATACAGCAACTTTGTCACAAGCCGTTAAGCTTATTCTATTCCAATCTCAACAATGACGTGTCTCTTCTCACAATAGGTGTTGTAAAAGCGTTGATTAGAATTGTTCGACGACAATATTCAATTGCATCAACTGCTCGATGACATTAGACAATAGTTATGAATTTTTTGAACGTATTTTATTTATAATCACGATATTTTCTTTATCTAATTAGACGAATTACATACAGAACGAAAAGTCTGTTGAACAGAATCGAAATCTAAATCGTTTAATTTTTCTAATAAACTCCACGCTGGCTTCTCGCTAATTACAATGTATTCATTATTCGGTTGCGACTGTTTTTGATGAGCGGATATTGTCACACTCATAGCCAGTCTCATTAAAATAAAATAATAGACCAGATCAGCTTCTATTGTTTCCAGTGGATATATCTGCTGATAACCACATAGGACGTAACTTGCTGCAGAAATTGGATCTTTCTTATCCAACATGACATAAGCACATGCGATAGCCACTTCGGAGACTACATAACTTCGGCATAGATCACCGAAATCAATTAAATTGACTGTTTCTTCATCATGAACAATGATATTGTAATCATTGGCATCATTATGAATAACAGATGTTCGTAATGATGGCAAACATGGACGAACGAATTTCAGCCATCGTCGGAGAATGTCTTCGATGATTTCATAACGATTCTTCTCGGTAATTAAGTATTTGAATGCATTGATAATTTTCTCGGCATTGTTCATATTCCAGTAGAGATCACGATTCATACTCGGATGATCTAATTTCTCTAGAGATTGATCAAGTTGTCCAAGAGTTTTTCCAAGATTGACCAGTAATTTTCGACTGTGCGGTTGAAAACGTGCGAGAGGAGTACCTGGTATGTAAGTAACAAGACGTATATAATGATTTTTGTATGTAATTATCATTTGCCCATCTAGAGAAGGTACTGTGCGTAATTGTGAATTGAAACATTGAATCGCACAGATTTGCATATCGAGAACTGAAGGATCTTCGTCGATATTGGAAATTTTCAAGATAAATTTCGTTTGATCATCGTTTTGGAAAAGAAAATTTTGGTCGCGTTCACTGGGTAATTGAGAAACAAATTCTTTTAATTTGTAATATTCATTTGCGACTTTCTTTGCTTCATCAATCGAGAATTCCGGTGAGAGATGACGAAGCTCGTTCGACATGTTTCTTTTCTCAACAATATTTGTGATGAAGCACTGTCTCGCTCTTTTATTCTTATCTCAAAATAAATATTGATAACCAAACATTGGACTCGTCGCTTATGGTATAATTCATTCCATTATCTTAAGATGAACTTTACACGGCATAATTAGACACATTCTGTGTGAGAAATGTTGAAGTACTCTTTATGTAAAGATTATATGCTGGTTCATCTCTCTCTCTCTTCCTCTTTTTTTGTTCTGAGATAAGTAGCTCATTCATAGTGAGCAAATATTCAGATGTGAATAATGTTTTTTTGTTACGAAGGATGCAAGGCATGAAAGACAAATAAATACCTGAAGCATATTAAATACAATTTGAAGATGAAGGGAGAGACAAAATGGCACAATAATCTATTGAAGCTCAGTTAATGAATGGAATAAACTATTCTGTACCCGACTAGATTTCTTTTTTACTTTTTTGTTAATGAAAGAGTTACATTTCTCATGGAGTCGTCATTGATAGCAGTGAAAATTCTTCAAGTTGCTTCTCTGTACTCAACTGCAGTCGGCTGTCTTACCTTTACAGCTGGTGTTATTGGCAATGCAGTAAATATTCTAGTTTTCCTTCGAGTCGCACAGTTTCGTCATCATCGCAGTATCTTTTATCTCATCATCGAATCCATCTCTGATTTTCTCTATCAATTTTTCTCGATAACAATTACCATCTTCATATCCCTTTATGGTAATGACCTTACGAATCGAGTGCTCATTTGGTGTCGATTAAAATATGTTTTCGCTCAATCGTTCGGTCTTATCACATTTTCAATGATCTGCTTCCAAGCAGTAGATCAATTCTTTTCGACGAATTATCGATGTGTCCTACGACAAATTTTCACGTATACACTAGCACAATACACAGCATTCGGAACTGTTTGTCTCTGGCTTTTGCATAGTCTTGCTTGTTCATTCTACGTGAGTATTATTCCATCGATTGGATGTATCATCTCTAATTCGATATGGATTCATTACGTAACCTATGTGTTTTATCCAGTTCTCGTTGGTTTTCTTCCGATTACTATCGCATCGGTGTTCAGTCTTTTAGCCTATCGAAATGTTCGTCGTATTGTTCGCCGGCAAGTTCCCATCGAACGCCGTCGATTTGACCAACAAATCACAGCGATGATCCTACTTCGAGTGATATGCTTCATCATTTTCACTCTACCTTATATAACATTTCGAATATACATCGTTAATGTACCTGTAGAGCAAACAGATCTGATTCATTATGCACTTTTACAGTTAGTTCAGGTCATCATCGTCTCCATTGTCAATCTAAATTACGCAGTAAGACGTACAAGATGTTCTGTTTCTACTTGAAAGTTGTTGTTTTATCTAGGCTAATTTTTATATATTCTTCGTGTCGTCTGCACGCTACCGTCGACAAGTTAAGTATGTTTTGACGAAGAAATGCTGGAGAAGATGGCTTATTTGGAATACAAAAATTGTTCATCCGGAGAATCTCACTAATTATCTCCCAAACGTTGAAATGGAATGAAGAAATCTCGTCTTTGTTTAATGTTAGCACAACTCTTGTCCTGAATGAGTGCACGGCGATGACGAGTACTCTTGAAATGTTTTCTATAATTATCGTATGATTTATCCTAATGATGTTACGTTTTGCGACTTTTTTAAAACTACGATGATGATAACGATCGTAATGCGTATGTTAGACTGACGTTCAATTAAACAAACGAGGAAGCCCTCGATGTCTTCATAAGATGAAACTTTTATACGAAAATAAATCCTGTTGGTGAAAGTCATTCACATGATTACAAGAACTACGAGCAATTTGCATTAAAACCATAATTTTAGCGATGACTCAAAAGCAGATCTGCAATGCAAGTCACAAATTTTGAAAGAACTTCAATGATATCCCGGACCAAATTGGTAAAGTTAATATGTATCACTGTTAGTAATCTTGGCATTCTTCGGTATTTCATGAAAGTCATCTTTCGTTGTGGATTAGAATTTGCTGCAACTAGATCAAACAATGTCGCGCAATTAGTTGCTGAACTCATTATTTTCAACCATTCTGTTCATTGAAGCGTTCTTCTTTCCTTTTTTCTTTCTTGTTTACATCTATATGTGCTAAGTGCAGTTCGGTGCCATGATATATGTAAGCTATATCTTTTTTTCTCTCTATGCCGTCCGCCTGACTTCTCTTTGAACTGGTAAGATCAGACAGGCAGTTGTATTTGAGCTGTAATCGACACTAGTTGTTTTTCTTTCTTTTCTTCTCTTCTCGTCGTTCTCCAATAAACGTTATCACGAAGATTTTGAATCATCTCGTTCGTCTCCGTCAACACCCAAGTAGGACAACCGCTTACACTAACCGAACCGATACAGATTCTAGCTTTATGTTACTTTCTGTCTAGTCTAGTGGGCAGCAGTCTTTGGCCTGTAAGAAAAATCTAACATTTACTTTATTTTATTCGGACTGGAAGATCTGTTTAATTGGCACTCACTACATTAATCCTTTTGAATTATTGAATAAACTGGCTTTTCATGGTAATGTTTCTATAATCATCAGATAATCTGTAATTTGTTCGAGAGTGTAAATTAGTAGGCGAAAACGCATGGAAAAATAATGAAGATAATATATGACAAAAAAGAATACTGAAATACTTCTTTTCCCCACAATACATTCATCAAAACACTAGTAGAGAACACTATTCATTCTCGGTTGGAGTGTAATTATTTTTAAAATGTCCTCGTCGGCCATTTTGACATTTGCATCGAACTACAGCTTATACTGTGACTTAATCACGTTCGTACTCGGGTTTATCGGAAATATTCTAAACTTGCTCGTTTTCGTTCAATTGAAATGTTTTCGTGATCATCGAATCACGTATTACTTCATCATTGACATAATCGCTATCTTTATTAATCGCACGGTTCAATTGTTTTTTACAATATCTACTTCATTCTATCAAAATGATTTGTACAACAATTCTCTCATCGGCTGTCGAGCGCGCACTGTACTCGTGCAAGCGGCAGGAAATATTTCGTATACTATGGTATACCTCGCTGCAATCGATCAGTACTGTTCAACGAACTATCGGCCCTGCCTTCGGCAATTGTTTACATTTCGTTTCGTTCAACGCGTCATCATTGTCACTGTCTGTTTTTGGTTTTCTATTAATCTCCTATTTGCACTGTACCTCGATGTACATCCATTATATGGATGTAATATATATAATGATATCTGGAGTCAGTATGTGATATATTTTCACTACCCAGTTCTCATTGGTATTTTTCCGATTACTATGGCATCGATATTTAGTCTTCTGGCCTATCAAAATGTTCGTCGCATTATCCGACGACAGATTCCGATCGAACGCCGTCGATTTGATCAACAGATTACAGCTATGGTCTTGATTCGCGTTATCTTCTTTCTTCTCTTATTCACACCTTGGGTTTGCTATCGAATCTATTCGATCAATGCAACTACGAACAATTTCTCTGCTTTGCAATTTTCAATTTCCCGATTAGTTCAAGTTATTACTATCTGCTTCGTCAATGTTCAACATGGAGTAAGTTGTCTCTCTTTCTCTCTACTAATTTTCAGTTAGTCACACGATACTCTTTTGATTACAGATTGGCTTTTATCTCTACATCATGATATCATCGCGGTATCGTCGTCAAGTCAAGTACGTTCTACGAAAGCGCATATGGCAACTTTGCAGATGCACATGTCATAAAGCACCGAATCGTATATTTCCAGACAATCTTTCAACGGGATCCAATTTCGAATTGCAATGAACAAAGTTCAAAGAGTTACACACAATCAGACCTCTTCAATGTTTGAGAACATCAAATATATCTCATAGAGGCTTTTCACTAATTAGTGAAAGAAAATGGAATGACAGACCTACTCTATAAACTAGAATCTCATTAAAAAAAATATGAAATTCACGTGCCGTTTTAGCTATATTTTACATTTACTGAGAATTTTTTTAAAAATAGCATCAACTGGTTGACGCAGCGAAGACAACAAGATACCGCATATATCTTGTTGATGCGTTCAACAATAGAATGGATTTTAGTTCGTTTATATACGTATGCCAAATACAGTAAGTAGGCCATTCCTATAAATAAGGAAATATATGCTTAACTATTGGCAGTGAGAATAGAGCATGAGCTCATTGGTGATAAGTTCATGCTCTTATTGTTAGATTCAAGTTTTCAACGAATGTAATTAATCTTCCGAAAACAAATATAGAAGATTTATTTGAAGCTTTATTGATATACAAAATATAGAGTTTAAACGTGGCGAAGATCGAAATCAGCCATTAAACCGAAATGATCAGAGAGAAAAACGTTTTCCACGGAGGGACCTACATATCCTAATGATAAAACATTCAATATGTCAGTTCCAAGGTTGTTTGCTTTTGGTATATGTGCAATTGGTTGATTTCCGATAATTTTTATTCCAATAGGAATAATACGTGAACTGCGAAACATCATCCGATCTAATCGTGCTTCTCGAAGTGTTGTTAAACCAGGATCGTAAAGTCCATTCAATCTTGGCCATAGATCAGTCCAGTTTGCAAGAATATTCATTTGGTCGAAGTTTTCAGGCCATTGGTAATCGAAGTTAAAATCACCTACTAATAAACAAGTGGCACGAGAACGTTTCTTGGTATATTTATCAAATATCGCTTGACAGATTTGTAATTGTTCGGATCGAGTATCTTCGTTTCGTCGCATCGATTCTAAATGAACAGTCCCTATTGCCAATAGTTCTGATCCGACTTGTATCTCAGCAAGCAGTAGTTGTCTTCCTAATTTCGATGGAAAAGGTATCGACATGAGTTGTTGTACAGGTAAACGTTTGTCGATCAGCATCACCACACCATAACTATCCGGACTAGTCACAAAAGTTCGTCCATCAATATCACTTACTAAATATCGACGTTGTATCCATGGTTGAGAAATTAAACCTTGTAAAACCGATCGGGTCACTAAGCAAAATGACAAATTCACATTTTCAGAAGCAACTTCTTCCAATCCTACTTTCTTGTAAGCATATGACCTGTGCATTCGTATGTTGTAGAAGTAAATTGAGATGATGGAATCGTTGCGGTTGGTATCTTGTATCGAACCATATATTGTATGTAATAACACGAAGTGATGTATGTTGATATGTCTCCGGATAATACGCCATCGTTGGATCCTTTGGTACCCAACGATGTTTATTCGCATTGTAATACCAGATCGGCAAACGATTGTAAGGTTTGAAACTCTCTACAAACAAACAACTTACATATTTGAATCGGATTCATCGATCTCCTAACTGTACATACGCATTGTCGAAGGAATTGCTACTATACCTTACATAAGGTCGGTTTATTCAATCTAGAAAAGTACTAAGTTTTTGAATTACATCATAGACAATTTACAATTTTCTTGCACGAAAATATTTTCAGCAGAATTTTGATCAAATTATCAGAGCATACTACATTTCGGTAAAATATGTAACTTGGTTCGTTATCACTGCGATCAAACGATTCACTTATTAGCTTTTCTAACATAATATAACGTTTTCTCCTCTTTTCTTCGTGCGTGTTACGACTGATAGACTTTATTTGCTATGCATGTATGTAATAAGGGTAAAATGCGAATGATATGAAGGGTAGAGTCGAAGAAAAGTCATCATAAACAGAATAACAAATTAAACATAATAAAAAAATATGTTTTTTATCGAAAGAAACGAATGCGTTCGATAGACCAGTTTTTATTCAATTACAAATTATTTAAACGATAATGAAACATTTTTCGATTGTGAACCTTCACGAAAAGAACGTAACTACTGAGTACACCATTGCAGATCAATTAATTCTTGCATGCTTTTTTTTACATATATAGTCTTCTTATTCATAATTTCATATTCCTTCACTACCATGTAATATGAGCGTCCAATTATGAACTAGGTTCTATGAAAAATACTTGTTTACGTGTTATAGAAAACGATTACGCAACAATTGCTATTCTTGAGAGTCAGGGTACACGACCAACATGAACTTTTGCAGCTCTTTCGATTATCTAAACTTTATTTTTAAGTGGTTCCCGATTCCTGTATTTTGAAGATCAAATAGCAGAGAACAAGAAAAAAAACGTGTTTTCTCTTTATATTTGGTGTTATTAAAACGCAGCTGCTTGTAACTCGCGTGTCATGTGCAAATCATCGTCATTTCCTTCATCTTCCAACCAGCGTTGGTTATCGTTTGTCGCTGTTCTCAATTTGTGTGAAATACGATGACGTGGCTCGATGTTAAGTGCATCTTCTTTTGTCGCTTCCATATCGATTAAAGCTAATCGTTGAATTTCATTTCTTACGAATGGTTCAAAACCTCGATAAATTTTACCAATCGAACGTGTAACAAAACGTTTGTCGATCACATCCGTTGCTTTAATACTGTCGATGACTGCTTGAATAAAACAACGCATTTCACCACTCATTTCGATAGTTGTCAACGGTGGTAATTGTGATGCCTCTTGTTTAAGATTAGCCAACAGTTGAGTATTAGTTGCATCGTCCACACGATTTGTCATGACTCGTTCGATAAGAGACGAACCATTTGGAAAATGAAAAGCAGTTAAGACTTGAGAAACTGCTTGAAGTAATCCATTCAGATCGAGCTGCTCACTTGCCATTTTTGTGTTCTCTTTCCTCAAGCATTTGTATATATATATGACGTACTGGATTCTTACGAAATATAGGTCGTTGTGTCGAAAGGCAACTACTATCATACGATGTTTCTCATTGGTCATTTCTATTTATACAAAAGAACGAATATAGTTTATTTCTTCCACGCATGTGTCTTACAGTTTAATTTCCAAAGTTAGATATAGTTTTCTCGCTAACTTAATTGTTATTGGTGTCTATATATAAAAGGAATGAAAAGTAACAGTTGGAGACGTAAAGAACATTACCGTACGTTCTTGTACATTGATTTCAAACTCTTCTAGTGCTTCTTCGCCGATGTGATTGTTGGTAAGATTTAAATAAGTGAATGTCTGAAATCAGTCAGCGACGCATTTATGCAATCATATCAAAAAAATAAACATTTACTTGATTTTCTTTTAGAACATCTAGCAGGTAGTTCGCTCCTTGACTTGAAACAAGATTTCGTGATATACTGAGGGATGTCAATGTCTTTGAAAACAAATCGATTGGACTAAAAAGAAAGCTATGAGAATAATAGTCTTACTTGGTTAGATTTAAGAGCATTGGCAAAATGTTGTGCTCCCTCATCTTCAATTGAATTTTGTGAAAGAACAAATGTAATCAGTTTGTACAATGAAGAATCAGTCAAGATATGTCGTCGAATGAGATGAAATATATCGATAACAAACTGACATTATTGTGTTGTAAAGCACTAGCAACTTACATGATTCTCATTCAGAGCTTTCACCAAGTATTCTATGTCACTATCGTTGATTTCATTATGATTTGTTTTGAGCACAGAAAGTGTCTGATTACGTCGGAGAGCATTGGCAAGATGTTCTGCACCACTAGCGAAGATGCGATTATTCGAAATATCAAGTTCGATGAGTGTCTGTATCAGAATTTCACATCAACGAACAAATCAGTACAAATAAAAGCAACTTTTACTGTGTTGTGTATCAGAGCATTAGCTATGTATTCAACTCCTTGACTTCCAATCCTATTTCCGGCGAGGATGAGCGTCGTGAGTGTCTATATGGAATAATGGGGACAACAATAGAAGAAAAAAAAACGAGATGATGTTACTGTATTTCGATGAAGAATGATAGTTAAGAGTTTCGCAGAATCTTTATCAAGACCAATTTGTGTAAGATTGAGTGTTGTCAATCCGTTGATGAAATAAAGATTTATAAAATCGATCACTGTCGAAGCTTACTTTGTTCTTTGATAAAGCACTAGCTAGATGTTTGATTTTCTGAATGTCAATGTAATTATGTGAGAAACAGAATGTTTTCAGTATCTAAATAAATCGATCGTAAGATAAACAAAAACCATTGAATATTTACTTTGTTATGTAATAAAGAATTAGATTTCAATCTTGTTCCTAGATCATCAATATAATTGATAGAGAAAACCAATTTGATCAGCGTCTAGGTGAATATACTGAATCAATGTGATAATAAAAAGGAGTAGTCTACTTCATTTTGTTTTAATAAATTGCCCAGAATTTTAGCTCCTTCAGAACAGATTGGAGTGTGTTTTGTAATGAGTGTTGTAAGTGTCTGTATGAAATCAAAACAGAGTTGATCAGATATACAATGGACAAAGTCTCACTTTATTCTCAAGTAAAGCGTTGGATCAATGTTGCAGAGCACTAAATGTCATATCAATATGTGAAGTTCAAGCATGGTAAGTAAGTGTTAAAGGGAACACATGAGGATGATTCGGAACATGAAATTCTGAACTATTTCTTTATTCAATCGAAGAGCATCGGCGAAATATTCTATCCTTTGATCATTTACGCCTCTACCTAAGTCAGATATGAAGTGCAATGATCGCTTATTGCAAAATGTACATGAATAACAGAATGTTTTTTCAAACAGTCCTCGCAATATATGCAATTCCTTTTGCAGTAAACGCCAGTTCATCTTGCATCAAGTGTCGTCAATTCCTAGAGCGAATATGACGTATCGAGATTTGATTCGACTAAACATCATACTCGGTATTGACGGCAGGTGTCTATAACAGCGTTAAGCCTTGAAAAGACTTTCAAATGATCAAGAATTCAGGAGATTATTTCAACAAGTAGTGTATGAAGTGCTAGTGTCATTTTGTCAGCAAAAAAAACGAAATAACGTCTTGTAATTACATAACAAGTTGCAGTAATGCGGCTCGTCGATGAGTCATATTCTCTTTCTCAGTTCTATAAGTCATTTCTCATTATTTCGCAATAGCTATGCACCATAAGACTCTCGTACATTCTTGTGCATTCATTCAAACACTCGCTCATGGAGTTGAATATGCAAACTCTCTACGATGATCTGATGAAACTCTGTTCAGTCGACGATACTTTTTACTACAAAGATGTTCGCCTCCAATCAGTTTCCTATCGGATTTTTAACTATCGTCTTTGTACTTATGCCGCATTTCAGTCGCGTCCAGCAGCGTTGAACTGTCGTGGAACAATGTTCAATATAACAAATCCGAAGAGAATTCAACTTGTTTCTCTACCATTAGAAAAATTCTTTAACTATAACGAAGGTTTTGGCCGGCAACAATTCCATCAACGCGGTCGATTTGGTGATAAAATGGAAAAAATGGATGGAACATTGATCTCAACATTTCTCCATCGAACAACTGCAAATCAAATATCAGTCCGATTGAAATCCAAACAATCGCTTATCTCCAAACAAGCCACCGAAGCAGCAGAGTTGCTCACAGGTCAGTTTCAAGCTGAAGTGGAATATTTAGCTCGTCAGAATTACACTGTAAATATCGAATACACATCACCAACAAATCACGTCGTTGTTTCCTATCCCGAAGCAAAACTTAGTATTCTTTCCATTCGTTCACATGAAACTGGTGAATCGTACTATGGTACTCGATTACGAACATTTTTCCTCGAAAACAACTTTCCTACCATGCTCAATCATATTGTTTCATTTCATTCCGTTCCAACACATGTATCACAGCAGGACTTACTTGATAGCATTGCACAAGAGTCTTATGGTGAAGGTTACGTAGTTGAAATCATTCATCCGAATTGTTCTCCGTATCTTGTGAAGATCAAAACACAAAAATATCTTGGTTTACATCGAGACGGTGCGAATGCAAATTCTGATCGTTCTCTATTCGAAGCTATCATTCAAGAGGAAGTCGACGATCTAAGAGGATTGTACCAACATGATCCCGAAACATTGCAAAAAATCGATGCCATGGAACAACATGTTCGACCGATATACAACCATATGATTGAATTAATAGAACAGTTTTATCAAAAATACAAGCATCTACCAAAAAATACTTATAAAAAAATCATTTCTCAAACATGTAATATGGAAATATACTCTCCATTATTACTGAGACTACACGATGGTGCAGACAACGATTATAAAGGATTTGCAATGAAACATGCAAAAGATTTATTCGGAATCGGTAACAATGATGAAACAACGCGAACATAGCACATATTTATTGTAAATAATATCGTGCGTATGTCGCTAGCACACCTGCTGCTAATCCACTTTTATGTGATAAACATTCATGAGCCATGATTTGTTCGACTAATAAATGTCGAGAAGAGATACTCACTTCTGATGCGTTATTAAAACAGTTATACTGCGGGTCTTGCCATGTTAGAATCGTGCCTAACCAGTCAGAACGTAGGAACTCTTCGTAACCGATAACGGAACACAACAAGAGTTGTTCGAGAAATAAATCTTGACAGATATGATTGTTGATATTGAAATTTGCATCTTCATAAATATTTGCACAAAAGAAATCTTCTAAATACGAACGATTTGATACGAGATCTGCATTCTGACAATGGACATCTTGTGCAATCAACAGCCAGAGTAATTGATGAGTTAAACGATACGAGCTGGTCATTTGTGCGGTCATTTTCTTCCAGCATAAATTACTTATCGAGCATGAAGGAGCATTCATCTGACTAAGTAGTTCGCTAAAGCATTGATCGGAGAGTTCAGCATCGAAAAACGAATCTTTCTCTTGATTACGTTCAATCAGCGTTTGATTAAGTTTTCTCGGGCGATATTCTACCACAAATTCTCGTGAAATAAGACGACTAAATCTTTTAAAGTAGGCTGAATCTGTATCAACCAATTGTTGAATACTTTTCTTTACTATACGATCAATTCGAGTCGAGAATGATTGAATGATATGCTTTTGGTCAGTCAGTTGCGTTGAGGAATCGAGCGATTGACTAAGCGCATTCAATTGACCTTGTGCGACGCGTAAGCAAAATACTCCATCAGGATTAATATCTTTGGCATCATTTTCGAAAAAATCGAGTAGACGTTGTAAAGCATTCAGTGTTTGACTAGCGTGTTGGATGCGTTGATCATCAGATATTGACACCGGAGGGCTGGAGACAGAAAAGATCACTGTTTGCACCAGAAAGAAAAACACGAATATACGTAACATATTAGCTTTTATTCGAAAAAGAGAGAAGTCAAATGGCTATCGAGTATAACTATTACTCCTTAAAATAGAAGTATTAGCCGTAATAATTCGATGACAAAGAAAGGAGCACATGGATGTGACTCTTTTGTCTCTTTATAATAAATGATGACGTCAACTATTGTACACCAACCTCATTCAGATTTTTCTCGTTTGAAAAGTCGAATCGTTGATAGATCATCGATAACGGCAAGACTCATCACTGGTTTATGACGTTCATTACGTGAATCGATGCCGTGAAAACCTCCGAGCAGATAGCATGTCTTGGATTCATTGGTTACTTCATTGTTGACTTCTACCGTTACTTTCAATTGATTCAGTTTGATTTGCTTGATTTCACAGTCAGATTTCGAATGCAATCCATAGCAAAGACGAAGAAACCACCCGCTAATATAAGTACCAGCCGTTCTTGAATCATCTGAATGTTATTACTGTAAATCAATCTCAATATCAACTTACTTTCCGGACTTTCCACCGCCGACATGTTCGATATCCATGACCTTATTCCAGAATTCTTGGTCGACGTTACCTTGATAAGTATCGATAAATTGATCAATCACCGGTAATATTGCATTGATGTAACTCTCGAAACTATCGCGACTAAATTTTTTTAAATCTTGAATTTTCTTTCGTAATAATTTCCAATCTTCCAATGTACCAAGGAAATGAACATTACGAATGCCACATTTGGTGATATAACATTCATAGTCGAAATATTTTTGACATGTGCTCATCACGACAAGCGATGATAGAAGTGATTCGATTGCTGTTGTTGTCGAAAACTGAGGAGACAACAAGTCGGCCACATTAGTTTTTACATTCTGATCTATTTTTGTTCGTATTCGTGCGAGAAAACTCTCCCAACTACACGAAAAATAAAATGTACATTCGTCAACTGTCTCGAATAATTGTACAGACTCACTCAGGTTCAAGTCGAGCAGTTTGAACGATGGTCAATCTCTTTCGACCATCTTCATGGTCGACAAAAAGCTTGCGAAGTTGCTCGGCATGGTCGTTCACATACTGTGAGAAGTAGATACATACCATCAACCAAATATCATCGGGAGAGAGAACTATATCTTCATGTGAATTATACGCAAAAAGAAATGAGGAGAAAATCGCATGTGTGTCATTGGCTGACGTATCTAAACACGAAACAAATCTATTTTGCTGCTAAAAACTACTTCTTACGAGAGCCATTGGTAACCGTGTATCTCACTTTGTAACGAGTTTCATCCTTGACGTTATCATCTAATTGAGATATCCAATAAATATCAGACGGATGATCATGAACTTCATCGATACTATAATATCGGTTAGTTCTAGGAAGATCCGGACAAATCGGGACGGTGTGGTAAATAGACGACGACGACGACATATTATTATGCGTAGCGATGAAAACAACAGAAAAAAAAGAACAAAAAAATTCAAAACAAATGATGTCGTTAGTAGTTTAAATATATTTTGAAGGCACAGGCGGTACGTTTATGTCAAAACGATATCCATATTCAACACCACCACTTTTCACTGTTTCATTTCGTAGAACCTTCCCGGTCACTTTTTCGATGATCACCACATCCGTCGATACACCTAAACCTTCAAAGTCAGAAAATACATAATCCATAAAAGCGAATAATAATCGATTATAATTCGTTTCCAAACTCTTGAAATCCATTGTAATCAAATAGTTATCACTTTCCATAGTTACCAATTGTCTCAGCGGTATAGTAGCATTGCCAAACGAATCAGTGACATTCACCCAATTACTACGGTCAACATCGAATCGATGTAATTTACCGTCATTACACGAATCTAATGTGATATTCCAAACGGTTACTGATCTTAACTCGATGTGCGCTGTGGTATTGAGACGAATATCACTGAAACGTGCATCCATTGTTTTCAAAAGTGCATCGGCATAAGTTAAACCAGTACCAGCAATGATGCTAAATTCTTGAGATTGATTATTCGATGGAATATTTACGTAGTACCATCCCCAAGCGTATTTTGCGTCTGGTTTTTGTTTTGGTGGAGATGATGGCATGATTTCACCCCAATTCGAATCACCATAAGCACGGAAGCCAGCATCTTTCGTAATAGTGAATTTTTCACCTTTAATTTTGACAAATCCTTCGACTTCCGCCGTATGAGAGTACGTGTTCCACATGATGACGCCTTCTAAGACTCTATCGGGTCCTTCGAATATATCTTGTGCATACCAACCGTAGATTCGAGATAATGTTAAATCCCATTGGATTTCTAAATCTTTTGGACAACCGTCGCAAAACCAGACGTTGTCGACCGTATCTTTTGACATATTACCACTAATTCGAAAGGTGTTATCGTCGATGGGAAGAATTTCATGTATTGTTCGATTGGTATTCGCATGAATCTTATAATTGAATATTCCTTCGACAGAAAATGCATTTCTATCGTAGAATTCATACTTTTGCATTCGAAAATTTCGTTTATTATCTACGACTGAAAAGCCCACAGCAGCGCCATCATACGCACAAACTTTTGTATCCGTATGTTTGCACAATGTCGTACCATATGCTATTGCATAATGACGATCGTTATTGTTGTCACGAATCCAATAATACCACCATTGATAATACGGCAGATACTTTTTATATTCATGTTGTCGGTACCGTTGATAATTCAATGATGGTTGAAGTACACCGTTGCCGGGCAATGGAACAGCAGTACTACCTACAATGAAATAGTTGATTGCTACCAATAGAAACACGAGAGATTGCATCGTCATTTCACCTATCTGTGTATTTGTACGATGAAATATTTTGTTATTTCACTCATTTTTATTTTGCTTCTTTTCGCTTGAGAATATCTAACAGGTGTGTGCCCAAAAAGGACAATTACTGGAATGATACGTCACATCGTTTCATATATCTTTTTATTTCGAACATTGTTGCGTATCCAAATCGACTTGCTTGTAAAGAACTTCTATCAAGCCGAGTATAAAGTATTCCGGTCGATGGTATACTGAAGATATTCTCGCCGGTGTTGTCTACTGTTTGCATATCGATAGCAATTTAGAAGACGGTGTACTGAAATTCCATTCGGAAACAACGCCACAGTTTAAGGTTCAGCAAATTAATATCGACACTGGTACTTCGATTGTGTTTACGCTATTCTGATATAATCTACCATACACTAGATGAAGCTAGTTTCAATTTATTGCATTCAGATAAGATTGTAAAACTGCAACGACGATTTTGTGATTTGCGTATAGAAAAAGTTTTTATCTTTTTCACCAAATCTACGATGGAGTATTGACCAAGCAAAAGAATTTCAACAACGTGTGTGTAAAGAAATGTTGTAGACAAAGATCGGGTGGGGATAGATACACTTCGGTAAGACATAACATGGTTCAATTTGTTAGACAAGCATCGATCAATAATGAAGAGATACGACATACAAAATCAGATTGGAGTCTATAGATTTTAGATACAAAGCAAACACGTTGATTTTCATTACAGAACGGCAAAACACATACTTTCTGTTTTCGTTTGCCACTCTTTCGTATGTAGTCACTTACGTGGTAATCTAATAATAAAGAAAAAAGAAAGGTTTTTTCGTTCTTTTCACTAAACACGCAACTGTTATCTGTCATTCTGGTATTTGGTGGAAATGTAAATCTATCTTATTTTATCAAAGAAGACTTGCAAATGAGTATGAAGTCGGTGCAGAAATTACATCCAGTCATGTTCGCTGGTACAGGTAGTGATGTAGGGAAAAGTGTCATCGTGACAGGTTTCTGTCGAATTTTTCTACAAGATGGACACCATCCTGCACCGTTCAAAGCACAGAACATGTCCCTCAACTCTTTCGCCACTCCCGATGGCATGGAAATCGGACGTGCACAAGCTGTACAAGCTGAAGCTGCCGGAATACCTTGTCATACCGATATGAATCCTCTTCTATTGAAACCAACATCCGATCAAAGCTCACAAGTTGTTCTGAATGGAAAACCTATCGGTAGTCAGACTGCGAGAGAATATTTTCGGAAAGAAGGCCGAGATGTTCTACGTCAAGAGGTGCACAATGCTTTCGATCGACTAGAAAAACAGTACAATCCGATTGTATTGGAAGGAGCTGGTAGTGTGTCTGAAATAAATCTCCGTGAACTTGATCTGGTCAATTTACCCATGGCTATTCATGCTCGAGCTGACGTGATTCTCGTTGCTGATATCGATCGAGGAGGTGTATTCGCTAGTGTCTATGGCTCAATTCTGCTGATGACAGAAGAAGAACGCAAGCACACGAAAGGAATTCTTATCAACAAATTCCGAGGCGATGTGTCGATCTTTGAATCAGGAGTAAAGATGCTGGAAGAACTCTGTAAAATACCTGTTCTTGGAGTGATACCTTATTTTCGAGATATCCATATTGAAGAAGAAGATTCATTAACGCTGCAGACGAAAAATTCACAAGCTACTCATGGAAAAATTAACATAGTTGTGATCTTGCTTCGTCATCTGTCAAATTTTACCGATTTTCATATTTTGGAACGAGATCCTCGTGTTCATCTTTACTATTCGAATGATGCGAAAGATATTGCACAGGCTGATATTATTCTGATACCAGGAAGTAAAAACACCATTTCTGATCTATGTGAACTACGTCGAAATGGAGTTGCGCAGAATATTGTATCAGCGTATGAGAAAGGAACAACTGTTATGGGAATTTGTGGAGGATATCAAATGCTAGGAAGAGAAGTATGCGATCCACATCAAATCGAAGGACAAATAGAACGTTTTGCAGGTCTTTGTTTATTGCCGATCACAACTGAGATACAAAGCGAAAAAGTGACACGTCAAGTTCAATTTACTTTCCTCGACTCAAAAGACTTATGCAACGGTTATGAAATACACATGGGCAAGACTGTTCCCATACACGGTATCGAATACAATTCTTTAAATACTTTGACTGATGGAACAAACGATGGATTCTACTTAAATCATAAATGTTTTGGTACATATATTCATGGAATATTGGATAACAGTGCATTTATTGACTTTCTGCTACGATCACACACTACTGAATTAGCAGATAAACCTTTCGACTACAAAGCGTATAAAGAAGAGCAATACAATAAATTAGCTGATCATATTCGTAGTCATGTTAATATGAATTTGCTTTATGAAATATTGACTAAATAATCTTGTCTGGCTGGTTGACAACCATTTTACACATTAACCTTGAATGATTTCCGAAACACATGAAGGACAAAATCAATATTGTCAGAGATCGAGGCTGATTATCGTTCTGTTTTATATAAAAAGAAGAAAAGTTCGTCATTAATTATGAATGCTCACTTCTTGCTCTGTATCAAAATTGATTGAAGTTAAAAGAGTAAGGAAAAAAGTACATCATGGTTATGTAAGAGAATAAACAGATGTCTACGAGAAAAACGATTTCTTTTGCTAAGAAAGAACATCATTGAACAGAAGTCAAACTTCAAAACGACGTTGGCAAAAAAAAAGAAAAGATTTGTGCTTGAAAGCAGAGAATTTTCTCTTAGAATTCATTTATTATGCGAGATATAGAGAATATACATATTCCAACATTGACTTCATCCCGAAGTGGACCGGTGTCTACAAATTCCTGGGCTCCGACAGTGACCACTGGATTGTACGTATTATGTTTCACTTTCCGCTAACAATCATTTCTATTTTATGTCCAGTGCTACACGAAGCAAAATTCTTTTTGGTGTATCTTTAACGGCTGGAATAGTCGTCTGCTCTACAATACTTCTTGTACCTATACTTGTTACGCATGGCGAATATACGACAACCACAGGTAGATACTATTTTCTTCAGTCTTCATTCACTACTATCATCCTCTTCAGCAATAACAAAGACCACAGCTAGTACATCGACTATCAATACTACATCATCAGTTTTATTCACATTCACGTCCTCTACAACATCTTCTTTCACAACATCATCCACCAGCACATTTTCTACAACAACCTCATCCACGAGCAGCTCATCTACAACAACGTCAATGGCCAGCACTTCCTCTTCAACAACATCTTCTCTCACAACATCGTCCACCAGCACATTCACTACAACAACGTCATCGACTAGTACGTCCACTACAACAACGTCGTCAACCAGCACATTCACTACAACAACGTCATCGACCAGTACGTCCACTACAACAACAACAAAAGGTAGATTTATGACAGAAAAACTTCGGTGTTAGACTATCGACTATTTTAGTCCAGTTAGCATTAACAAGTATTGATGGGATAATACATGGTGTATTTAATACCAGTGTAGGTGGTAATAGTATTACATCAACATCAGGTTTTGATGTTGGCAATTATCCACCGGCTGAATCACCCAACAATGCATGTGATGATAATATTATGACGAAATATCTTAGTTTCGGCAGTTGTTCAGAAACAGAGCTCTTTGCGACATGTGGTTTAAACACAGGTTTCTATTTGGAATTATTGCAACAGTTCGTATTAGTGACAGGAATTCGCGTTTGTACGGCTACTGATTATCCAGAACGTGATCCACTAGTGATTTCACTGGAAGGAAGCAATCGAACAGGAATATTTCTGACATTAGGTTCGAGTTGGTCATTAATCTACAATGGTAGCACTGGTCTCACAGTAAATCCTGGTCGAGGTATCTGTGGATCAGTTCAATGGTTCACGAATGCAAATCAGTATAAAAGTTATCGATTTCTTGTTTCAAACAAACGTGCAACGTCAAACAGTGTTCAATATTCTGAAGTGCAATTATTCGCTTCGTAACTTTTCCAGTGTGATATAATGAGAGAAAAAAAAATAATTTTTTATCTAAATAGATCGTCAATAAAGTAAATTCCGTCTGAACAGTCGATCTAATCTCAGAATGCTTATCGCCGTGTTGAGTGTCGTATTGCTCTTGGAAGGTTTTCACCCAAGATTTCAATATAGCTGGCACGAAGTCAATCTTTGCACAGATTAAAAACAAAAAATTGATAGCGTGTACCGTAGGACAAGTTACAGCCAAAATCTGGTTATAATTGGGGACGCATTAGTAATAGAAGCGTATTGAAATTTAATTTTAAAAAAGCACGTTCTATGAATGATAACGGCATTCTTTCTTATCTCATACAAGTATTTGAATATGGTAGTCATATTGCACGACTGATAAATAACGATATTTTCTTTCTCTTAATCTTTTTTTGCATGATAGTCCAAAGTCTATTTGCGCACAGAACGACAAAAACACAATTACTTTCAACAGATGGCCATACATGCGTAAAACACCGTCTAGTGGCAGACGATAGAGGGAAGGAGAGAAAAAAGAGAAGAGAGAATAAGAGAGGGTGGATCTACACTATATATACAATAGTATCCTGACAGAAACAAATATTATTACTAAGAATGAATGTGACTATGTCCACACCAAACAATGCTTGTATTCGAATTGATGATGAAAATAATGATCATTCGTACGATCTTCAATTACATATTTTATAGGTATTTGTTATACTGATTTTATCCGTCGGTGGTGCCTCGATATCTGTTGTTTCATCACAAGTTAAACGTTTGCGTGACAATTCAGTTATTCTCAATCTAGGAAAATTCTTTGGTACTGGGTAAGGAGAAATCTGTTCGTAGAATGAAGCAAAGGAATATACAACAATTTGATTTTTTTAGAGTAGTATTAGCAACTGGCTTTATTCATATGTTACCAGCTGCAATGAAGGCATTAACTGATCCTTGTTTACCTGATAATTATACTATATATGATGCTTCTGCTGGGCTTTTAGCTATGGTAGCCGCATTGATCATGCAATTGACTGAGTACATAGTTTATCAACGATATCGATCGATTGAATCGCACAAGACTTCGACAGCAATAGATGGAGATACGTCCAATGGTAACAATCTGTTAGGTCATTCTCATGCCATAGGTTTCCAGAATGATAGTGAAACCAAGAAAATTAGTACATATTTACTTGAATTCGGCATTGCTCTACATTCAGTTTTGATCGGTTTGACACTGGGAACAGCAACTGATGAATTTCTCGTTCTATTTATCGCCCTGGCTTTTCATCAGTTTTTCGAAGGCATGGCACTTGGCGCGCAAGTTGCTCGCCTAGATCACATTTCTTTACGATCATGTCTATTAATGATCATGTTCTTCGCTCTTACAACACCTATTGGCATTATCATTGGCATTTGTATTCAATCAAATTCCTACAATCCCAAATCAACGACATCCTTACTAATGAATGGCATCTTAGATTCTATATCCGCCGGTATTCTTATCTACGTTGCACTTGTTCACCTAATCGCTGGTGAAATGGATTGTCATGCTCATACATTTCATGCTCTGAAAAGCCGGTTCAAAGTTTTGTACTTCCTAGCGTTATATGCGGGAGCGGGTACCATGGCTGTCATTGGATTATGGACATGAATGATTGTCTATAGAGAAATAAAAGAATTTTGATAATGAAATCTAAGATAAGAAAAATGTTTATTTATGATAGTAAAATCGATTTATGGATGCCGAAATGTACAGAGTATACATTCTTTGCAAAGAAAGTTTATGATGTCTTTCAAGGTCTTCTCTCTCCGAGACCCATGTATATAAATGCAATTGAAAACTTCCTCTGTATGCATCATTATACAATGTTACTTCTTGGGTACATCATCTTGCTTACTCTCGCGTTCACCGCAGAAATATCAGCAACAGTGCATTGTTATATATGTGGCGATGAGGAATATGATTATCAGTTAACTGCTGACAATTTACCGGATGCATTAACTGGTTGTTCAAATTTTACTGCGACACGCAATTGTTATATTACACTCACATGGGACAATGGGAAAAGTTCCATCGGTTCTTTTCACGATATTTTGGATGCGCCGGAATCAAAGGAAATGGCTTTCATGGCTGTATTGGCTAATGACAATCAACCGTATACTACATTTCGATATTTATGCGCAACTGAGTTTTGCAATACACCAGCGAACCTCAAGCGTGCCTTGCGCTCAGCAACCGTAGAACATTCACTAGTAGATTTGGTTCCACAGCTAAACAGTAGCATAACATTTGATCCGACTAGCTGCTACAGTTTCCAAAATGGATCTGTTTGTTCACCTTCTACCGGTTGTCAACATTGTCATATAACAATGCGACCCAACTGGAAGAATGTAACAAGCATTGAAATATGTGCTCGGTGTGATTCAGCTGGCCGACCTTATTTTGAAGCGATGACATACTTCGATTTGATTGAGCGAAAGCGGTACGATGATTTCGATATTCGATGTCTAACACCGAATTGTAACTCGTCGGATAATGTTGAATTGGTTCGTCGAAAGACAAATTTTCAATTCAACTATGACAAATATTTCGGTACCAGTCATGGAAATATCCTCACATCATCAATATTCCTAATCTTTTCAATTATTCAAACATTTTATTTATTTATTTAATTGATAATAAGAGAAAAAATAAATGTTATATGACTAGCTAACAAAATAGCTAAAAGGGTACCCCACTGCATGTCAAAAGCTATTTATAAAAAAAAGAATCAAATGTTATTTTCATTTCTTTTGTTCATTGTTGGATTGCTGTGGCACTTGTCCGTTGCCTTCAGCACCTGCTGATGATTTCACTTCAATTTCATTGCCGTTGCGTTGAAGACCACTGTTTGAACAGGGCAAATTCTTGCCAGGATCTAAAGTAGCTTTCCATGTTGACTTCGAAGATCCCGGTCCAACTTGATACGAGCGCATTGTTTAGAATGATGTAGCAAGACGATGTAGAGGATTGTATTTGTTGTGATGTTGAGATGCGTAACAGTAACACTTTATATATACGTAAAAGAGAGGGAGAGAGAGATAAATAGTCGTCTTTTTTGGTAGCATAGAAAAATGTTAATCTCGCTCAGTGACGTACTGAGTCTCTTTTCAGTTATTACCCAAAACGATCTTTATCGAATATGGATATTTCTGTTTTTTTTTCTTGCTTGAGAGAGAGAGAGAAAGAGAACTGTCGACGCCAATCGACTAATGATAGAGGGTGATAGAAATGGAAAAATATGTGTGTTGCCATCTCGCGGAGAAAAAAATTCTTGTTTGTTTATCTTTGTTCGAGTACCGATGACCTTCGAAACATATTTATCCATACAAGATTAACAAAAAAAAATCGAAGTTTTCCCATAAATATATTCTTTCTTTAGCAGATGAATATTATCTTCACACAGTTTGATTTTTCCTCTCCTTTGTCATACGTCTTTACAATATCTCGTGCATTAATAACGAAGATAATAACTTCTGCTCTTTTTTTTTCTTCGCGAGATGGCAACACACATATTTCTTTTGCCATTTCCGTCGTCCTCTGTCGTTCGTCGTTTGGCGTCGACAGTTCCTTCTCTTTTGGTATATCCAAATAATTGTACTTTGTCCTGATATGGACCAAAAATAATATCTGCTTGTTTTTTTTTCTGATGATCTGAAGAAAAACGACGCTATTTCTCTCATGTATATAACAGAGTGGAACCTAATAGTTTTTCTCCTTAAAAACATCCATCTCTGACTTTGCTCTTGAATAACACAAGAACAATTTCTGTACAAAATGCGCTCATCGTACGGTGGACCCGGATCGTCAAGATCAACTTGGAAGCCGGCACAGGATCCAGGAAAACAAGCGCCTGCTGCCACTACTCACACTCAAACAATTGCTAAGAATAACTCAAATCGACCTGGCGGAAATGCACAGCACACCCAATCGAGTGGACAACAACATAGCGACGATGAAAAGAAAGAATAAACATACTTTTATTCATATAGACACTGCTTCTAAAACTTTTTCTGCTTGCTAGTTTTCGTATATTATCAATAAACCTACAGATAATTGAACACCGTATTTAGATGTTCTCATATAGAAAAAAGCACGTTTGTTTTGCCTATTGTATGTTTCAAGTCAAGCGATGATCCAATCAAATTGTTTTTTGTTAACTTCTATAATAGGAAGAACGTTTTTTGAAATATGACTCATGACTATGCGAGTGTTACACAATTTCATGTAAGTACGCATGACACAAGTGTATAAAAAGCAATAAATGTGCTTTATCGAGTGCAAATTGATATTAAAACAATGGCTGCATCACAAAATAAACGCGAACAATATCTTCGTGAAAATTGCAATGCTACCGAAGCTGAATTAGCATATATTCAATCAATTGTACAGTTGAAGCAACCGTATTTTGGACGTGCAATACCATCCAGTTCTCGACCGTCAGAAATACTTGATTCTTGGTTATATCATGGCAATTGGCAACAAGCAAATAATTCAACTCTTCTCGATTCACTCTCCATCACACATATTGTCAACGCGACAGACAAAACATTAGTTGATCAACTTAGAGAAATACACCATATTTCAAGTAAAAACGGCCGTTTAGCTGAATTATCTCCATTTTTTCAATCGACAAATGAATTTCTCGATAAATGCCACGAACAAGGATGTCGAGTACTTGTGCATTGCGAACGTGGTGTGTCTCGTTCGTCAACAATTGTTTTAGCATATTTGATGCATCATAAACGATGGACTGTAGCACAAGCATTCGAATATCTCTTAACTAGACGACAACAAGCCTCACCAAATCATGTTTTGTTACTTCAACTTGTACGTTATGAAAATGAATTAAATAAAACGCATTCAGAATAACATTTTTTTGTACTTCGAAAGTTTTCAAGACGTTGACTTGACGCTAATTTTTCTTCGTTGCTGCCGCATCGCGACAAAAATACCCAGAGATTCATCTTTCTTTTCACGCGTAATAGCCTTCCATCCATAGCGATATATTTTGCTGTTCTTTATCTTGCATTTCATTCAATATTTTCTTACAATCTAATGACAAGCAACAAAATCGCGTGTTCGTCTTGTAAAAAGACCACAGCTGGTTATATATGTAGAGGATGTTGGGAAAGCTTTTGTTTCGAACATCTGACGGAACATCGGCAAAAACTTAGTCAACAATTGGATGAAACGGAACTAGATCGTGATCAATTTCAACAAAACATTCAAGATAAAAAACAAAATTTGCAAAATGACGCGTTAGTTAAAGAAATTAATGAATGGGAACAGAAATCGATAGTTACAATAAAACAGACCGCGGAAGAATGCAGACGAGCAGTGCATAGTTATATCGATAGCGTCGAATACCAATTTATCGAATTCACTGAAGAATTAAAACAAATCCGCAAACACAATGAATTTAATGAAATTGATTTAAACCAGTTAAAGGATAAATTACAAGAATTAAATAAAGAATTAATGAGACCATCAACTATTTGTCTGAAAAGAGTTTCATCATCATCATATATTAAGAAAATTTCCATTATTCCATCATCAGGTACGTCGAACGATTATGCTCAGCTGACTAAACGACTCTAACATTTGTTTTTCGTAAATTCAGACAGTGATCCCTCACATTCACCAAGTAATACAGTACAAGCAACACTAGAGGCTTTTAATCAACTATCAGCGACGCCGTTATCATTTTTACCGTCCGCTGTAGGACAACATGGACGGAAGCCACTCACGAGTGTTGATCCAGTGAAACGGAGACCGACTGAGATCTCGACCGCGTTCCTTAATACACCAGGAAACATGCTGTTCAATACTCCGTCGGCATCAACACCCACGACTATAAAAGGTACTTGAATGGATGAAAATTGTGCGTTCGTGTCTTCACAGAAGTGAACCATCTATAATTCGTTGACATAGAAATTTTGCTCAGAACGATTTAAATCTTATTTAATGTCTATATGTTTAAGGGCGTCGGCAGTCAATGTTGGAACGGCAAGATTCTGCTGTGCCTTCCTATCCTGCATTTCGTTTGCCCAGTCCATCAATTCACAGTCGATCACGGCGAATGCTATAGAATATTTAGAAAAAAGACATTTTCTATAATGATTTATATATGTTCGCCCTGGCCCGCCAACCTATCGACCAGCAAATATATATTCACCCAACCAATTAAATCCGCAATCAAATACTTATGATGACAAATCGGATTTTCAAGAACAATAAAGACATATTTTCCTTTGATTAAAATCAAGTTATTTATTATATTTACTGAGAAACAAAATTCCTTAGTTGAATCTCTCATCGCTTAAATCATGAATTATGAATCGTGTTCCAAATAAGTCGTAAAAGAAATCAGTTAACCGTATAACAATCAATAGGTACCTTTACATCTCGGTGACAATTTAAATCAGCAATCACTTGACTATGAGTAGTATTAGTTAACTCTATGCGAATTAAATTCTATTCTCATGGATAAATCGTATTTTGATTACGTTACTCTATTTAAGACTAACGGCAGGAAAAGACGGTTCTGTGCTTTTTAATATCGAGTTAACCTTGCTCGATTAGTAAAGTATGATCGCCATTCCATGGAGATAATATTATATATTCTGTGTTTAAAAACTATTGGTAACATTGACTCATAGAACTGGAATCATTCGTAGAGGATATCTACGAAGAATTCCTTAAAATCTTGATGAAGTCATAAATCTCATATAATAGCCGTTGAGATCATACACTGCTTTTCAGTGAAATCGATAAATTGAAAGAAAATGTTCTTTTCGACTTCTGACGAAAAACATTGGTGTTTGAGTTGAATTATCCTATCCCTACAGGAAAAGTACGTTTTAAGTCCGTATTTCAAATATTTGGTTTTGCAAATAATATTATCACTTTGATAAAGATAAAACAACGGTATCCTTTCTTTCACTTTTCTATTGGTAACTCATTATCTTTTTTGATGCGATATGATGGTACGCTTACTACTTATAATATATGTTCTGTGCTTTACACAAATTTCTCATCAATTAAATAATGGGCTTGGTCGTACTCCTCAGATGGGTAATAAACGAACTATTTTCTCTAAGTTAAATACAAGTCTTGATCATATCTGTTTTCTATCAAAGGATGGAATAGTTGGAATCATTTCCATTGTTCTATCAATGAGACGACCGTACGACAAACAGCTGATGGCATTGTTGCAACGGGTCTTGCTGCTGCTGGATATCTATATGGTACCAATGTATTCTTGTGTCCATTTATGTAGTAATCGTTATTCAATTTTGAATTTGTAGTGAATATGGACGATTGTTGGCAAAAAAGTCGCGATTCACAAGGAACAATACAAGCTGATCCAATCGCTTTTCCAAATGGTATTCCAGCGTTGGCTGATTATGTTCATTCAAGAAAACTTAAATTTGGTCTCTATTCAGGTGAACAGATCAGAGTTGAATTCTTTTACCTAAACGAGATACATTTAGATCGAGGATATAAAACATGTGCAGGTCGACCTGGTTCATTAGGATATGAAACAAAAGATGCAATTACATATGCGCAGTGGGGTGTTGATTATTTGAAACTTGACAGCTGTTACACTGATGGAACACCAACCGAAGTTGAATATTCGAAAATGCGCGATGCATTGAATGCTTCAGGAAGAGCAATCTTCTATTCGTTATGTGGTTTGTACATATAATTTAGAAATAAAGTATTTCACTTCAAGTTTTCTTCTTCTTTTGAAGGCGGTGTAACTGTAAACGATGCCTGGCCTCCCAAGGTTGGAAACAGTTGGAGAACGACTAACGATATTCAGGATAATTGGTTTTCCATGATCAACAATATCGATTTTGTGAGACTAGATTTCAATATGCCTTCAAAGACATGCAAATCTTTTTTTTCACTCTTTAGAATAATTATTTCACAGAAAAGGCAGGACCAGGCGGTTGGAATGATCCTGATAGTATGTCAATCTTTCTTGCAAAATTCCATGAATCTTTCATATATGTTGTATAGTGCTTGAAATTGGCAATGGTGGCATGACTGACACTGAGTATCGAACTCATTTTTCTCTTTGGTCTATCAGTAAAGCTCCGCTAATTATCGGATGCGATGTAACAAAAATGAGTGCGGCTACGATAGTCACTCTCACAAATCGCGAAGTCATTGCTGTCAATCAAGATCCATTGGGTGTTCAGGGAAAGAAAATTGCTTTGTTTTCAGCTCAGCTGTCTAATGCATCCAGTGGAGTTCAGGTTACCAACAATACACCGGCAGGAAATTTCGATCTACGACGTCGTCAATGGATATACGACGTACAAGATGGAAGTATTCGATCCGCATATAGTGGCAAATGTCTGTCCATCTTTCGTTGTAATCCAGGACAACCAGCGCATCTCTTTCTCGACAACTGTCAAATTGGTGATCCACATGCTCAATGCCAAGGTAAAAATCAACAATGGTTAGCTAATACAACAAATCAAAGTATTGTTTCCCAAATGAATGGACTGTGGTAAATTGATTGATGACGATGATGCTATGAATATAAATCGCAGAATAAGATATTTCTGTTTTTATAGCTTAGCCGTTGATGTTTACGGTAACGATGGTCCGGCTGTCAATACATTTGTGTGTAATCGTCAAGAGAATCAAATCTGGATGTGGAATACAACAGATGGAACACTACGAAATAAACATCAAAACGAATATTTAGTTGCTCCGTTAGAACTTGAAATATGGGCTGGTCCTCTTCAAGGTGGTTCGCAAGCTGTCGTTTTATTGAATCGTGGTGAGAATGATAATGAACAAATCACTGTCAATTGGACAGATATTGGTTTGCCCATGAATCAAGCAGCCACTGTGCGTGATTTATGGGCTCATCAAGATCTTGGAATATTCACAGGAAACTATACATCGTCGAATATTGCATCACATGCAGCTGTGATGCTTAATATTACCCTCGTGAAGTAAACACGAACTGGTTTCTTTACACTGACAACACTTATACTTCATACTTAGTTTATAGTTTATATTTTTGTTCGAAAATTACCAAATACATGAAAAATATCGTAGTCACCTATAGATTATTACTAGTGGCATTCACTAGTAAAACTGTAATCATTCGTACACCATGTCCAGGAATATTTGTGGCTGTCCATGTCTCGGTAAATTGACCTAAATCTTCATGAAGCCATAGATCTCGTACACTGGCAGTCCAAGTAGGTGTAGGTGGATGAGGACTTAAACGATGATCGAATAAATCATCGAATTCCAAGGTAATATTTGTTATCGAATCTCGACGATTAAATAATACTACAGCATGACGAGGTAATGGAGTGAAGCCCAATGAGTGAATTGCTGTTTGAATTTGTGATGTATTTTCGTGGTAAATCGGTTTTGCCCATATTTCATACGAGCCATCCACTGCACGATGAATCATATTTCCTGATCGTCCTAATTTATCTTGATTGATGGCAATCACTTCTTTATTCATTAGAATCTCGCCGACTTCTTTACTCATTTTTCTTATGTCATTACCAGCGATTAAAGGTGAACTAATCACAGACCATAATGAAAACTGTGTCATATATTCAACTAGTGTTTGTCGACCTAAACCAACCGTTAGAATATCTAAATCATTCCAATATCCGGGCCCTGAAGCATAATAGATATTCGCACTATGATCGATGATGTTCATTATTGTCTCCCACTTATCTGAGATATCCCACCAGATGCGAGCCATGTTACAGTAATTCGGTGCCCATTGGGATGGAAATTCTTGATTATTCTCGTTGAGTATCAATTCATCACTATCACAACTGTAAAGAATCGAACGGTTCTGTGAAGTTAATGCTTGTGACCATCGTATGAAGGCTGTTGCACGGTCTTTTACATTATCTTGATAGCAACAATCTAATTTGACAAAATCCACTTTCCAGCTTGCAAATAATGCTGCATCGAGATATTCATGCTGCCATGAACCAGGATATCTTTGACAAGTCCATTCTCCTGAACTTGTATAAATACCGAAAAGTAAACCTTTCGAATGAATGTAATCTGCCAAAGCAGATATCCCATGTGGAAATCGTGTTTCATTATACTTTAACATTCCACTAACTGGATCACGAGACGCTGCTTCCCAACAATCATCAATGTTTAAATATTTATATCCAGCAGATAACATCCCGCTAGCAACCATAGCATCAGCCATGCCCATAAGATCCGTTTCATTATAATCACAATGAAAAACGTTCCATGTGGACCAGCCCATTGGCGGAGTTAATGCTAAACCATTGTTTAAACCAAATATCACCAATGGATTTGTCCAAATTATGAGTAATCTGATCAATGTCGCAAATGACATCAGCAAGTTGTCGCGAAAAGAAACTATAGACAATATTTATGAAGATGTTGTAGAAATGATACTTCTTATGTATCTCCCACACGCGCTTTTTCTTATCAGCAAGCACACCTTTTTCCGCAAAGTAAATATAACTTTTTGGTTATGATAAGATCTTTACATATTCAGTGTGTGAAGAAATCATCGTCTCAATCGGTTCAGATGTCAGTACAGCTGATCGTACAGCATGAATTAAACATAGTAAATGATATAACGACCGTATCTATTCGAAATGACAAGTCATATTCCATATACAGATATGACATTTGTGTGATGTCGTGAATACTACAGATGCAACCATACTATAAAGAGAGAAGAATATAAGCTTGCCGATTTATTTTCGGATTCACTGTTTTTGTATGCACGTTGACGCATCTTACTTTCACTTCACAGTAGCGTAGAACGATTGTATTACTTATACACATGAAAACCAAATTATGTAGTTCTTATTTGTTGTACTGCTTCTGCCATTACTACAAATGTTATTGACAATATCTCTTCTGATCTTTATCTATGGAGTCTCAAAATTAAATATGATTATTTCAAAAATATTGGCATACCAGGTCCTGAACCGGAATTTTTTCCTCGATCACAATCGATTCATCCGGTATGCAAAGTCACTTACTCATCAACTGAAAAAATGGACTCGACAGTATGGTCCAATCTGTATCGTATCGGACGGTGACTTTCTTGGACAGGTCTACGCCAAACAATTGTCCTCCTCTCATTTCATTCTCGACATCTGTCATTTCCAATGATATTGCAAAACGCAAAACGAACTGAATCTCTTTGTAGCAATCGACAACAACATGTGATCCATCCAAGATTTTCATCTGCTAAACTCAAAGGTGAGAAGACAGAATTGATATCATTTGTAAGTTCACATATACAATAGCGAAAGTGAAAATAAAAGCTCTTTTCAAGGTCGTTGTGGGTTTCGATTGGATACAGATATGCAAGTCGATGTGAACAGGATTTATATGACAAAAAGCGCGATGCTCTTTAGAGATAATTTAGACAAGTATTTGTTAGTTCGAGTCAATAAACTATTTTCTTGACTAACTGCAGTGTTAGAATGTATATAGTTTGCCGAAATGGTGACAAAACTTGCCATACATAAACCTATGAAAAACATCGAGGAGAATCCGCGAGTTTGACATCAGAACAACGTTAAAGATATTGTCAAAATAAAAATGGACACTATCGAAGCGGATCCGCGTATTGATCTCCTTCATTTAATGATCAATTTAACAACTAACGAGTCCATTGATGTTAGTCTCAAACTCTTTCGCTTCAGCACAGTCATTGTCGTTTTTCTTTGCAGGACAATGTCGATGATGAAAGAACCAGTCGGATGGATTGACTCGATTTATTCATACGCGAAGTGCTGTGAATGTGTCCGATTGTTCCCACAACTATGTCAAGAGTTTGCGCACAAGATACCATCGTCTGCGCTTATCCTGGCCAAAGAGGTTCAGTAATTCAGTCTGATATATTTTCATTATACTATTCGAAGGATCTTTGGGGTCGAGCAGCGTTTATGCAGTTTGGTTTCGATTAAAGAAATTGTATTCGAATGCGATTCCCTCTGATGGAAATGAAACTATGTTTGCTCGGTCTGCTCTGTCATTATAAGGTTGTGCCTGGAGAACATTTCGTAAACAATTTTCAGATTCTCGATAGATACATTATTCAACAACTGAAAGCTTTTTTTGTCAAACTTGAAAAAAATTTATTAGATTAGATTTTTATTTTCTAGTGTAGATTTAACATTTCGCGAGTCTTTTTGATGAACGCAATCGACTGTCACTTGTTGCAGTATAATGATCATGTTTTCTCTTTGCAGTAGAGGTGTTCGAGTTCATTGATTGATTGATAACATTGAGTTTCGTTTGAACGCTTTCCAGCTCATTCTGGAACTTATGTATTTTGAAAAACTCGAGTAATTGTTCATATCTGTCTTGAATATCAAATTGAATCAAAGTGTGGAGTTTTCTCAAATCCACTGGGCATTCAAGTAGTGGTTGGCTAAAATCTTCATCTGAAAGAGAGATGAGCGATGAATATGTTTGGATCCAAGAGGATCTTACCGAGATGTCCACTTCCATTGATTAGACAAGAATAGAAGATACAATGAGCTATTCCGAATAGATGACAAATTTCATGGGTCAACAGTCGACATGCTCGAAGTAATAGTAATTTTCGTCGTTTGGTCATTTCTTCCTCTGATTTCGAAGCAGTTTTCATTTTACAGCTAAACCAATCGGATTCGTTGAATGATAGATACGGATCGTAGCGGTAGAGAGAAAAAACAGCTACACGGCTATTTCCGCGAGCTAAACCAGCGATAAATAAATCTGTATCGTCGCTGTAAAGATCAAGCATTGTTAGAGCAACAAGACACTTGGCGTCCTCAGGTACAACTTTAGTCAGTAAATTTAGGATACTAGTCACATGAACTTGGCAGTGTTTTGGTTTTTCGTTGTATCGTGTACGCAGATTGAATGTTTGACTCTTCTCATCTGCTGATTTCGTAAGTTTCTTGCAAGTCCATTGATATGTGTTGTCATCCAACTGAAAGTCCATGAATGGATGAATCAATTTGACTGGCATTTGGAAAAAGCGTTGGGTGTATTCAACTAAACTGTTTATATCGAAGATCGAGTAATCAATTTCTCCGATTATTGTCAGATAAATTGATTTTCTATTGGACGATGCCGGAGTGTTCAAAGTTCGAGATAGTTGAAGGTGTTCGGCGTATGTTTGTCCTCTTTCAATGTATTGCGCAAGCCAGTCCCATGGTTTCTTCGGAAATGGCAGACTGTCGAATGTTTTGTAAAAGTTTTCATTGAAAACAGATTCAAGTGTCGCGTCATCGAATGTTCCCAAAGCCTTCTCGATTGCCGATTGATCTGGCAGTTTAAAACCATGAGCGAACGGCACGGTCTTCCGTTGACGTGTTCTCGACATACTCGTAGATTTTATGCAAGCACCTTATCGTTACCTTCGCTAACGATGTCTGTGAGGTAAGTCGCATTAGACATCTGTTTATATAGTAATACGTAGGAAAGAATACGAAAGAATAGATGAAGGAATCATCAACAAGGAGGCTAAAACAGCGAATGTATGTTCAGCCATGTACTTTCAAGGAACAGAACAATGTTGACAACTAACTTGTGCAATATCAAATGAGTCATTGCTGAGGTGTTTTCTTTCTGTTCTTCGCATTTCTATTTGACTTTCATATGGATGTTTTAGCTGCGTAATGTATTAACAAATGACTGAAAAAGTAAAAGAATTTACGTCGTACATGGTTCTGAACCGCTGATGATGGTTGTTGTGCTATACTATAACAAACGTATCTTTATCAGGAGAGATTAGCGTCGTATCATGTGCACGGCAAGTGATATTGATAAGTAGCATAAATATTTTTATTCAGTATTTTTGTTCGCTGTGCATATTATTGGTATAGTATTACAATGCAGTGTTAAAGTACAGACAGTTAATCAGATTGATTTACGCCCACTGAATTTCGTTTTTTTTTCGAATTTTGTGAAAAAATCAAGCAATA